AGGCCTACGGCGACTGATTGTGTAAACAAACCCTCGATTTATCTCTATGAATACGCAAAAAAGCTTGTTGGAGATGTAAAAGAACGATAGGAAGGAAAGATATCTGAGATTAGAGGGGATCGAAAAAATTTCTTAAAAAAGAAAAACACTCTAAATTGCATTTTAAATAACATAATGAAAATGGTTAAACTTACAAAATTCCATTCTTCACTAATTTAACATAGAAGGTCAGTTCTCGAAGGGATCCTCATTAGAAATTCCCATTTAAGCCGGACAAAGAAAATGAACAAAGCAAAAATATTGATGTTGACTTCAATTAAAGTATGACAGGATAATATGATAATTGTTGAGAATGATGTGGATGTTTTGTGATTGCTAAAAGAATTTAGCTGACAAGTTATGATACTTTTTCACTTACTAGCTAGTTCTTTCAACATGTTCCCATTCTAGGCTAAATGTTTGTGAGCTAGATATTCCAATTTCAAATAGATAGTGGAGAGCTTTTCTGTGATCTTTTTATAGTGCGAAAAATCTCGGACGGTAAAATGCTACGGACCACCAAAAATTTCGAAAATTAAAAATTTCGGACGCTCGTTCTGTCCGATAATATTACCGTCCGAAACTTTTGGGTTTAATGTATTTCAAGTACAACTTACCACTTAAATAATTTTAGCCGAATTGTAGAAACTAAATTGCATGAATATTCTTTTTTAACTTTAAGATACATTAACAAGAAAAATTTTCGTCAGATGAATTTTCGGCGGATAAACTTCGTCGAAAAAAACTTCGGACAACTTTTCAGAATTTCGTCGTGAATTTCAGAATTTCAGAACTTCTTCAAAGGCAAAACCATACAGGTTGCTTTATACTCAATCCCATAGGTATCGACTTCGTAGAGACTTAGGGGCTTGAGCACCCGTTTGGAATTTGGCTTAATACACCAGGCAGCATGTCAGAAAAACCAAGTCAAAGCGGTTATTTACTCAGTTTATGCAAAGGCGGGGTCAACAGAGATGCTTTTAGCATTCAAAGAGTCTCTATTCTATATCTAAATGGTATGACAGTTTATGTGAAAGTGTGAAAAAGATTCGGAAAGCATCTCCAACAGGAAATGTTGGTCTGGAAGTTTGCTTCTGTTGAGTTCAAAATTTGGGTTGAAAAATGCAAATATCTTGAACGAATTAAAGAAAAAGTACAGTTGAGTAAAAAAACGGTTTGACAAAAGACAGTTTGAGCAGGTAGCCAGGGTGGTAAGATGAGGGAAGGGGCAAAAGCGCGTTGATCAAGGGAAAGTTGGAGTCCACACCCTTTAGAACGGCAGAAAACACCCTTTTTCAAATATTATTTTGGCCATGAGAGGCACCCGCCCCTCTTGCCTCCCTCTCGCTACGCAACTAAGAATTATTTTTATTGAACAATGATGATAACGAAGTTAGTTCAAGAACCGACAATGGTGATGATGATCATGATACCGACTGTGAAGATAATTATGGAGACGTTGTAAATGAGGAAAACGACGTAGTTGATACTGAAAAGATAAAAAGGATACATCAATTTTATTCCCAACCTCATCCAAGAGTTTTTTTTGCGAATTTTCAAAAATCTTAAATTCAAAAAATTTCGTCGTGATCAAATTTCGTCTCATTTTGAATTTCGTCGAAGAAGATTTCGTCAAAATATTGGTCCGAAATTTTATCACGACGAAATCTTTTATAGTTAATGTACTTGATTTACCTGACCGCTTGAAATCTAAAGCAGGAAGGGGGTAGGGCATTCAAAAGTTTACAAGATCTAGGGAGGAAGGAAGAGTTGTGGGATTGAGTTCGTGCGTTTGGCAAAGAGACTTGGAATGAATCTTAAACTAGAAAAAAACCTTCAAACTGCAAGGAACTTCAAGCTACAAAGAACTTGAAACTAGGAACAGCACCAAACTAAAAGGAACTTCGAAATAGGAACGACATGAAACTAGAAACAACTCCAAACTAGAAGGAACTTCGAAATAGGAACAACTTAAAACTAGGAAGAACTCCAAACTAGAAGGAGCTTTGAAGTAGGAACAAATTGGAACTAGGAATAACCTTAAACTACAAAGAACTTCAAGCTGAAAAGACCTTCAAACGATTTCAATCTAAGAAGAACTCCAAACTAGAAAGAACTTCTAGCTTGGAAAAATTTCAAGCTAAAGACAATTGAAACTAGAAAGAACTTCAAATTAGGAAGACGTTTAAACAAGAAAGAACCTTAAACTAGAAAGAATTTTTAACTAAGGAGAACTTCAATCTAAGGAACCAGCAACCAGGAGCGACTCTCCTATATTAACGCGAATAAAAACGGACACTCCTCTATTAGCTAGAACTAGGACTTATCTTCCTCCATTTCCAGGAATTACGATTGACTTTTCTTTGACAATCTTGAAGCGTGTGGTTTTAGCAAGAAAAACTCTGAAATAATTTAATAGCTACCTGCATAAGAGAAAACAGCGAGTGGAGGTTTTTGGAAAAAGACTTGCCATTGGATACCCCAAGGATCCTTCTAGGGCCTCTTTTTTCAACATCTATATGAACAACTTCTATTGATTGATTCAAGTTGACGTCATCAATTTTGTATCTCGCTATCTACGGATACGGATCTTTTTCGAAAATGGACTTCAGAATTGAAATCTTCATCTTTAAACTAGTTTATACTGAAAAATTCATGTTGTTTGGACCGTTCGGTCGCATGTTACTTTGTTTCGAATATTTAGATATTTCTTTAGAGTTGACCGGAACTTGCTGCTGCAGTGAAAAAATTTCACTACAGCAACAAATTCCATTGAAATGTATAAAAAAAGCTAAATTTTGAAAATGCGGTAATTTTTGGCACAGACTAATTTCAACATGAAGGTCATTCTGTTATCCATTTTTGCCAAATGTGAATTTACAAATTGCTCGAATCCGAAATTATGTTAGTGACAGACAGTATGGTATTTTATTATTCAGACGACGCTTGAGATACTGATGCCTCCACAATTGTCCCGAAATCACCTCATAAAATTGAATAGAAATAAATGCGTATGTATGGTTTTATACCGACCAAAATTGTGACTACTCAATTTAAGATTGACAAAGAACCCAACAAAGGGGGTAACGTGAGCAAAATATTAGGTGTAAATTTAGATGAAAAGGTTCATGCTCCGCCGTATACTTTTAACTACTTGGATTTCGAAACCACAACATATTCTGAGGGATTTTATTGCATCCTAATTAAACCATTGCCCATTAGTTTGGATATTTTTAGTGGGTGTTACTAGGGAAAAGCTCCGGAGTCTGTAGCTAAGTCAAATCAAAAGAAAGGTGAGGTGGATTTGAAAGAGGGGAAGCAAAGATAAAGTTTGTTGGTTTTTCATTTGAAGGAAGATAGATTGTAAGAGTCGGGGAAGCAAGAAGAGGGTAGAGCATTCCAAAGGGGCATTATGTCTTTTAAACTTGAAGCACTACTACAAAATAGCAATATCAATACAAATAATCTGCAGTTACTGATAACTAAAAGTATTCAAAAAAAATAAAATCTGAACCCAAGCCTTGTGGACAGCAGTGGTTTCGAAAACAGCTGCGGGGCCTTGCTCTTTATAATTTTTCTTATTTTCTAAGGTGCGGAGCCCTTTCTGGCTTCCATACGCGCGGGGCCTGGGGCCATGGTTCCCTGGACCCCTTAATACCGTTAATGCTTTTGTATGGGCATTTTAACAAAAAGAAGACGAGTTATTACCTCAGGAATGAAAATTTGTTTCAGCTCCCAAAAGGCGAACATACACATAAAGTTTATATTGCAGATCTCATTTCTGGGTGCAGACTTTTACATGGATCATCGAATGGGATACAATCATCAAATAGTCTTTCAATTTGCAAGGAGCTTAGATTGGTAAAAGTGAAGATTGTGCAAGAATTATATGGCACTACTAGTAGATTTCAATCGGAAATCAGAACTTAATCCAAAAACTCAGAAAATCTGTGAATACTGCAAGAAACCGTTTTCATATATTATAAGGTCTACTTTTATGTATCTATTATACCTTGCATAAATCTTTAAAAATTCACTTTTTAGAAGGCCTTAATTAGCAGTAAATAAGCTTCTTTTTTAGCAGCTAGATATATATAAATTGAGAGCAATAGTATTAGCAGTAATAATAACAGATGATTAGATTCACAAACAATCCTTGAACTCTCTTATCATTTAGACAAAATGATTTTATAGAGAGGTTTGGTTGTGTACCTGAAACCAAATCTGATACCCAAAGAGAAAAATTGTAGCGAAATTTTCAACCCAAAAATAAACCGAAACCGAAGTCTACATAGTGCTTAAAAAAGAAGAGTTATTTCCGAAGCCACCAATAACAAGATCGACAATTTCGTAGGCAAAAATATAAGCCAAGCATCCTATTTAAATTTGCTCATGCTCCACTCCCTGGGAAATCCAATCAATCAAGAATATTTCTTACATTCGTTTGCTTGCAGTCTTTCAAAACGTTTTAATTTTGTCTGAAATATCAACCCCCCTGAGGTACTAATTTTATTGCAGATTTGTACTTATCGCTTACACCAACTTTCTGAGCATTTGGGGTGGGTGGGTGTTCGCTCTTGTCCCCTCGCTACGCTACTGAATGCTGGCATTTTGTCGAAAATGATATTTTTATAGGCCTCACTCAACGGAGTGAGTTAAAGAGCACTTTTCTTATGCTTTCGTTTAGCTTAAGATACTTTACACTGCAAATAAAATCACCCAGATATTTTCTTTCCATGTTGATATTTGTTTTTCAGAACTTTTGCAGATCAGTTAAATACTTTTCAAATGGAAACCGGTGATATCAAAATTGAAAGTTAAATGTTTTTTTATTCTTTTAAACCTGTAAAGAATACAGGCAGTTTAATTAAAAGTTTCTTTGCGAATTTTTCCAATTCTTAACGATTTTGTTTGTTTACGTTTTCAGAGAAAGGAGGCAGCCTCTGCGGCTCGTTTGTAGATGCGCCATCTTCGTTCCTAGTCAAAATTGTGCCTAATCAGAATTTGCAATCCAGTGAAATGAAATTGCCCGAGATCGTCCATACCTTTTACGGAGGATAAAACCAGTTAAGAAGCTTCACAATGTTTAAGAAATGGAAAGACCGAGACAATGAGAAAGAGAAGAAGGATAAAAAAGATCAAAATAAACGGGACGCAAGTCGTAATGGGAAAGAGAAAAAGTCTTTCGTCGATGTGCTAGCAGGGTTTGAAAACATATCGACTAAACCAGGAGATACACAAACCAAAGAAAAAAGTTTGCCTCGCAGGACTCTCAGCGAAAAGCGTAGGCAAGAAAGATTCAGACGTGAAGAGTTATTTCGCCAACAGGCAGCTGCTGAGACCATCGGTGGGAGGGATTTTGCCTCTGGAGTAAACACAGGCCAGGGTATTGACAACCAAGTGGAGGATAACCTCTCAATACAGAGGAAAAACAGCTATGACAGTGGCCAGGTCAACGGGGATAAACGTCCAATTGCAAATAAGAAGTATGAAGTTATATTAACTAAAAATATTGCCACTGCAGGAAGTAGCAAAAAAAGTTTCGAAAGGCAGGAAAGTATCAAAGTTGCGTCAGGGTCTGAAGTCACTCTGAATATAGGCCTTACTTCTGAGATAATGGCAGGGCTTGATAATGGGACAAGAGACTTCCTAGCTCAAAATGCAAATAACAAGCCAAAGAGTTTACAGGGTGTTGACTTGAGTTTGCCAGAACTGAGCAGCTCTAACACTGATTCTGGAAGGATCCTTCACATCAAGAGACTTCCAGTTGGAGACTTTGGGTTTGCACTGAGAAGGTCAACACTTTCTAAAGACAAATCAAAAATCATATACCTTGCTGAGCCTGTTGGTGATGATGGCAACACAGGATTGTTGCCAGGTGATAGACTCATAGAGGTCAATGGAAGAAATATGGAAAACTGTACCCATGATATGATAATTGACATGATTTCAGCCTCTGGTAGTGAAGTGGTTCTGAAGGTTGTGCCAGTACCAGAGCTGGCAGATTTCACTGCAAGATCTGCAACTATTGAGGCAGCTGGTAAAAAACAGGTTTCTCCAGGAAGCAAAGGCATGTCTTTTGTGAGAAGTGGGAGTATGAAAACTAAAAGATCAAAAGTTAGTTTACTTTGTTATTTTCAAAATTCAACTGCTAAATAAGCATCAAAATCATATAAAGATAATCATACCTGTTTTGAAATTTTGTACATATACTGAAATTCTAATTATCTGATAGTTTCAATTATTTTATTTTTCAAGCTCAAAATTATTGTGATTATCATGCAATAACAAAGTGCCAATTATTTGGTTATAAATGTTTAAATTCTCTTTTGCTCAACTATAAAGCATCCAGCAATCCAATCTGTAGTTTCATAACTTCTTTTTCTCAATAAAAAAATCATTTCTAACATATTAGACACGAACTGAAACAGAAATTGCATCTGAAAAGGCATGGTTGGAAACAGAAAAGGTTTGGTTAACTCATTCAGAAGGCTTTTCTGCTGGAAGATTGATTAATAAGAAGGATAATCCAGATGATACAACCTGTACAGTTAAGTTAGATCATGGTGGAGAGGTTGTGGAGGTTGACGAAGAACAAATTTCCAAGGTAATATACAATTATAAATGTTTTTAAAGTTTTCAAATCATATAGGGATGCATTTGTAATAAATGAGCCACACCCTTACTTAAAGCTACAACTTGATTCCCAGACTGGAAACTTTGCTTCTTACCCGGACAAGTTTACTTTGAAAATTTGAGACTGCGCATCTGAAATTATACACTCTTAGTTATTTTTAGAGTTCATAATGTTAAATGTTATTTATTTGCACAGCCAGTGTTTGAAAGGGCACAGATTTGTGCTCAGGCAATATATTGTGGCCGTGCAACAATGTTTCCAGTCTAGCTTGATTCTTTCTAAAAAAAAGGTTATGATCTTAATCCAGAATATCTATTTACTTCAAATTTTTATCTGGTAGTTTCCTACATTTTAGTATCTGCTTATTATCATTTTTCTTTATTGTTTATCCTTCAGTCTCCTTTTTACTATTTCCTTTCATATCTTCTCTTTCCCTTCACTACCTTAACATGTCTGTAGTCTTCATAACTGTCTAAATAAAAGACTTGAGTAGCCACAGATGTTTATTTCATAGGTTAGGAGGAGACTAAATAATAATTGATTCCTAGATGGTGATGCAGAGTTATTATGGGTTCAAACCAAAGCTAAGATAAAATAAGCTAATATTTGTTTTGTGGAAGTGTGTTTGTGTTTAATATTGTATCAGTTTCAGAATCAATAATCAAATATTTTTTGTTTCAATATGATTGAGGAAGTTAAATAATTTGTTATTTAATTGCTTTTGCATGTGCTCCCTGCAATTATTTCAAACTTATGCAAACATTACTTTAACAGTGTCTGTCTGCTGTTGATATAAATGAAAAGAAAATGATATTTTGCTCTTCAAGGTCTAGTTTGGATCCTTAACAATGTTTTATTCTTTTCAACATCCGTAACTGTGGATTTTAAAATCTAAAAACATATGATTCTTTTTGAGAACAAAATATTTGATAGAAAACAACTTTAGTTGTGATTATTGCCTTTTTTATTGACTGTTTTCCCCAAAATTTTAAAATTTGCCTTCAATTTTTGACAGTAAAATTGCAAAATTATGTAGAAACTCATTGTAATAAATCCCTATTAAAGGAATCCACAAATTTAAGAGTTGACTTGTCAAAATTGATACAGTTTCAATCAACCAGACTGTAGTGATAACCAGGGAGGCCCAGGTAGTGGGGCCTAGAGAGGCTGAACCCTGCTTGTTAATGCCAGAATATAACCAATTTCTACTTTTGCTATTGTTTTTAGCAACATTATTTGCAAGAGCCTCTCTTGTTATTTTGATAGCACTACACCATTGGTGGTAACTGTAATTTGCAGGTACAGTCTGGGCCTACTTCACCTGATGCTTCCTGACTAATGTGTTTATCTTAAAAACTGTTGCTTTATTTATTTCATATTTAGCTGTTTTTTATGTTGGTAGTTTTGGTGATTTATTTTTTGTATTATTTTGTTTTGAACTTGTCCTGTGAGCTTATAAAGAGACCCATGTTTTCTTGTTTTTAAAATTAAAGAGTTCAGTATTTTATCGTTTTCGACAGGTGCTTGTTTTGTTTATAAAGAGACCTTCTGTTTTGCTGGTGAAAGTAATCTAAATTTGCTGTTATGATTAATTAAACATCATATTGTCAAGAAATTATGTACGGAGCAACTATATTCTACTTAGCAACATTGTTCAGAGCTTATTCAATTCAGCATTTTTATTGTACCAATCCTCCTTAATTGACAGCAACCTCCTTTGATATTAATTCATTAGATCTATGATAACCAGCACCCAATCAAGATTTCGCAATTGCTGAAATTAAGTCACGGATATTTTGGGCTTTGAAATGATTTGCTTTCTGACATGCATGGCCATAATCCATTTTTATCAATCAACCTCTGTTTCACCGCACTGAAAAGATAAGACAGTTTGAGGTATTTTTTGAAAATGTCTGGTCGTATTCCAACCACATGTCATGATTAGGGAATTGTATTACTCATTCAAGGGTTTATTTAACATCCTTCTCTTTGTTTTACATCTGGTAAGGTGATCAATATTGCGGAGATTTATAATGTGGTGTCCATAAAAAATCTGTTTAAAGAACTTTACAGTCCTCTTCGATTTAAGCTTTTTGGAAATTAATTTAGAAAATTGCTTCGTTAACTCTACAAATTTTTTAGGAAGAGTGAGGATAGAGGCTTTCATTTCGTACTTTCATTTCGTATTTTGAGCCTAAATATTTCTTCTATCACATTTAGCTCACCTTTTTATCTAATGTTATGGCGAGGATGGTGGAAATAGCTAATCGATTCTCTGGATGTCGTATTGTATACAGAGCGTTCCCTGACCCTAAGCGACCGTTGATTCGATTATTCTGTAAGCCTAATCCCTGACAAGTATGGCACGAGGCTAATCGTATTGTCTTATATGGAATCATTATGTCCGCCCAATGATCATTCTGATCGGATCCTTGTAACTGATGACTTCAAGGGTTAAGCCATAAATTCTTCTTTTATGGCAAGTCTGAAACATTTGCTGAAAAGTCAACAAAATTGGCGCTTTAAGACGTGGTCACGTCGCAAGACATATTTTACGGCTTGGTAAAAGAAGGGCAACCGCAATTTGGGAAAATGTGTTCTATTTTGGCGCTTTAAAGGCATATTCGCAGGTAAAGCAACTGGGCAATCATTCTCTAGTTTGAAAAGGACAAGACAAGAGAACTCTTGGCTCGGCGGCAGACGTTTCGTTTCACGTTTGAACAACGGATGTTTGTTTATGCTTTTTCCATTGTTTTATGTGACATCCACGCCATATACCTCAAGACAAATTTCCCGCCCTGCTTCCATCTCGTCATCTCGTCATCTTTTATTTTCAGGCAAATCCGCCACAATACGATCGTGCAGAAGACCTCGCTTCGCTACGTCATCTAAACGAGGCGGCCTGTTTGCACACTCTACGTCAGCGCTTTGGCAGCAATCTGATCCACACGTATGGTGGTCCAAATCTGCTGGTTGTTAATCCTAGGGAGGAGCTTGGCATTTACAATGACAAAGTAAGCAAAATTTACCATTCAGATCTATTTATGGGGAATGAGTAAGAATTTTTTTGTCAGGAGATAAGAATTCGCCACAAGAGATGCTCAGTTAAGAAAGGATTATCCGTTTTATATCTCAGCAAAGGTACACAAAATGTGGTTTATAGTCTAATCCAAGGGTCTTGCACCAAGAAGAGTGCTTGGGTTTCGTATCCCCTGGACTTTTCATTTCAATAAGATTAATTGTTGATAATTTACAAAAAGACCATCTGTACTCTAAGGTCTCTCCACTTTGAAGTTCGAGTTATTTGAAGTTTCTCCTTTCTAGCGTTTTAGGGTCATAAGTTTTATAATTTAAGGAAATCCAGCTCCAGTGCTTTCTCATTAAAAGAAAGTTTTGCAGAAATCTCTAGCAGAGCCCTGCCTTGCAATCTCAAATTTAACTACAGCTACATTGCAGATTATTCGACAAGAAATATTTTCACGCGATGTGCAATGTTTCTCAATTTGGTCCTGTTTTGAATTTTGTAGTGCGATGGGCCTATTTATCTTTAGCTAGAATGAACTGGCAATCCAAATTAATAAGATGGGCCTATTTTTCTTAGTACGGATGCCTTAGTATTTTCTAAGATCATTACTGTTATTTTGTGAAATGCTCTTCAACCAATATATGTATTCCTGACTTTTATATGTAACTAATTTCCCCTCTTAGGTTATCGATATGTTTCGTGGATGCAAACAAGAGGACATGCCGCCACATATTTACGCCATGGCGCAGACATCATACCGCAACATGCAAGCGATGCGCATGGACCAGTCAATCATACTGCTTGGGAGAAGTGGATCTGGGAAGACAACCAACTTGAAGCATCTTCTTCATTACTATGCCAATGTTACGTCATCGATTCATAGCTGTGTCAATTGTATGTTGCCGTTTTTTGCACATTTTAGCATCTCATTTGAAGATATTTACCATGTCCTTCAATTTTTTCTTTTTCTATCTTGCTTAGTAGATTCATCGACCCCAATTGGAATATAAATATCTGCTTACCTTTTTGTCATTATCGCTCTTTTCTTGAATTCTAAAAATACCCTACGAAAACTTCTTTAGATTGACGCAGTATTGATTTTCTTCAGTATCAATGGCCTATTTTGTAATCATTTGTCATTTTGTCACGGGTTTGAAAAATATGGATCTTTTTTATTTCCAGCACAAAAAATCGAGGCAGCCTTGTGTCTTTTGGATTCGTTTGGAAGCGCCAAAACATATCTTTGTAACACTGCGTCGAGGTGCTCATTGAAGGTCACTCTGGAGTATGACATGGCTGATTTGTTAATCGGTGCTAATTTCCAGGTTTGTTTGTTTTGATGCAGTCACGCGAATAAAGTAACAGTTGTCATGTTTTTAGTTGTATTTAGTAAAGTATCTTTATTGACAAATAGAACAGGATGATTCTAAGTTGCAACTTCGAATTTCACGCTTAACCTGGTCTTTCGTCGTTACTGTTTACTGGTCTGTCATAAAGGGAATGAGGCAGAGCTGTACATGCTTGATATAAACCGCATTTTCAGGCAACAGTTTTCTAATGATCGCATTAAGCGTAATGCTCAGAGTAGCAGCCTAGACCCGTCATGTTCTGTACACCAAAAGCGTAAATAATATTCAATTTTACTGAGATTTATTTGAGCGAGTGATACCACTAGAGCAGGACTCGAACCCTCAGCCAGCGACACTGTTCCTCGTTGCTATACCAACTAAGCTACCCAGTCATTGCCCGGTCGTGTCACTTGCTTACGTTTTCTCTCACTATATTATCTCGAATCCTGTTCTGTATTCACTCAGCTTATAAATACAAAGTAAATTAGTATAGTTGACAAAATTACTTCTTTTCAGACATACCTGCTTGAGAAGACAAGAATCGCAAGACGGCCCATTGGTGAATCTTCGTTTAAGATATTCTATGATTTGATTCTTGGTTGTGATGAAAAGTTGAGGTACTTTTTGCTTTATACACCACAATTTTAGATATATCTGCACAATTTTGCGGGTTTTGTCTATATATTTATTTTAAGAAACTCGCTATAAAAACGAGCAATGAACACTGAGAAAAAATTAAGAAATTTCAGTACTTGAAGTAAAAAACTGAAGGAACAATTAAAATTCAAAAAAACTCACAACGCAGCTATTTCATGAGAATCGAACAGTATGGTTGGCAGGTCAGTATAAAATTTTAGACATGAAATAAAATTATACTTCCCTTATCCAAGTAAAGCATTTGAACGGAAGGTAATCTCTTCACATAAATGTCACATGCATTTAAAAATAACAGCAACATTGACGAATCTTGCTGTTCGCAGTTGCATCCCCCCCCCCCAAGATTCTGGGTTTGCTTCCACGAAACAGTCTACCAACTTCTCTTGGTTTCCCTAAACTGTGTATAAAATGTTTTCTTAATTCGAACAATATTATGGGGGCAAATGAGATTTGAAAAGAGTTTTGGACATCTGGTGATTATATTTTCATAAAGACATTAATGGGATCGAATGAGCTTTACTTCAGATAGATAGCAACTTTTCTGTCGCTGCTATATTCTACCTGGTAGTTACTGTTGTTGCCCAGATTTCAAGCTTAGGGTATTGGATTTCCCAAATGTTAGTCCGGGTTTCTGGTTTTATTCAAAATTTGGTCCTGTTTTGGGGTTCTGGTACCCCCGACCTTCCAGAGCCCCACTCTTACAGTCCTGGGCAGAGCTGCTGAAGCAAATATATAAATACACCAGGGCATACAGAGGAAGACTTGACAACCCGTCCCCTTCTCGAAGATACTACTAGTTAAGTAGTAGATATATGAACATTAACGTTGGGGAGAGGGTGGTGAAAAATCTTAATTCCATCTTTATATAAACGTAGGGATGGAGCTACTTTCTTTTCTCTTCAGTCACTTAAGAACGAGAATTCGAACCACAGTGTATGGAACGTTCCCTTTAACACAGCCTTCGAGCATCTCCTATACTTAAGGCTAATGATCAAAGGGGCTGAAGGTGTTCTTGGCTTTGAAGAGAGCGACTAACATCCCTTATTGCATGATTAAAATGGATCAGGAACTTTAGTCATTGCCGTTAAGTTGAAATCGCCCATTGCAGTTTGATTATTTGATTTGAAGCTCTTAAAGTTTTGTTAAGAATTTTAAGGGGATTTCGTTAACCTGATTTGTTCCGAATGAACACAAGCCAGGATCGATAGATATATAGCATTATACGTGACCGTGTATTGTAATTTAGAATGTTGAACTCTTGCTAATAATCTTTTTATCATATGGTTGATCTATTTGCAGAAAAGAGCTGTTCCTTGATCCAAATTCCAAGGATGACAATTGCTATATCGACATAACTGCATTGGTAAGTATAGAGTGCCGACAATAGAGTACAGGCCACGAAAATCTTTATCATGAATTGTGAAGATTCTTAGCTAATCGCAATCAGTCCTGTAGACTTTCCTTTTTGATTATATGCAAGGTTGAACGAGTATACCACGAGCAAGCGATAATGACTTAAGGGGAACATTTGACAGCAGTATGTTGATGGCACAATTTTTGTTGGGACAAAAGTCGGGATAAATTGAATAGAGGCTAGTCAAGAAAAAGATTATTAACTTGGCATGTACTGTACCTTAATTTTCTAGATAATCGAAAGATAGTACCATATCTAGATATAAATAGCTAAATATCTACACAATATTTAGCTATTTATACAGTAAAGAGGCAGAACCTATTAGCGTGCACCTTAAAATATCAATGTGCTATGACGAAGCATCTTTGTCTCCGTTATACTTGTTACTATACTTGTACTTTGTTCCAAAGCGCTTTGAGCGCTCGATGATCAAAGCTTTGAGCTTTGTGGCTAGACTCTTTCGCCTCTAAATGCATTGTAACAAAACGCTTTTGGCCCTTAATATTTTATGACCAAACTCCTTTAGCCCTATTCTGCTTTTGTCGAAACGCCTTTGACTGCTTGATCCTTTTTGAACAAAGCCGTTCTTCCCTTAATGTTTTGTAACCAAATTCCCGTTGCCCCTTTCTGCTTGTGCCCATACGCCTTTGACTGTTTTATCCTTTTGCGACAAACGACTTTGTCCCTCAATGTTTTGTGCCAAATTTTTTTGCCCTTTTCTGCTCTGTGCCTAAACGCTTTTGTCTGCTTGATGCGTTGTAAGCAAACGCCTTCGACACCTTCATGCATTGAGACCAAATTCCTTCCACCTTAGGCCTTGTGAAGCATCCACTTGAACTGTGAGTTTCAAATATATTTGAATGAAATGAATAAAGGATGTATGTTGTATCACTTGCATATTGCTCATTTGGTTTTCCAGGGAAGTGGCCAGTCACAATGTGTTGATCGGTGGATGCAATTGCAATTTGCGTTGGAGGCACTGGACATATCGTCAGAGGAAGCGAGAGGGCTCTGGGCTCCTGTTGCCGCAATTTACCATCTTGGTGCAGCTGGAGTCTCTACAGGTAATTTGTCTGTTAAATTAGGAAAGCTCGTGGTCTGTTTTGAATTCTTGAATCACCTTGTCATTCTAATTTGTCTGTTATTTTCTTGCTGCTCTAAGCTTGATCTTTTTTGTTTTCATACTCATTTTTTTATTTACTGAGCTCCAACAAAGTATGTAGTTTGTAAAAGATGTTTGCCCCATCAAGCCACAAACTTTCTCAAAATATTGATGAACAGAGATCTTGATGCTAAAAGCCGCCACCTTGTTTGTTCTGTAGTCCAAAAAACTCATGCAAGATGTTATTTTAAATGTCTCTAAACATTTTTGCTCGATGCAGTATCAAACTCAATTTATTTCCCAGAGCCACTTAATTGCAAAAATTAGTAATCACGCTTTGTATTGGCATTTTTGCACGACGCGTTCTCAGATACAGTATTCTTTACAAGCACATATTTGCTTGGTTTTTTAGTTTTTCTGTTGCTTCTTAGATACTCAGTGTACACCATATAACCAAATATAAAATACCTTTGATCAAGGGTTCATTTATTGATTTTGTTCAGGTGGGGCTTCAGGTATGCCTTCATTTGTCAACCACGCATCTGCTCAGAAAGCTGCTAACATCCTGGGCACAACTGATGCAGAATTATCAAGGATAATCTTCTCTCCTTCGTCGTTACCTAAACCTAGACCGTCACCTGAAAGGAACAGAAGTGATTCTGCTGCAAGTATAGAGCACAGTGTTGATGCTGAAGGGAGCACATACCAAGATGCTTTAGATGGATTCGTTATGGGCCTCTACGTAGAAACATTCTCGGCTCTCATTCGTCTTATCAACAGGTAAGGCTCCTGCAACCGTTTTTTAACTTTGCTTGTTTTGCTAGCCCTAGCCTCAGCAGTGCCAATTCTGCCTATCCATTCGCATACTGATTTGGCTATATGGCAGTTATTGACTTTTTTCTAAATCCTTTTTTGAAGAATGCGATTGTCTCAAAGTTAGCATGCACGAGGAAAGATATTTAATCCTTGCAAGCGAAACTTTATGTTACTATTTAGCTTTTTTTCTTTAACGAACGTTGAAAAATGCATTTTGTGCATCAGTTTGAGTATTGCAATAGATTTTTGTTTTTCAAAGATAAAGCAAGTCCTTTGAAGCAAGTATGTTATAGGGATCTGGAAGAGCCGGCTTTTCCTTTTGAATTCCTGATAGACTGACTTAGTGACCCCTTTAGAGGCATGTAAAATTTGCCAATAAATGATGATGTTTAAAAGCTTTGCTTTTTAAGGTTCATGTAGAGTTAGAGCGCGAACGTATTCCCGTATCAATTACATGTGTTTCTCTGTTTATGTTGTCCAGATAAGGCAGGATGATACTTCGAGATAAGATCTTAGCCCTGTTTCCCGCGTGTGAAGATGTCAGATCCCTGATTTCTATTGGGACCCTTTTCTTGACGATCCACAACTGGTCATAAAAATCCACTCACCTCACACCAAAGAAGTATTATAATCTGATTTATTTCATTTTCAGGGCAATCTCAACAACTACAAAAGTGAACACAACCCTACAAATCTTGGATAGTCCAGGGTTTCAGGATCCCATCTCTGTCCACCCGAAAGGCCATGGCGCAAGCTTTGAAGATTTGTGCTACAATTATGCTTGTGAGAAGCTGCACTGGTTTTTGCATTTTGCAACATTTACGAACCAGCTGGATCGATACAACAGGGTATGATGTGTTCTTGCACCCATTTGAAGCTTGCGTCTTTATCGCATATCAATGCAATATAAAAAGCTGTTGTGTAGCATATCAGAGGGTTTCATACCTTTTTAAGTGTAGCAACTTCTATCTCTACTTGTTTTCTAGTCTTATACAAAGTCTTAGAACTTGTGTGTTCTAAAGTCTCAGGAAATTTGTTTTCATTCATTGTAACTTTGCTCGTAGGAAAACATTGACTGCAATTTTGAAATTGAGGAGATGGTGCCTCCAAATGCTGCTATTGCGACTCTTGATAAACTCAATGCGGTAAGTTACCTTTCTTGGTATTGCTCTTCCATTACAAAAAATTTCTTTGTATTGCTCAAATGACAAGTTACAAATATATACATTGCCTTGCTTGTCAAAGCATAGTCCAAGACACTCTGAAATGCCATTTTTCGTAGCCTTTTCTTAAATGAATGACAGTTTTTGTAATAAATGGATTGATTTTGAGCTTTTGGTGCCATTATAATAGGCGATCTAAGCACGACTTGTCCTTTTAAAATGCTTTTATGGAAGTTTTCTTCATATCAACAGATAGGTTATAACAGTTTTTAACTGCATCCAACACTGCCGCTTTCAACAGCTTTAATTCAGATGATTTTCAGAGTGTCAGCATTTGCCGTTTAATAAAATCTATCTAGCTGTTATGATATTTACTTTTTTAGCCAAAATTGTTATAAGGAGAGAGGAAAGAAGATGCCAGCTTATCATTTTTCAATGCAATGATTTTGCTAAAGAATTTCGTAACGTATTTGATTTAGACGTTGTGTTTAAGTTGTTATTGTCGTGTGCTTACAGGATCGCAGGAGCACATTCTCCCAGAAGAGTGATCCAAGAGGCGTATTCTGGATCCTTGAAGACGAGGCAATGAAATCAAATGCAAGTGAAATTGGCCTAGTCGAGAAAATCATGCTGGAGCACGGTGCTTCAGGAGGTAAACTAGTATTTTTACTCACCAAAACGTCACAAAACTAAACATAAGAACATGCATTGTAAGGAATTTTTTATAATTCAAGATACCCTTGCTAACAAAGAGTTAAAATAATCTTTTTTGTATAATTATTTAGTTGTGGTTTGGCTTACGGAGGAATGAATCTTTAATAAACTGAATGTTTAACAAATGAAGCATGTATGTATTAATATAATTGAAGGAAAACTTTTGTACCAGTCCACTTATCGGGGAAAGGGAACGAATTTGTGTTGTACGGTTAAAAAAATCGAATTAGCTAACCTGTTTTACAGATTTTCGGAAGCTAATTCTAAAATCACCAGCAGCATTTCTCTGATTTGTCTTACAGTATAGTAGCGCAAAGTCTAATTTTCATTTCCGTTGCGTCTTAAAGGCTTCTGAATCGTAATATTTTCAGTATTTTATGTAGTTTCATTAATTTTGTAGATTTTATTCCTTGAAATGATCTTGTTTGTATCACATTATCTTCGTCTAGATTGATATTTGGCCATAATTTTCAGTTTTTGAATATCTTTACTTTCTGTGCTCAATTCCTGTATCTGTCTCTCTAGAAGATTCCATGGTTAAGCTCGGCGATTTTAGTGACACATTCAAGCTGGCACATTTACAGAAAACTGTGGATGTCACATATTGTACCAGTGGCTGGCTCAAACGCATCAAAGAGCACCCAACTATTAAAGTGGCTTATACCGTTTTAGCAGAGTCAAAAAAGTACGCTTTTGATTTGTCTTATCGCGGCCATTCAATCAGGAATTACGCATTGATTGTCGTCCGCTACCTGTCTTCGTATAAACCTGTCTTTGCCTTTTACTTTGATCCCGGCAGCTCAAGCAAATATTGTCAGGACACAAAGTCCTCTTTTTTCCAAAATAATCGTCTGAGAGGTTTAGCTCTTTTTGTTGACTTTGTGATAGCTAAGTGTTTGATAAGATATATGTCAAGATAAAATCATTTCCTCGCTGTAGATGAAGCATTTTCTTGAAGTCATTTCACAAAAATTTTATTTACCTGGCTGAAAATTCTAGGAACTTTTGATTTGAAAATGGGGTACTAGAAGGAACTTCAGCAACATATAAGTTGATCTTTCGACATCATAAAAACGTTCTTACTACGTTGTTCTTGCAAAAGCATTATTGATAATTTTTTAGGCCTCATGTGGCGGATTTGTACGTGGGTCATCGGTCAGGCGTTCTCCAGGTTGAAATCCACCGCACTCGCAGTGTCAAGAAAAGAAGCGCACATGGGCCTACTTTACCAGCAATAAAAAAGAATTCGGCTTGTATGCTTCTCAAAATGCAAATGGTAAGTAAGCTTTGCTTTAGCACATCCTGCAGGGAACTGAGCAAGTTAGTTTTTAAATTGGTCTGTATTCATTTGTATTAGCTCTGAAAGATATTCTCGTGTCTAGGCAAATCGAAGGGAATTTTCAGACGACAATCAATGAACGAAAAAAGAAGAACGAATCTAAGAAAATAATTCCATAGAGAAGAGCTGAAGAAATTTAGGTTTGATAAAAGTAAGGCTGCAAGCCATAAAAATATATGTATATAAACATCAGAGCTAGTAAGAGAAAGTCTTCTTAAAATCGTTAGACCAGATTTTTGGAAGTTTTTTTGAAAAAAGATGGCCTTCTTTGAAGAAGATTTCCAGCCGATATAGGTCTGTGAATCGCCATCTGCAAGTTAGTCCTTCTGCTAGTGTAGCATTTATACGCGTTGGTCTTTTTTGGAACGGTACTAAATGCCATTCATTATTTACTATGCATTATCTTGTCAATGCATCTATTTGCTGAATGATATCTCTTCGCAGGATTCCCTTCTGGAGACACTGCGGAGAACCAACTGCCGCTTTGTGCACTGCTTTCTTCCTGATGTCAATGCTGGAGTTCCTGATTCCGTACCAAGAAGTCCAGCTTCTCCGAAACCTACAAACCCTGTGCTAGATGTGCCATTATTGAGAAAACAGTTCAGGAGCTCTCGAGTATTGCACAGCATACGGATGCATCGACAAGGTTTGTTGCAATAGATTTCCTTATTCATTATCCTCGTGTTAGTGCAGATAATTGGTACAGAAGGAGTATTGTGCTGTCTTATCTTCTTTTTTGTTTCATTATTCTTCTTCTCTCCTTTTCTTTCTTTTCTTCTTAATTTCATCTTCCCCTTTTTCCTCTTCTCATATTCCTCTTCTCCTTCTCATCTTTCTGTTTTTCTTCTCATCTCTCTCGCATTTTTCTTATCTTTCTCTTTTTGTTCGCATCTTCCACATCTCTCTCTTATTGTTTTCATCTTCCTCTAATTGTTCTCATCTACCTATTCTTCCTCTTTTTTCTCTTCTTCTTATCTAGTAATAATATTTCTAAATGTAAAGGCTGCGAAGAATCACGTAAATGAAACAAATTAATGAAAACAGGAAGTAAAAAAAGTAAGCTAAATTATGTGTTACTAAAAATCTATTTTCAATGAATGTAGATTTAAGCATTTTTCTAAAACGTCGTTATTGTATGCGGCTATAAAAGTGCATTCAGTCAAAACCGCATCCTGTTACATATTAGATTAAATTCAGTGTGTAAAGATGTTCTTCCTTTCAATATCTAAAGCATTGAAAACCTCCAGGACACAAAATGAAAGAAGGGCATAACCTAGATCTGACAATTGATATTCTTTTGTTTTGAAATTTGAGTCGTGTACCACACATGTTATTGTCTCAGGCTGGGTCGAAAAATGCTTTCAAACACCTTGAAATCGTATTTGAAAGACGACTGGACTTAATTAACACTAGTTGGTATATTGCACTGTATTCAATGGAACTAGATTTTTATTTGACAAGCAAGTCAGACTGGTCTCCTCTCAATACGACCTGTTATGTCAATACTGTAGGTTCGAAATGAGACCTAATGGCAAGCCAGTTAAATGTTTGTCATGTTTGTATCAGATTTATCATGTGTTTCTCCAAAAATGAATTTTGAATTCGGTCAACAACATTTGCCTGAAAACCGCAGACTGAACCACAAGGGTGACCAGAGCTGAATCTGTAATTAAGAACTTCATTGGCCTAAAATTTTAATGAAACAGCGTTTAATTATGCATTCCTATTTGCCGTTCATTTATTATCATCACAAATACTGTTATTTATACATCAACCTGTGAGATCCCATGAAAGCCGATGTTTTATGGTGAACTCGCTTGAGATTACTGCTCGCTGTCGCCTGTCTTGAGATTACGACCTTTTTGTCTTGTTACATCCTTGGTGTCAAGTTTAGTCGCAAGTCGTGAAATTGGAACACCATCATTTTTCAAACAAACGGATTGACTACAAAAATTTGATTTTTGGGATTCAAAAATATATGCAGAAGAACTTCGAGGTGCTGCCGCAACGCCACCAAAGTATTTTCTACGTATAGGACTTACGTTGGTTCATCTGCCTTGACAATGGCTTCTATCGCCCAGAGCCGTCGACATGTCTCTTTGGCTAATATTCAATTGAATTTTGCAAAAACTAGCATTAAACCTAAGTCTATGGCGTTAGAATTTATTAGCAAAGACCCCGGAATCTCATTTATTGGTATGCATGCTACGAATGATTGATACAAATTGTTTTAACAATGTTAATGTCTTACCCAGAGCTTAGATCGGTGCACTTTGTAGATGTATACGTTTCAGAGCCCTGGCACATATTGGTGCAACTACGTTGGGACATCCTTTCTTAAAGTCTGTATTTGTGATGTAACAACGTCTGTGGATGTTGTACATTCAGCCTTGTGTTTGTGCGAGGACCCTGTTAAAACAGGAAGGGATGTCGCTAGAACTGGAATTAATCATAGATTTTGCAACTAGGCTTCATCATTTAAAAAATCCATCAACATTTTTTGTCATGACTCTATGGAGCGTTTGAGTATCAGAAAGATATATAGTGATACAAGGTGTTTCTTTTTAAAAAAGATTGTATTTATTTTGCTATATTATCTGTAGATGTAATCAACACTTTCTACTGAAATTTGTTTGTATTTTATCGAGTATTACACGAATATACTATAAGGGGGGAGGGAAGGGGGGTGGGGTACTCATTGCTGAGTTAAACATACTGATTTTTTATACGAAAATGTTGTTATGAAAAAATTTACGTTTAATTTTTTGAGGAAATTATTGATGAAATATGTTTGATTGAGAAAGCTAAGTAACTTGGTTTCACAAGCCAAAGAAACCAATCACGTATTTGAGATGCAAATGATACCCAATTTAGGCAATTTATTACTCTTCGTTTCTGATCTTTATTTGGTTTCATTTTAGGTTATCCTGAATTCATGCCATTTGGGGAATTTCGTCGCCGGTTTGAAATTTTGCTCCCACGTAGCGAACGTCAACACGAGCCAGTCCTGGACGAGAAGCAGGTACTAACTTTATTGCGAGGTTAAACAAGCCAGGTTTTTCATTCCTGGCAAATAAAACCACAGCGAAGCTTGAATAAAATGCAACTGAAAATACTGGATGTAGTTTGTAAAAGTGTAAATGGATTGTATCAGTTGTGAGTTGTTCAGAATCAGAGTGGAAATTAGTGCTATTAGAATGCCAAGAGAATCAGCACATTGATCTCACAAAGCATGAACTCGTATTTTCTTACTGGAATGAAGGAGATGGCACTAATGGCGATCATTATGTGTTTATAGATAAAAATTTATTTATTATCTAAAACGTAACAAAAAACTCGAAGATAGCAAGAAACTAGCAACAAATGAGCATTCACAATAAATAACGCTAAATGACCAGTTGTCCAGAATGACGTTTAAGACTGTCCAAATAAAGAAGGTTGAATTCAACCCTTAGACATGGCCTTCTTTTGTCAATCTATTTTTTGGCCCCCAATTGCGCATCCTTGGAAATGAAAGTATATTTCTCCTGCTCGCATTTGCTTAGTACAAGCTTTGTGTCCATAGTTGTCTCAAAAAATTGGAAAATAAGATGTAATTGTTTCTGTTTTATGAGACAAGCGTTGTCTCATCATGTTGCACTTAGCAAATCAATTCATGTTTATTCAAGATTAAGCGGTGATAACAGTCAAAGCGTCCCTAAGCACGCGATGTTTTCTTTCACGAATGGTTTGTTTGTTTTCAGATATTTTGTTGTCTCTTTTATAACCCATATTTGCGTCTACTTCAGACTTCATGTAACTGTCCGTGTTTTCTTTCTGTTCGGCTAACTGTTACTTAAGCACCTTTGTATTTAGGTTGTGGAGAAGATGGTGGAGTATATGGAGCTCGACAAACGAAGCTACAGAATTGGAGTTAGCCAGGTATGATTTTTAGCATTTTGCTTGGGGGGAGGGAGAGAGGGGCACAAAAAATGAAGTTTTAGGCTACGCCCATTTAACATTTAGAGAACGTCATTGTACCAACAGGGAACGCCACTGTCTAACTTTTGGTTATGCTAAGGCAGCTTCAAATCATAGGATTTTATCACAAAGATAAAAAGCTCAAGGGCCTGCTCCCTAAAAGCGTTTGTAAAATACAACCTTTTCTTTCAAACCTTTTCTTTACGCGGGCCATAAGTAATAAGAAAAACGAAAACGATAGCTGTAAAAAAGATGATAAAAATAATGAAAAACTTGCATTTATATTCAATCACAATACAATTACAAACCTCTCTCTTTACATAGATAGTTTGCAACGATAGACAAGGCTGTAACAAGTGTGAATGCAAAAAGGGAAACTAAAAAAACCAACCAGGATTAAAAAGGATGTGGTTTAGGGTTTGGAGAAATCATCTTTGCAAGGAAATACAACGTTTCAACATCGTCCTTTTAGCTCAGACCATCCACTTAAATATACTTAAACACTAATTCATCCATTTTTGCCCCCAGCACCCTAGCCACTGAGACATGACCAAATAGGGACAACCGTCATCCCTGCTCAACTGCCATGAGCGCATCCAGTCAGATTCGTTCTTTCAATATTTGTTAACTTTTGCCCAGTCCCTTAGAAAATTCTGCTATCCTGTCTTTAAGCATCCTGACGATTGACAGCGAGCAAATCTTTCCATTCTTTGATCAAGATTTTAGATTATGCAAACAATCTTTTGGTGGTACAAACTTGAAAATGTTCAAGCAGTGCCGCTTGCCTATTGAAGATGTTACTAATGGAGTCCTAAAGTGAAAACAAACTCTATTTGTCTACACAATAGCAGTTTTTTCGTGCTTATGTAGATAGATTCCAAAACTGCTAGATGGAACGACGATCGGGCTTTACCAATAATCCGAAACTTGTCGCTATTATAGTTTTTTGCACAATCTGGGTTTTCCAGTAAATGCTGTCCGATAGCAGAATCGCACGCTTTAGTTGTAGTTTTAGATCTGCAACACCGAAGTGGCTGTTCTCTTTGGGGATGAGTTTCAAAGCAATTTTAGATTATTTTTCACTAACTATTTCGCACCCTTCGGAAAACTAACCTTGCCAACCAAAAAGAAATTATAGTATGATATTTTTCATCTTGCGGGCCACAAAAATTCTCTTCCCGGGCCGGATTCTCGCCCGCGGGCCGTAGGTTTCCCACCCCTGATATAATGGAATATATATTCACTATCTATCTCAAGTTTCAACCCAGGTCCTTGACTGGCTCTCAATGGTCCTCTTTGCTGATGATATTTTCTGAGTTTTGAGGTAATATTGACCTGGTCGTTTAGAACTGTTTTAGTAAAATTTTGAAGAAGTTTTCTGAATTTTGCAGCATAAGTGTATTGTTTTTTATTTACAGATATTCTTCCGCTCTGGAAGTTTTGCTCAGCTTGAAGATTCTCGTGATGAAAAACTTAACGATGCTATACAAGAGTTCCAAGCACATTGCCTCGGTTATTTAGGAAGGAAGAAACTGAAACAGTTAAGGGTACGTATATTTGCTCATGTTCCCCCGTCGTGCACATGATTTAACTCATCAACCTTTCTTAGTGCCCTGCAACTCAGTTTAATTCAATGAAACCTAAAAAATACACCTAAATTTGCGTTTTTTGCGACCCATGAAAGAAAAACTTATCAAGTCTGGCTGCTAAAATTAAGATTATGTCAAGAAACAACAGGCTAGCAAAAACTACATTCAACCTGCTTCTTCCCGGTCTCATTGTTTGCAAAATAAATAGGTTTTGCTGTTTATGTTTTTGATATTTATTTGTTTTGATATCTTGCCGATGCAGAAGCTAAAGTTATGAATGAATTCAGTTTGCTATGTAGAAATTATAAACATCACAATGTCATAGATTTATTTATATAGACTTCCTACCCTGAAGCTAAAGGGAATACATGCTTTTGTTTGCAAATTCACGAGGTCTTTCCGCCTCTCTAGTATCACATAAAGAAGGAATCGATCTGAACACAATAAAACGAAATGTTTTGTAAAGAAGTAAAAAGAAAGTAAACATGATTTGAAATTTGTATCTGTTTTGATTTTCCCCGAGGGTTCATCCTTAGAAATTTTTCATTGTTGAGCAAATTCAGATATGACGTTACAGTTGATAATTAAAATTGAAAGTGAACACTATAGAAAAATATTTCTAAAAATTCCCGAAAGCAAGAATTATTTTTGATTCTTTAGCCTTGGTGATAATTGCCATCGTGCTCATTTTCTGTGGATTTAACTTGCGTAGGTTCAACATATTGCCGTGAAGTGCCTACAAAGAAACATAAAAAAGTATATGGCTGTTCAGAACTGGACTTGGTGGAAATTGTATACTAAAGTGCTTCCGTTGTTGGATGTACACAGGACAGAAGAGGAACTGAAAAGTAAAACGGTACTATTTTTAATGCAAAATGAGAAAATTGCTATTCATATTGTAAGTTCTTATCTATTTATCTGGTACCTTAGTCATGATATCACATAACAATTGTTATATGTTGAATTTATATAGTGATAAAACATATTGTATTATGTATAAAATTTTAATAAATTTCTTAATTTTCTTTAATTTTTCACGTTGTTATATTTGAGAATAAAATTAATTAAGAATAAAATTGTCGTTTATACACATAAAGAGACCAGTTTTTTCATTAAATGTTCCTTTCGTGTCGGGAATTATTTCAGAACTGCCAGCTCAGTTGTCATTGGGTTTTTCTTTTATATGATGTGCTGTCAAACTGTTTGGTAAAGTATTTGCTGTCAACAGTGGCTAGAAAAGCTGAATCGATCTCCGTATGACTTTGTATTTTTCATCCACTCAAGTAGATTTGATAATCTCCTACAGTTTGATAACTTCTTTCTAATAGTTAATGATTGAGAGAAACAGGCCTTTTGCTTGTTTACAAAGGATTACTGGGTCAGCGTGAAGTAGCTGCTAACTGATCCTACCCAGTTTGTGACGTCATCTTATCACCCGTCTATAATTGTTTGCTGTTTGCATTTTAGAGTGAGCTTGGCTTGTATAAGAACAAAGTGGAGAAGCTTGAAAGTGAAAATAAAGACTTGAATGATATGAACATGAAGCTTCGTAAAAAGGTAAGCAGGCATTATTTTTCGATGCCTTTAAACAGTATAGTTTTTGTTCAACACGTGCCACTTATGCTATGTTATGTATTAGGGGTGTGAGTTTTGTTTATGCCGGAGGATTGCTTATAAAAGTTCCTCATTGTAGAAAATTGACGAAGGTGTTTTATCGCAAATTTTCGAAATAATTCTGTTAAAATCACGGCCTATTTGTTTTTGGTAAGATAAAAGGTGTACACTTTGGTTGATATCTTTGCTTTGTCCGAGGGGCAATTTACTCTTGTAAATTGCGTACAAGATTTCCACGAAAAGAATTTCCAGGGATTTCCAGAGAAAGCATAGAACTTCCACCGAAGAGGTGTACGAGATTTTAATGGAATTAATTGCCCCTTGGCTTTGTCTTCAAAAGTTGGGTTTAATCAGAATGATAAAATGTCGACCAAAATATTGCAGTTAGTAAATTGTTATCCTGTTCCTTCTGGCCAAATTGATACATGTCTGTTAATAACACTGTGGTTTGATAACTAAAGAAACGGGTACATGTTTTTACTAAAAAAGGTTTAGAATTAGCGTCTCCATAGAGGGTAGGGGGCTTACCTTCTCATACATTGTTTTGTTTTATAATTCTAGGCGAGGGGCAAATCACCCCAAGAAAATCTCGTACACCTTTCGTGAAAATTCTATTGTTTTAAATGAAAATTCCCAGAAATCCTTTTGTTTAAGGGAAAATCTCGCACGCTATTTGCAAGAGTGAATTGCCCCTCGATTCTAGGTGTCTAGGTTCAAAAGGGGTCGTCCCCATCTCTTTTTTCTTCTAACTAGGATAAAATATTTGCCTTTCGAAGAAATAATAGGCCGAATTTTCTTGCAGGTGAACGATCTTAGTGTTTCACTAAGTCAAGTTCAAAGCTCCGTTGCTAATGCAAATGAATTACTTGAGAGTGAATCTACAGAGCGATTGCATTTGGAAGAAGAAGTAGAGAAGCTGAGAGAAGAAAACGAGAAATTGACGAAGGAACGCGAGAAAGTAGAAACAGAGTTGCTTGAGGCAAAGGTTGAACAGCCGTTGCAAAGTAGAAAGTTCAGTAGCAGTTTGATTGAAGGAGACGAATCTGAAGAGGATGGTAGGGTAAAAATTAATGTCCTTTTGAAACAGTTTGTTAAGTAACTGTCAGATTCAAAGGCAAAACAATATGTTAACCCCCCAACCAAATATAAGGCTGCGTTTACAAGGGACCGGCCGAATATTTTGTCGGCCAAAAATTTGGCCTGCTTTTGAAGCCGGCCACAAATGAGATCGCTTAGGCGTTGCGTTTACGCGGGGCCGCTCAAGAGACCCAATTCTTATGATTTGCGCAATATGTCAAAGACTTAGCGCCAAAGATAATTGTGATCAAAATATAAAGCATGAGCGCAATGTTTATGCCTTATTTATCATAACAAAGGAATATCACGGAAAAGGGAGCTGTGGGTTTACCCATATCCTCAAATATTCAAGCTATCAAAAGGCATGCAAACTTTTTGTTGATTGTAAGAAATTTTAATCTCCTTTGTGAATTTGTAGGGTCATTAATTACGGATCTTACTGTTACCATTAGAGACCCGCATTCACCGTTGTGTAATGATTTTGTACTGACCCATATGACCTCTTGGACCAATATGACACCAGGGTCATACTGGTCTAGGGAGGGTCACATTGGTCTGGGCAAGAATAATGAATTTAAGCTTTATAATGGTTACAAACGCACCGAAGCGCTCTTTTAGTTTCTAGTAGGCCTACAGTTGCTGGTTTTGATTTTTCAAATCCAAATTCCACTAATCTTAATGTGTAAAAGCTTGTTTGACTTTCAAAATATGTTTTGGACTAAGCCAAAAATTTGGCTTATTTTAGATTTATCTGGATAATTCTCCAAATTGGCTGAATATTTGAATTTTTTAAGTAGCTGCTTCATTTGTTATTCCTCTGCTTTAATTGCCTCTAAGGGAGCACCTTTGGTCGATCATTTCCTTTGAGACCTTTGGGTTTCCTTTGTGAAGTAAAACGAAGAAAGTGAGGTGTCAAAAAAAATTCAATCCAATTGTGTGCGCTGCAAAAATACATCGAAGTTGTGTCAATCGACAATAGGCAGGAACAACGCCAAACGGCAAGAAGCAATTCAACGTAAAATAATGTGATGTGATAAACTTAAAGTTTCAAAATATTGTCTAATTCGCCTGGAGAGGCCGGCAGGGTTTTCGCTTGCCGTTTCTTGAAACAAATTGCAATCGAGGCTGGCAACCTCAGGGGTCATATTGGTCTATTTGGGGTCATTTCTGTCCGGGAGTTATTGGTCTGGACCGATATGTCCCTGGAGTCATAATGGTCTGGAGAGTCATGTTGGTCTGGAACAATTTCATTGCAACGTATTCCCTTACCTGTCCTAAAAAACAAAAGGGTTTCCAAGAGGATTCAAATCATCTGTTCAAAGAAACCACGTTTTAAAAGAGTATTAAACAGTATTTGCTAAACGTTTTTTGTTCCCACAGATTCAGTTTACAAGGCAAAGTATAAAGCTTTGAGTGAGGAAGTTCAGAATCTTCGTCAGAAGTTGCTACATGAAGTAGAAGGAGAGATAGAAACCCTTACAATGCAGAAGAGACAAGCAGAGAAACAGGTAAATTATGGTTTATCCAATGGGAATATATTTTTGATACCATCTTTGTGTTATCATTTCTAATTGGGTTGTTATTACCATGAAATATTTAAACCTGTTTATAGATAGTATGATATTGAACAAATCATTCTCGTGAAGAGGCGACATTTGACTGTTTTGCATGTTGTGTCAAAGGTAGAAAATGATTGGGAAGTAGAAGAGTAGGATTCAATGAAGCAAAAGCAAAAATAAAACTGACTATATTTTATAGTATCCCCAGAAAAAGCCTTGATTTGATTTGAATTTAACTGTTGTGGTCTTCCAAACTGGGTCTGTCCAATAGTTCAAGTTTTCCGTTTATTTACTGGAGTTAAGTCTAAATTGAGCTAAACAATTGAAACAATATCATTAATTTTGGCAACAAAGATGGAAACATTTCAACACGATTTGATCCAAGCATTTTCATGTACCATTACATTGTGATGCAATTGGTTGTTTTTCCCCTTAGATACTTCATTTATTTCGCCTGATTTGTCATGAAACTAATAAATACTTTGTGTCCTTTTTATCATCGTCCTGATTTCTCTTAAAATTGCAATTCCCAAAATCTTCAAAACCCAGCTTAAATCAAGACGGGATATTTTTAAATGATGTGTAATTCCAAGTGTTTGCTTTTCTCATGACCATTTACGTTAAAACCATCAATGGCATTTCAGCTGGCTGAGGAACAAGAAGAAGCTGAAGACTGTAGGCGACAGATGGTCACAGCCAAGCGAAAATTAGCAAAATACAACGAAGAGATGGAGGACATGAAATTGATTTTGGAAACATCACATATACGAAATGCTGAACTAGAAAAGAAGCAGAGAAAGTATGTTCCTTTTGCTTCAACGTCCTTCAATTAAAAAAACTGAATTCAAGTGGTGTCGAAATTCATTTGCAAAATAGATTCTCGTTTTAAAATTTCTACTTGTTTTACTATATATTCCTGCTGTTTATTCCTATGCTTTTCTTTAAGTGGTGATTGTATTTTAAGTTATTTGATATTTCAAAATGATTTTATTCATGATTATCGATTATTATTATTGTTTTTAATTTCAGGTTCGATCAGGAAATGAATGCCCTTCGCGAAGAGCTGAACACGGAAAAACAAGCTAGAGAGGATACCCAGAAGGAGAAAAACACACGGACAGCGAAGCATCTGACCATAGAAAATGAACTACTGGTAAAATATTCCTTGAATATACCATCTCAACTTACGGCCTCGTGAAAATATTTCCATGAAAACAATGTTCTTGATAAACCTGCAGCTAGAATTCTTTTTTATGCTAAACTTTTTACTTAATATTCAGATTGAGGACCAGAAATTAAGTCACTAAGCTGTAACTAAGTCAGCACTGTCAATACACTTATGGTAAAAATATTTCATAAATCAGATTTTCCAGGCGTAAAAGTATGATTAATTCTCATAAAGGAGGTAGTTTTAGCCCGAAACTGTTTAATTTAAGCTTCTTATCCAAGAAAATGTCTTATTCTGTGATTTACTGTTAATTTTCGTAGGAAAAAGACGAAGAATTGCGACGCGTCCAAAAGGAACTCAACCGAATGCAACAGGAATTTGATGATCTTGGTCGAGGCAGCTTTTCAGGAGACACAGGGGTTGTTATTTTTATACTCCGTAACCTAGTAGAGTAAAATAAGGGCTTCAGAAGATCCGGTACTTCAACCGGTTTCAAAGCGTCCTGAGAACCTTGAAATGAGCGAAGCACCCCATGTTTCTCATTATTCTAATGTCTCTTCACCTCTTCCGTTCTTGGTATGGTTTTTAAATTACGTAAAGATCGATTCACTTTGCGAAAATCAAATATTACGATTCATTTCTGTTTACATTGGCAATGGAGTATCTTCATATGAAAAATTGACAAATTGAGGGAATTCATGACGTTAGTTTACCCTGGAACAAAAGGATTATGATGCTGAACATTATAACTTCTGTTTCACGGTCTGTATAAAGTACTGATGATCGGATGAAGCGTAAAACTATGTTCTGTTTACTAGAAGCGCGATCATGTTGCTGTAGTTTTAAAAACATGTTGAATCTTTTTTGTGAAAAGCTCCCAAACCTAGAAAAGGTAAGGCAGTCTTGCAAGTCAATATGAAATTTTAGACAGCTGTAAACACAGCTCAGTATATCTTATCAACAGCTGTATAAACAATTTTCTCTCCAGGTTCTGAATTTGAAGCGCGATAAACGTGAATTGGAATTGAAAGTACAAGAACAGGAAGAAGAGCTCGATGAGCAGGCAGGCCAGATCCAAATGTTGGAGCAGGTATTGTTTTCAAATAACCTCGATACTTAAACTTCAATTTGATTTATATTGATGAATGACTTTGAAAGATGTTGGCCTGTAATTAAGTAAACTAAAGGAAAAAGGCACAACAACGGCCTGTATGGATAGAGGGAAAGAAAAACATAGGAATTGAATTGGAAGGACATACTTGGCTAGCTTGTTACTTGTGTTCATTTGAATTCGATATTGTGAAATCATTGTGAAAGCATATTTTGCAATATTGTGAAATCTAAGTCTAGCACTGTGAAGCAGAGAATTTCAGAATTGTTTTGAAGACCTTCTTTAGTTTTGCATTTTTCACAGTATAGAATGATAGATGATGGATTATGGTTGAAAGAAATCAAAGTTAGTGGTACTTACGGAAAAACACAAAGAACGCTGGATGTTACAGTTTTTTTACCAGTACAGAAAGAATAATTTCGATTTCAGCTTTTGTAGACATTAAGACTGAAGTTTCTCCACATGCTCTGCTATATGGACTGCTCATTTTGATTAAAACGACTTGTTCTTATTAAGGATTTATGCTCGATTCGAGAACAATAAAGACAAGATTCCTTTTTTCTTGTTTTCAAGCTAAGAAAAGGCATGACTCGTTGCTGTCTTTCAACTCCAGATCAATCGCAAAATATTGTTGTTATGTTCAAATTCACAGCCTAGTTGGAACAGGGTTTTTTCTGATCTATGTTTTTGCTGCATATAGAATTGAAACTGTATTTTGTACGTTTCCACTCCAGGCCAAATTGAAACTTGAAATGGCATCGCAGCGTGACAAGCAGCAGTTTCAAAAGGATCTTGACAGCAAAGATGACGAAATGGAACAAATGAGAGCAGATCAACAGCGAAAGGTTGGTCGTTTTGAAGCATTACGTTTTCAATGTGCATTTTCAAAAAATTATCATCTTTGAACTTTTTGTATTTTTATCCTTTGCTACTCACGAAAACGTAGAGTCGAAAAATGTAGAGGTGTTTCAAAACACTGAGATTCAGTGTTCAAGTAAGTTATTAAAATAACCATCATTCCATATTTTCCATTTTCTATGAACAGTTGATATTCAAACCATGGTTTGTTGGCATCTTACTTGAATTTCGAAAGCCTGAAATACATTGCTATTATCTGTTTTAATTAGGGGAAGAAAGGTTCAAGGGAAATTCTCCAGTAGGTATAGGGGAAAGGGTACCAATACTTGGAAGAACAATTTCTTTTTGTAATTTTTGATAAATTTATTTTCCTTTTCATTTTGATGTTTTTAACAGTGCTTTCCTTAAGTTATCCCTGTATAAAGGTTCTGTCACTCCTTGTCTACTTCGTGGTAATTTCACTCTAATCTTTGTTTTGTAGATGAGGCAACTTGAAGAGCAAATCGAGGAAGAATACCGGGAGAAGAATGAAGCTGTTAAAGTAATTTGTCCTACTTGCACTTGCACTAAAATTATGTTCTTCTATTTAACGAGTTATTATGTTTTTTGTTTGTGTAAGATTTTTTAAAGGTACTTTTCTTGCACCAGCCAGTACAGGCTTTATTGAGGAACAACATCCAATTGTCTTTGGTTGTTTTTCGTCCTGTTTTTTGATATTGTCATGCTCTACATAAGTATACGGGAATTTCTCTATGATATAGAAACCTTGCTGCCAGTGTTTTTTATTGGACATTTCAAGCCTATACAGTGGCTGTTTGTATGTTATTGCTATTTAATTCCTTTGTTTTATGTCAAAACTGCAACTTTTCCTTTATTTTCTCTTTAAAATATTATAATACATGATATTTATATAATCATGTACAAACAACTAGCAATTCTGTTAAAGCGATACCATTGAGAGACAAAGGCAATATACAACATGTGGTCATTCCATGTGAGATAGCACTATAATACACATTCAACGCAAGGTTTGGACGGCTTATAGATACATAGGGCTTGAATTGAATCGACCAGGTTTATAGAAAAACGTACGACCTAAACTATTTGATATTCATATACAACTAGTAAAAGAGGTCTTTATCGCCATTTTCTTTTCATGTAGATGAGACGTGAGTTGGAGAGGCGAATGTTCGATTTGCAGCATTCGAACGACCTTGCTGATCGTGGACATGAGAAGAAGCTCAGAAAGGAATTAAGAAAACTTAGAATCCTATACAAGGATGCAAAATACGCACTCGACAGTCAGGTAAGGGTATCAAGCCAGTTTATGTTAAAAAAAGAATTATGCAATAGATCTATTTATATAATTTGTGCTTGAATACCTAAGCCAATTAATTTTTAAACTCTACTGGTGAATGAAATGTAGTGATTACGCAAGTCAAACCTCCACGAAGCTCATGACACTGAAGAAAGTAAAATTCTGAGACGTTGCAAGGCTTGAAAAGTTTTGTTGGATTATTTAATAGACTTTGGCTTGTTTTTTTGACATAAAAGTTCAGCCTTGCATTTGTGAAGGATGTTTTTGATAAAATCAGTTTCGTTTCTGAATGAAATTAGAATGCAGTTTTTCTTGGTGCTGTTCATACAGAAAATTCTTGACTTCATACAGAAAGTCTGCATGAAATATTTTTAAAAATACGTCATAAAGACGTGGATGATAGTAAAGTTACTGTTTATAGCATATGTATATCAGAATGTGGATTGAATATTTTCATGATTTACATATAGCTGTCAAATGTAGTGATATGGCCTAAAGAGATGTGGGCTCATGTGTTCTGACGTATAATCTTGTTTTCTATTAAGGCTTCACAAAACACAGACAAAACCCAACTAAAGCAATTGAGAAATCAGGTAACATTCACAAATTTCTTTTTTTACTTTTGTCGAGGGAATCAAGTTCAGAATGCAAAACTTGCATTTATTAGGTATGCAGCAACTTGTACATTTAAAGCTAACATCTGCTTCTGCGTGTAGTGGTACTCGAATGTTTTTTTAAAACCTAGAACTTTCGAAGTAAGGAAATATAGTTGCTTGATAAAAAGCTTCACATAAAAAGTGACATATTAGCCTGGCCTCTTCACTGTCTTTCGTCTTATGGTGTAGATGGAAGAGTTATATTTTAGTTAATTCACATAGATCTTCATTTAAATTAACTCGTCGTCAATGAGCAAAATTGTTTTGATTTAATTTTAACTGAATATTTTCCTTGCAAAAAGCTTGAAGATATGGAGTTTGCTAAACACATTGCTGTTAAAGCGAAGAAGCAACTCGAAGCAGACATCGAAGATTTACAAAAACAATTAGAAGAAATGAGCAGATTGAAATTGGAGGTAAGGAATTTTTTAATGCTTTAACTAATTTTTGAGTCATATCATTTGAGATCATTTCTTCTCACTGTCACTCTAGTTTTCGATGAATTTTGAGGGCCATTCAAACTTAGTTTTTAGTTATTTGAATCTCTTCCGTCATAGGCAGAAGAACGGAACCTGCTTCTTTCACGCGAAAATGCTGAAATAATCAACAAGATAGAAGATGGAGAAGATGAAACAGATGAGCTTATAAAAAAGAACAAGCATCTTATAACAGAGGTAATGCATCTATAACTCTTCAAAATTCAAATAGCATTGTTCATTTATGCCTTCACACATCTTGCTGCTGTGTTTCGAGAACATTACTGATTGCTGCCATGTTTTAAAAGCATCAAGAACAACTAAGCATGAAGAAATGAAGTTAATTTCGCAAACAATTATGTAATTACTTAATTTGTTTTAGGTTGCCAAATTGCAAAGTGATGTCATTCAATGCAATTCCACTATCCAAGATCTTTCAGCTGAAAAAGATATTCTCGATGCCAAGGTTGGTATTAGGAGATTATCGTTTATTGGTATGTTTGTCTAGGAGAAGTAGCACCAATCAGTGCAAGGGCTATGGTTAAGAAGCAACAATTTATTCTCATCATCTAGATTGTGTCTTTTTTAATATTTCCTTAAAAACATAATGTCAGTTTGCAACAGTTTTGAAAAATATATGTGGTACTGTTCTTTCCGAAATTCAGGTTCAGCAATTGACAAGCAAACTTGCTTATTATGAAGAAACAACTGTTGACAAATTGGAAGTGCAGAGACTTGAATCAAAGGTATGTTCTACTAATATAGAATAAGTTTTATGGTTGAAGCTGCGACATCATGTTCAGGAGATATTACTGGAAAAGTTACGAAAATCTTTGTTTTGTTCTTTTTATTTTTTCTTCATGGATTTATTGTCTCAGTTAAGAAAATTCTTGAAAGTTCCTTCGGCTGTAGTATATTGCCTTTTGATTGAAAAGTTATTTTTTGAATGATTTATTCAATGTTTCATTAGATATTCTTGGTTGGTTTGATATCCAAGATTTAAACCTTGCAAATATCCCTCTTATTTTGTAAGTTGTTTTTTCCTGACAAAGCAAGGTTCTACTGTAAAGCTGAGACCTTTCGGTAGAGATATTTCAAAATTTGAAGCTCAAACAAGGTTGAATTTGCACCATATTTATTGGCTATTTTCTTAAGACAACTGAGTTTATTGTCTTTACTTAAAAACCAGTAAGACAGTAAGAGATAAAAGAATCAGATACATTGTAGTTGGCCCCCTACTTCAGGTTCATTGTTCATTGTAATTGGCCCCCTACTGCAGGTTATTCACTCAGTCCTAGGCTCTTTGACTTCATTATTTACGAACCTAGAAAAGACAGTTTTTATTTCATAGGGGAAGCCAATTTAAGATACCGAATCTCGGGTCAGCTAAACCAATTTGATTTTAATGGATTGCAACTTATTTTTGAAACACTTGTATGTTTTTGTATTCATTTTCTTTTTTGCTTCCTACTTCATTTCATGCCTGTTGTATTGCCTTTTTAGATACGAGAATTAGAATCAAAGATTGATGTGGAGTCTACCTTGAAAAACCGCCTTGAGGTAAGCTTCCATACTTCCAGTCTTTCTGATTATTTCCAGTCATTTCAAGAGAAACAATATACCATGTTCTATAAATGTTTTCTTTCGACTTTATTTTTCAAAATCTTACGTTCCTTGTAATACTATAATGCCAAAGATTGAAATAAGTGATTTTTGAAAGCTTTCCGCCTGTAACAGAAAACTCCCATGTTATTTTATCCTGATATAACCAGCTTCATTTAGTTTTGCTCTTATATTTCTTACTGTGGTCTTTTTTATTTGTTTTCTTTGATAGATGATAAGTAAAAGTACAAGAAAAATGTTTCATTCTATGCGGTTGCTAAGCCGTGATGAATAGATTTACGTCAGGAAGAAAAAGTCTTTTCTTCACCCATTTTTTTACCTGCACGAAATTGATAATGTGCTTGCGTTTATTTTTGCTAGTCCCAACTTAGTCGCTTAAAGAACACGGTTACAAGTTTACAAGACGAGAGAGACACCCAGATAAATCGAGAAAGCAGACTGAAGGCTGAAGTCTCAAAGTACGTGAATTCCTTTTTTTCAGAATTCTGATACCTCTATGTTATTATGTTAGCAAGCAAAGTAGATTTTTTATAATATTAAAAGCTGACATTCCTTATGTTTGACTTGTAGTTTTTAATTTTTGGGTATATGTCTTTGTTTTTTTTCTCGATTTTATGCATTTTGAATGATTAGGCAACTTTAGTTTCAGTTATTATATGCTTTCACACTTTGTATAAAGTAGTGGTTGCCTCAAGCTCTATTGTCACTTGCTGTTGAGCGGTAGTTTGAACGTTTTTGGTTAAAGTAAAAGCTGATTTGTTGCAGAGAAATTTAATGTATATGAATGACTACAAGTGTAACGCCGTGATGTGATATGATGTAATGTTATTTTAAGTTTAAGAAGTAAGGTGTGAATATAAAACTGTAAATAGTTTAAAAGACTGTATACTAATGAACATTTTCTATTTTATATCTTTCTATTTTCTATTATATACTGGTACATCAATTATATGTTTTGTGCTATTGATAGCAAAATTTTGTTTTAAATGATCAGCTTGTAATATGATTATTAATCACTTTTTTGTAATATCAGCTTCACGACTTCCGAAGTCAAGAGCCTAGTGCTTATTTCATGTTTAAATTTTAGATATCAGCGCCAGTTAAAAGATGCCAAGGAAGAAGTTGAGGATCTAAGGAAAGTCGAAGATGAACAAAAGAGAAAGAAAGAATCTGCTGTAAGTTTGTTTGAAACTTTGCTTTTAAAGGTTAACTCTTCATAGTATATTTAAACTATCATGACCTTGGTAATCGTGTACTGCCTGCAGTGCTGTGCCAGAGGTGGTATCAAATTATATGTCATTTTTATTTTCGTATAAATGTCAGTGATTTTATGTGGTGTGACATGTAAACTAATGACGGCCTTGAGAACTAATAAACTTGACAGTCGTTGACAGTCAGGAAATTGAATCTGACGTCATGAAATTCTTTCTTATAAGATGGTGAAGTGACTTGTTTGCAGTAAGTAAAATTCCCTTTCAACTCATCATCCTTAGGAGTCCGAGGTCGAAAATCTTGACCAAGCGCTTTCCTTGGCAAAGACAGAATTGAATCTCGCTAATAAACGAATAAGGGATCTACAAGACGCAGTGGAAAGAGAAATGGCCGCTTCAAGCTCAGATGATGATGACCTTTCTGACATTGACAGTGAAACAGGAAGCATCTCAAGCCGTTTTTCTTCTTCTCGCTCGTTGTCAGTCGCTGATAGGCGCGCGGGACACTACGACAGATCAACTCGTTTACAGAGACGTTTAACAGCACTTGAGGATGAAAGCAGTCTGGAAACTTCGACGAGAAAAACTAGTTTGTTGGACGATACTTATGGAAGTCGAAAATATTCGAGGACTAATTCGCGTGACTCTAGTGGAAGTTATGGTAGTCGGTACTTGAACGGACATTTAGGGAGTTGATTCATAATAATTTAGGAAATTGTATGGCTGTCTTGGCTAATTATTGTTATGATCCATAGGCGTTGCTAGAAACTTTTCAATTTTTTCGAAGTATAAAAGATAAGCAACAGCTGAAAAAATCAAATGTTTTTTCAGCGTTTGTGTGGTTATAGTTTTACAAGATAGCAGAGTTAATGCTAGTCTTAGGCTGTTTGATGCTTTTGTCGTGTTTGAAAAAAAACAAATTTATCAGTTGATATGAAGGTGCATAAGCAGTGGTCACTTGCTTTGTTAGAGGTAAGCATCGTTAAGCAACACAATACAGGCATCTGCAGGACCAGCTTGATCAAAGACAAGAATTTTGTATAAATCCTTGTCTGTTTTTATGAAGATGCCCTTTATTAAGGGGAAGCTTCACTGTAAAGATACATGCTTGAGCCCTTGAAATTTTGAGACCCACTCCAATTAGCTTGCTTTCGACAAATGCTGCTCGTTCTTTTAATCATAGTATCATCATTAAATAACTGACAGGTCATAAATGTATCTTGCCTGACATCATCTTGCATGAAACCTTATTTTCATCCTAGTTCATCTACTTAATGTGCATTCAATTTTTTTTCCGGTTTCACGACTTCAGCTTCATTATTATTTTACTGCTATGTCACGATTCTGCTATTTTATCTATTTTTTTGCTACTTGTCTCCAAGTTTGTCCTACACAGTGTTCAAGCCAGCTCCCACGTTTTGTAACTGAGAGTTTTGTTTTAAGAAACATGCTTCAAAATCGCCTGTGCTCCTACAAAATTTTGAGATTTCACAAATAGTATATCATTCTGCAGTACCTACCGTCCTATCAGAGAATGGAAGGCTGTATAATTAATCAGAATTTTGATTCGGATTGCCATTCATGTCTAATTTTGGTCAATTATCTAGCAAACTTTGGAATAATGTTCCCTAAAGCTTCCGTTTTCCTGTTTGTCTTTGGTTGCCTTCATATTAACTTATTATTTGGCTTCTCCATTTCCTGTGAACATTGCTTTGGTCCGTATGCTATATTGCCTTTATGCTATCTAAACTACCTGTTACTTAGCCACACTTTGCCACACCCTCACCACACAGACTTATAGCTACTCACTCTTTAAGCAACTGTAACACCGAAAAAACTTATTTAAATTGTGCGCCCATTTATCAACGCTTCGTTACTTCTAGTTATAAAATTTATTAAGATCTCCTGATAAGATTAAGATCTTAGCTCTATTTAGTTTGTTTCCCTTTTTGGCAAAATCCGTTCTTTTTGCTTGAATTAGTATTTGTTATAGATTATCACTTGTTTTAAATGTATATCCAGTATGCATAACAGAGTAAATATTTTACTGCAGTTTTATCAACCTAAAGATAATCTAACTGTAACAAGAATTCTGTTCAACTATTCGTTAATTAACTATGTAAGTTGTAATCAGGATTTTAAATAGCTTTATAATCTTTAATATAGAGTTATGTGAACTCATGTTAAGGATAACAAAAAGTGAATTTCAGCATTTCTGCATGTATAGTAAGTTATTTCCTCGCACATCATCGCAGTAACATTGTCTGGAAAGATGTACCTCCTATTTCAGCATATTTGGTTGCTATATCATAATATCCTTTCCACGATGTTCATTGCAAATGCAGAATCACCTTAAGTGTGATTGACGTTTGAGGGTAATGTATAGCATTATGATAGTGTAATGTTTTGAAAATGCTCATTCAGCTTTTTGTTTCAGATAAAGATAATATGCAGTTATATTGTCATTCTTCTTTATCCATCTTTTCTTTATCCATTCATCAATTTTAAATCCACAAGCTGCTTTGCCAAATGTGCAAGATTCTTTACACAAGTAATGCATAGGATTTGAAATTGTTTAGAGTGAGAGATAAAAAGTAAAGTTTGATTATCATTTTGATACAGAAAGTAGATCTTATAGGCAAACTCCTGTTTGACTAGAATACTTTTTGGCAAAGCCCGTTGAAGTAGTTTGTTTGCTTCGGAACAATGACAACAAACGATGTCCAGTTTAACTTCTTCATTGAACACTCTTATTGTTCAAAGACCAAAGACCAATAAATTTGAAAACAACACATTTTTAACAGAAAATGAATTTAGGTTAAAGATGGTTTAACAATAGATATTGCTCTATAAGGCAAATCTGGCATTATTTTTTCATTTGTTGCAAACTTTTGATGCAATCGAGTCCTAAATTTTAACTAAGCGACGAACTAGATGCCATTTTACTATATTGTTTTGCCCAAATTCCTTCCAATGTTGTTTTCTTCCAGATTTCTTCAAGATTCCATTCTATCATCAATAATACTTCCAGTATTTACAATACTTTTAGCCATTAACAATTAACAGCAATGCTAATTTCCATCTCTGTTACAATCAACTCGAGCTCAAGAGATCGTTAATCGATTAAAGAAAAGCCTAACGAACTTCTCTTCAAAGTTTCCTTATCGTCCAAGCTTTATAAATTATCTGATAAATCATATCTAAGCACTTTATTAAGTTTGTCGAAGACTGCATTGCTTTCGAAATGGCAGTGTCTCTATATTTCCATACGTAGGATTTTTCTCAGCCCTCTTTTTATCTTTCAGCCCTCTGACTTTGCTATTGGAATACCAGGGTACATGCTTCTTGTCTCCGAGTATCATTATCGTTTTATTCCAATGAAGCAAAAATATATAATTAAATAAACATGGTGAAACTTATAGCTGAATTGATACAATTTTTTCTCTCTAAATTCTAAATTGAAAAAGATATTTTTTCAGATTTGTCTGCAGACGTTATCTGTCCAGTATGGTTTGCCTGCGAGCACCGCTCAGGCGTTTGCCCAAATTGGCGCCAGCTGTACCCTAAACTGGCATGCTCAAGATACTACCAAGATACTACACTTTTTAATAAGGACTTTCTATTAATTTTTTCTCATCCAACAGGTACATAAATTTTAAAATGTTGCAGGTTTTAAAGCACTTACTTTAGTTATCTTCACCATGGACCAAAACAAATAACCAAAAAGTGATTGCTGTGAGAACATTTATTCATCCATGACCCAATAAAAATTCTCTTCTATTTCTGGATTGAATATGACATAGTTTCGTAATCCATCTAACTAAAGCTTTTTCTCAAATAGCTTTGAAGGCAGTTACATTGGCAAAGAAAATGCTGGTCTAGATATGTTCAAAGACTTGTCTTGTTGTTATAATAACATTTTTTACTTTATCAAATCATCTGCTGTTTCTATAGACTGTCACCATTACTGTAGCACATATTCATGCACTTCTCAATCGAGTGGTAAGAAGCTTTATACAATGAAGTCAAAGCATGACCTTAAAAAATTACAAAGTTACAAATCATAAGTTTGAGATTGAAATTCCTTCAATTTAATTCCAATTTAATCAAATCCTTCTATTTCTTAAACTACATTTCAGTTAAAGGTTATCACAATAGGCAGAAGCACACTGTATTTAAATTTTCTGGTCACAAACAGGTAAAAATTCACAGTTTTGCTTGTTGGTTGATTATTTGGCCAAGTTTCTGTGTCAGCATTACATTCCCTTTAATTTTCAATTTCCCATTAAAGAATGCCTGCTGAGGATTCAACTGCCCTGATGCCATCGCAGAGAAGTCTTCATCAGACGTTGTTAGTTGGACATCAGATTTTCCATCAAAGGATCCTTTGTACACACTTGGCTCAGCTGACTTGAAGTCCATGACCCATTGACCTACAAAGTTCATTGAAAAGGTGACAAATATCTTTGTTTCTTTACAAAAATAGTTTTCTTTTAAGATACATAGCTATATCCTATTAAAATTATTGAAAGCAATTACAAATCATCATTATGATAATTCATTTATGTCAGTAGAGAGAAGATACATAAAATTTACTTGATTTTTCAACAGAATGCAAAATGAAATGCTATCCAAGATAGGACTTTAGGTTACTATCAAATAAGAAAAATATGTATACTGCAAACCCTTATTTTAGCAGCAAAGTAAAAGTCCTTCACCCACTGTTATATAAGAGCATCAAAAGCATCAAATACCTGCTTCTTTGCCATCCTTGGTTATCTTCCAGACAAATATTCCATTTATTTTTTTTGCAACCTGAGGTAAGTCCTTCACCTTCTTGGCTATCTCCTCAAAAATGACTTTACTTGCAAGTTGACTCTGTGGCGCATTGCTTGGACTGTGACTCTATTGAGATTCAAGCAATTAAACTGAAGGTTAAGCTTTGAAGGTGAAGTGGAAGGTTAGAAGTCCAATGTAAAACAAAAAAATTACAACAAAGAACAATCAGCTCAAGAAATATAATGATTTTCCAATTGTTTTGATTATGATGTTTCTCAAAACATGTAACATTTAATTATGCTTGTAATTTGACCAATTTTGAATATGTCTACAGCAAATCAATAACAGTTATGAAACAATTAGTGGTATATCTGGGAATCAATGCCCTTTTTCTGATATCTGACATCTTGCTCCTTGGTTGTTCAAACATAACTTCATACAGCACTTTGCTACAAATTTTTAATTGAATTAAAGGGATACTTGCGTTATTATGTAACAAAGTATAAGGAGCCGAAATAAGATTGTAAAACAATTACTTAGATATGTAGATGCAAAGCTTCAAATTGACAATACCTCTTCCCCTTTAAGGTCAACATAGCCTCCAGTTAAAGCTTCTTTTCCAGTTTCTTTCACTTTGACAACAAAATGAATTCTATTCTTTTCCTTCCACATCTCAGTTACAAGTGACTGCCCAGGAATTACTGGTCGGTTGAATCTGGCTTTCATACATTTGAACAGACTGGCATCGTTGTTGGCATATTCTTGTAACACATGCCTAAGTGCAAAACCATATGAACAAAGACCATGAAGGATAGGTTGCTTGAAACCTGCAAATAAATACACAAACTTTAGTAGAAAAGTCTATTTAGTAGAATAATGGTCATTGAAATGCTAAAGTTTTGTCATCAGTTGGTTGGTGAAATCGGCAGTTGGTGGGAAAAATCACCTTGTGGCTGGTAAAACAGGAACAAATTTGTCTGTATGTAAATGTTAGTTTTGATGATTCAAAATAAACCCCTACCCAAGTTTGTATGGACAAGGTGTACCACTTAGGGCCATAGCTTACATTGTCCTTTGAAGAATAATCCACTTTGTTCCTTTTGTGTTCAACAAATGGTTTCCCCAATAATTCCTTTCCTACAATTCTCAGGCCTTTTCCCATCCCAAAATTATTCTAAAATGATTGCCAAATTAAATCTTGAATAATATTTTGATTTGGATATGTTTTAGGGCTGTTCAGCCTTCTAATGAGGGTTTTATGGCCTGTTCTTGGAATGTCCAGAAGCCATCGTCCCGAAATAATTATATCCTCCACACAGTACTGTGCTACTTACTGTACAGCCTACAAAAAACATATAAAATGAAGTTATTAATTAACAAGCTACTGATTATTTTGAAGCAATAACAGAACCTAAGTGTCACAATATCCTCACCTGCAACATTGGCAAAGTTATTATCAATATGCAGTGGGTTCTTGTCACCATTTAGCCTGTACAGTGCAGCTTGGTCATGGCTTGTCATCTCCTCCACAGTTTTATCTGGTGCCCGGGTTGGTGGTACTCCCAATGGTACAGCAACATCAGTTTTTCTTTTTCCACCAAAGCCACCAGCCCGATTGAAATAAACTGAAAACTGATTTCTGCATATGATCTTGCCATTCTCATCTTTTGTTTCAGCATCAACTATCATTAGAGCCCCTTTTCCTTTGTCAAGTAAATCAACAATTTTTCCATTGGTTGTCATAGTTCCTGATGCTGGCAATGGTGAAAGGACTTCAATATATTGTTCACCATGAAGAATCTGCAAAAGAAGTAGTTGTTAAAAACTCAATACCATGTATCAACCCAATACCAAAAGAGCCTCAGTGCACTGGCTTGGAGCAGGGCTTTGTCACCCAAAAGCATTGGCTACTTTGTCAGAGTTCACAGATAAGCTAGCTTTCTTTGTCCCTCCATCAACATAAAAGTTCATTCCAACTGTATCCCTTAGAACAACTTGATGTCATCAAAAGACTAAACTAAAAATTAGCAAAAACCAGCTAGGTAAAATCAAGAGTCACTAAAACGCTTACAGCATTACAAAACATAACAGGACTCAAATGAACAATTTATAAATAATATCATAGAATACCATATACCGTAAAAGCTCCAATAAGCCTCAGGGGGGGCTTATTTATTTTTTCGTTCCTATTGGGGGCTTAAAAGGAGGGGGGCTTCAAAGGGAGGTTTATTGGAGAGGGAGCTTATTAATAATTCAATATTCAACACATTATAACAATGCCACAATGCTCTGGGATTTTCTTGAAAAGAATCAACATCAGTATCCTCTTGACTTCTAAGGCACACAAGGAAATCTTACATGGACCTTATTTCATGATCTTATCATCATCACACCTGTCAAAAGACTTACTCAATACACATGGTTTCTTTGTTTGACATAAGGTGGAGGGCTTAATAGAGAGGGGGCCTGATTTCAAATTTTGGCTTGGTAAGGAAGGACGTAATAGAGAGGGGAGCTTTTACGGTATGTATTTACCATAAGAGAAAAAAGGTGATGAATCATGCATTTGTCAAGTGCAATAGCACCAAACAGCAGCTAAATTTGAGAATTAATTAATGAAATTTTCTTCAAAAGTTTTCCAAACTTTCAAACTCAGGAAGACTGTTAAGTGTGGTCCAAGCAAAATTAATCAAAACTGCCTTTTTAATAAAAGTAATAGCTACCTGAGTTGGATCAATGAGCTCAGCTCCAGGAAAATCTTGCAGATTATCAAAAATTATTTCCTGGAAAGAAAATTAAAAACAAAATATTAAAAAGAAACAATCTGATAACACATTGAATAATTAATAGCTGAATTTTTTATAGCAGATGGACCTAAGAATGTCTATTTAGAAATTGTCACTGACTTTCTTAACTCCATGGTAAGCATAAAGGCGGGTTTCCACTTCGGCGATTCAGGTCACGCGATCGCGCGACTGCTGTTCTGGGCATGCACATTAAACCCATTGGCAGTGATTCCCTTTTGCACTGGCGATCGCGCGATCGCTTTTGGGAGTTGAATAGATTTTAACTTTTCTGCGACCAGATTATCAAGAACCAATTAGATGCTTTGTTTTTTGTCTGGTTTACGTAAAATGCCTCTTGTCTTGTTTTCTTTGGCGCTTGTCCAAAAAGTCAACTCCACGCTCTGCTACGCTGAGAAGAAGACGATGGAAAAAATAAGGATCGATCCAGAAGCCATGTCGCTCTAAAGTCAATTTCAGCAAAGTCAATCCCTAAAGTACAGTCAAATTATCTTGCGTTTGAAAATGTCGAAAAGTTTCATCTATTTGACAAGCTGGTGATACTCTCCCTTTTCATATCTCTCTGCACATATTTTCCTTACCCAGCATCTCCTTTTCTTACGAGCCTGCAGTGCTCTTCTTTTTAATCGTCACCTCAATAAAATGAGAATCAAAATTTGTGGCCTTGTAATCGCCATATTGTTTACGCGCCTAATTATTCTAGGGCACTGACAAGGATCTCGCGGCCAAATCTCAAGAGTGGAAATCAATCCTGCGATAGCAATTGAGCGATCGCAAGGTTTGCGCGACCAGATTCGCCAAAGTGGAAACCCGCCTTAAGAATAGCTTATATTCAAAACAGCAATCAGGTCAACTGGTTTCCAAGTTATAGTCTTTATGTGTGTAGTTTTTCTGCAATGATATCAAGGGCAAAAAACATTGTTAGGCCTCGAAAAAATTTATAAAGACATTGTGAAGAGATTTTTGAAGACATTAATGAAGACAAGGGTGATCGATAAAATTGTGGATAAAATTTTGGTTTTTTTGGTAGAATTCAGTTCAGTCATCAATAAATATTCAAACTTAATCACTGTAATGCTTAAGTACAAATCTTGTTGGATTCTGTGTGTCATATGAATGTTATGCAATTTTTTTACCAGTATTAGCTCTGAGACCAGTTGAAAAACTGCTTTGCAATACTTTAAGAAAGCTGTTTTATCAAATTCTTGCTAATTCATCATTGTCAGTATTAAAATTAATACCAGTATAATCCATGTAGCATATTTCACAAAATATCATCATGAGTAATTTATCTTAATGAATAACAGAAATTTTTGGATCTGTATCATTTAATGAAGTAATTTATGCACTGGGATAATATAGTTATGAATCATGCACAAAGGCAAAGCGATGAGAACATTTAGAGCCTAAACACAACAAACCTGGGCAAAAATTATGCCATATGTTGGAAGAACGCTAAAATCTTCATGGCCCTCAAACAAGAACTTAAGTGAGTTTTCATTTATTTTTGTACCAACACCAAGCGCATACAGTATTGCATCTTTAGGTGTATAAGTAAACTTCCCTTCTGCAAAGGAGATACCAATGATCTTTGCTGGATCAAGGAGCTCTTTCTTGTTTCCTAAAGTACTTTCACCAGGCAGTGACACATTTTTTAGGCTTTCCATAATATCCATGATAGATCCTTGTGAACTTGTCCGTGGACTCCCACCTTCCCAGTTACTGAGTTCCTCCCAATGATCTCTTACAATGTCTGCTGTCAAAGGTTCACCCCATTTTCTAAACTGCATGCCCTTTGTACTTTGCCATCTTAATTTGCTTGCCCATCCAGCAGCAGTTTCAATAACAGTGCCATTGTCTTGGCAACTCTCATGACATAAATACACAACAAATGGAGCAATGAACTGTGGCTGAAGTGCATCAAATATTTCTTTTGGCATCACATTTTCTGTTAGACGAGAAGCTGCCAACGGAGCTACAGTATTGCAGTAGATGTTATATCTTTGGCCTTCAAGAGCTAGTGTATTGCTTAGACCAAGCAATCCAAGCTTTGCAGCACTATAATTTGCTTGACCAAAATTACCATAAATCCCAGCTGGAGATGAAGTCATTACAATTCTTCCAAACTGTTGTGCTTTGAAGTATGGCCATGCTGCTTTTGTTACTTTGAAGGCACCAAAAAGATGCACCTGTGACAGAAATAATGATATATTTTTATTTTAATAATTGCTCAATCTGTATTTGAACATGAGAAAGTTTGAAAAGTGTGGCTGATTTTGACAAGATTTTGGGTGAGCCAGCAGCCCCACACCTTAGGAGCAGGTGCCCAAAAATAGCCTTGAATGACAGTTGCACCAGAATTATCAATTTTTCCAGTTTTAAAATGAATTTATATATATAGTATGAGGTGCGGTCTTAGCAATACCATGTCTGAAACTTGGGTGCATCACTGCCATGCCCTGCTCTGCATACTGCCTAACATTTCTAAATGAAGAAAAAGGGGGTAATCAAAAGCACCTTGTGGACCAGTTCCCAGTCTTTGTCTGTCATCTTCGGGAAGGAGCGATCCCTCAAAATACCTGCATTGTTAACAAGAATATCAACACGACCGAAATTATCGACTGCTGTCTTGACAATACTCTCTCCGTTTTCCACTGAATCATAACTTGCAACAGCATTCCCTCCTCTTGACTTGATTTCATTCACAACATCATCAGCAGCATTTCTACCCTCTCCACTCCCATCCCTTGTACCGCCGAGATCATTAACAACAACTTTAGCGCCTCTTTTTGCAAACTCAAGGGCATATTCTCTTCCCAGTCCACGTCCAGCTCCCGTGATAATAACAACCCGACCATCGAACCTTAGCAAAGACATCATGATACGCCCCTGTGTTTTAGAAAAAGGAAACACGTCCTTCAATGTTCACCAACATGGGGACAAGGTTCATTTTCAAAGAATTGTCTCGATACAATGTCAGCCTCGTTTCGGATGAAATATGGGGCAGATTGATCGAAAATGGAAGCAAAGAAAGTGTCCAGGATCCAGAATCGTCTCTCTTTATTTGTTCTTGGCGTAACGGTTTTTTTAAAAGAGTAATATTTTAGTGGATTGACATTGCTGGAAAAATGGCTCATCAAAAAGCGTAAGTTATTTGGCCGTGTGGAAATTCTTGAAAGTAAGAGCAATCTGAATGTAATTGTAAGCCTAGCCTTATATATATGTCTATGTATTATTAGATTGAATATGGCACAGCTGGTCTAAGAAATTTGTTGGAAATTATCATTGCACACTTGTTATGTGCACACTTCAGTTCCATGTGAGCCATCCCAAGCGAGAAACAATAGGAAGTACAAAGAAGCATTAAAGATTGTTAGTTTGCTTCATTTATATTAGTGAGAATTACACATAAAGATTTCTCAGACATGAAACATTTTTATGTTTGTGCAGGCAAGCCTGTTTTACGCAGTCTGAGCTAAAATTGTTTTAATACATGTTTCTAGTAGATAAGAAATTTGTAACCGCCAATACAATGTGCCCAAAGCAGGGGCGATCCGGAGAGATATCAAATTGCTATTACTGCAAATATATGTACCCCGTGAGTTCTTTACAAGTGAATGTTTAAAAGATTTTTAGGATCTATATCTCTTTTCTCAAAGTCCGTATATGGATATTATATGTACAGGTGGACCCAATAATCTGTGATTTAATACATGTGATTTAATATTGGGTCTACATGTAGGCTGATCTTTGTGAAAGGTGGCTACTCTTTAGGACCGATTAGACACCAGCGGTCTAGTGAAGCCCCTTGCTATTAAAGGTACACTTTGTAATATCAAGATGCCACTGGAGCGTTTGTTTCTTCCCTTAAGTGAGATATTTGTTTCCCTGTGAGAAATTTCTCTCAAAGTTTGTAAAGCAGCATAATTAATAGTGTGTGGACGACTATATATTAAGAATAGATATAAAAATGCAACAAACAAGTGTCACAGAAAAGAAAAAGTTCTAACCTAATATTAAAACTGTGATAAACTTCAATAAGGACAGAAGGCCTCATCTTCTATAACTAAAATTTCCAGAAATAAGATGTACTTTTTATCTGAACCACTTTAATTAAATCCAATTTTATCTGAGTCGGCTTTTTACTAACTTTAACATCAGGTTCGGATGTCCATAATTTTGACGTGAAGGCCCTGCTTTAAAGTTAATTTGCCTACATTTGCATAGATAAAAGGAAGAAAACTGTTGCAAGGGCCTGTCTTATGCATCTATACAAGCATACATGATACAATTTGGTTTGTGTCATACCAAGCTACTTCCTTCTCCTCAAGATGAGCAACTATCTGGTCTCTTGCTATGAAATCTGAGATTCTAATTGCAAAGCAGCGGGATTTGCGCTCCTAATTTTTCTTACATTACACAAGAAATGGCCTTGAAAAATATTGCTATTAAAGTAATTGCAATTATAGCACTGTCTGCTGTCCCTGGCCCAAATTTTAAGACAAAATCTCTGATCTAATCAAACGCATTTCTGGATCGTTTTGTGGCAATGCTTTGTCAGGTAATTATTCTAAATCGCTCAATTTGATGTTTCAAGGTACATATATATTCGCCTCAAATCCATTTACCGCCAGAATCCTCTGACGAACTGAAGTCATAAACTTCCCGTTCATCAGAAAGTTCAGTGCTACTTAGGTCAGAGTCTGCCTGATCTGTTTTTCCTTGTATTCGTTACTAGCACTGACTTCGTTGACACTACGGGCCTATTTCGGTACCTCTGTACATCTCTTGCATTTCTTTGGAGCAAGGAGATTTGCACTGCCACTTTCGACATCTGTCCCAACGCTTTCTGAAAGTCGGCTCTTGTTTTTCCGTCTTGACTTAGGGAAGAAGGAGGCAGCAGGGGCACGTGAAGCAAAAAGATTTCAAGGAAGACTCCTCTGAAGATTATTTCCAGCCAAAACTTTCGAAAGAAAGTCTTGACGGATGGTTCTATGCAACGCAGCCAGCAGTAGGTTTGCCTGCGCGCTCTCAGAATGGCTATCTTCTACGCATTTGAATCAGGAAGGAGTTTAATGTTAATTTCATTTTAAACAATCTTTTGGTGGTACAAAGCTTGAAAATGGCTTTGAAAAAAGCAAACATTTAGTAAACTAAAGCTTTTCGTCTGACACTCTTCAGAGAAGACCGAAAACTCTACGCTAGGAAATATATAAACCCAGTTGTGGATCGAAATAGGCCAATCAGTAACACGAGCACATGACTGTTGAAGTTGACCAATCAGTACCGCTTGCCTATTGAGAATGTTACCAATGGAGTCCTAAGGTGAAAACGAACTCCTTTTGTCTACACACTAGCGGTTTTTTTCGTGCTTATGTAGATAGATTCCAAAACGGCTAGGTGGAACGACGATCGGGCCTTACCAATAATCCGAAACATGTCGCCATCATAGTTTTTTGCACAATCTGGGTTTTCCAGTAAATGCTGCCCGATAGCAGAATCGCAAGTTTTAGCGGCACTGATTGGTCATCAGCATCTTGATCTGACTATACAAATCAGCATTCGTTGACATAATTTGGTTTATCTTTGCCTTCCCCATTACATCCGCATGAACAAAAACATGAAATGTGTCAAGATCAAATCTAAGAAAGAATCAAGGTATATTCCTTGCATACTGGATAGACAGGCACCTTATGAGTGATTGGCAAGCTATCTAGCCCTGTCAGGGGTATTAAACAAACGCTCTAAAGTAATAAACCATATAATAACTGTTTCCTCCTGCCTCCTGGCAATGCTAATGATATAAGCGTATGGCCTTTGTGCAAAGCTCGGTTTCGTACCGACGGCTTCAGGTCCGGTCTTCGGAAACAATTATTTTAGGTTTAATCAATAAAATTAAAAGAGTAATAATGAAAAACTGTAGATGGCGAAATAGCAGCATCTATTTCGTTATAAGAAGGTGTCAAGCAAAACCATGCATGATGTCAAATTGCGATAATACTAAATTGTGCCTAGCAAAATTAGAGTCAGCTCGCTAGTCGACGGCCATTTTAAAAGTTATGACGTCATCATTGAAAATTGCTGACATCGTAAAAATACTGGAGTGTATATGTCATTAGAAAGCTTCCCTTTAGGCGAGCTCGAATCTGGGGTTTATATTGAAGTCAGACGTATACTTCCCTTCAAGGTTTCCTTATCGACCTCGCTATATACATTATTAGATAAATAATATCTAAGCACTTTCATAAATTTTCTCCAAGACTGCATTGCTTTCGAAATGGCGTCTTTATTTCCATACGTGGGATTTATTTCAGCCCCAATTTTTCATTTATGCGGTTCATTATCTTCAAGATTTGACTGAGCTATTGGAATAACGTACCCTACATGCTTCTTGACTCCGAGTATCATGATCGTTTTATTCCAATAAAGCAAAAACATCATATAATGTATTAAACATGATGAAACTTATAGCTGAATTGATATAATTTTTTTTCAACTTTTAAATTGAACAATTGAGAAAGAACTTTTATTCAGATGTGCCTGCAGACGTTATCTGCCCAGTATGGTTTGCCTGCGAGCACGGTTCGCGCGCTCGCAACTTAAGAAAGTGGCTTGCTTAAGATACTACGATGATAACAAGGACTCTCTATTATTTTTTCGGCATCCAACAGGTACAATGTCTGCCAAAAGTACTTGGAACACCCAGCAATTTACGCTACATTTGATATATTTCATTCTTATCATGAAAAAAAATTACTTCTTCCGCCCCCTTCCCCCTAAAACAATGTTGATGATTTAGAAGCGCAAAAGAAAGTGCTTCCTAAAATCCTAACCCGTTTGATAGTAAACCAACATTGTTCAGTAGAGGAGAGGGGGATGATGGATTTTGACCTTGGAAATTGATGTCGGTGTTCCAAGACTTTTGGCAGGCATTGTACATAGATTTTCAAATGTTGCAGGTTTTGAAGCACTTACATTAGTTATCTTCACCGTTGACCAAAATAAATAACAAAATAGTGTTTGCTGTGATAACATTTATTCATCAAAGACCCAATAAAAATTCTTCTCTATTTGCAGATGGGATTTGAAATAGTTTTGTAATCCATCTAAATAAATTTACTTGTCAAAGCTTTTTCCCAAATAGATTTGAAGGCAGTTACATCGACATTGAAATTGCTGGTCTAGAGACATTTAAAGAATTGTCTTGTTTTCATAGCATTTTTTACTTTCAATTTGCATTTTATCACGTGGTCTGCTATCATAGCCTTTTTTCATGTACTTCTTAATCGAGTAAAAATTACAGGTAAAAATTCACAGTTTTGCTTGTTGGTTGATTATTTGGCCAAGTTTCTGTGTCAGCATTACATTCCCTTTAATTTTCAATTTCCCATTAAAGAATGCCTGTTGCGGATTCAACTGCCCTGATGCCATGGCAGAGAAGTCTTCATCAGACGTTGTTAGCTGGACATCAGATTTTCCATCGAAGGATCCTTCGTAGACACATGGCTCAGCTGACTTGAAGTCCATGACCCATTGCCCTAGGAGGTCCATTGAAAAGGTGACAAATTGATTTGTTTTCATTTGAAATACATAGCTATATCTTATTAAAATTATTGAAAGCAATTACAAATCATCATTATGATAATTCATTTATGTCAGTAGAGAGAAGATACATAAATTTACTTGATTTTTCAACAGAATGCAGAATGAAGTGCTATCCAATATCAACTAGATAGTACTTCGGGTTACTATCAAATAAGAAAAATATGTATACTGGAAACCCTTATTTTAGCAGCAAAGTAAAAAAGTCTTTCACCTGCTGTTATATAAGAGCATCAAAAGCATTTTATACCTGCTTCTTTGCCATCCTTGGTTATCTTCCAGACAAATATTCCATTTATTTTTTTTGCAACCTGAGGTAAGTCCTTCACCTTCTTGGCTATCTCCTCAAAAATTACTTTACTTGCAAGTTGACTCTGTGGTTCATTGCTTGGACTGTGACCCTGTTGAGTTCCAAATAAATATTAAAATATGGTGAACAAAAGCAATTAAACTGAAGTGAAGCTTTGAAGGTGAAGTGGAAAGGAAGAAGTCCAATTTAGAACATAAAAATGGCAACAAGGAATAGGCTCAAGAAATATAATATGAAGAATTTTGGGAAAATATTTTGTCAAAAGAGTAGATCAGCCAAAGTAAAATGCGCAATTGAGCAATTAGGAGAAAACCCTGGTGCTTAAAAGTGTGCAAAATTTAAATATGCTTGTAATTTGACCAATTTTAAAGATGTTTCAGCAGATCAATAACAGTTACAAAACAATTAGTGGTACGTCTGGAAATTAATGCCCTTTTCCTGAAATCAGCTCTTTTGCCCTTTAGTTTTTCAAGCATCTCTGCATACAGCACTTTGCTACAAATCTTGAATTAAATGAAAGGGATATTTGCATTTTTGTGTAACAGACTATTGGGAGCCTAAATTAAAGTTGTAAAACAATTACTTAGATATGTAGATGCAAAGCTTCAAATTGACAATACCTCTTCCCCTTTAAGGTCAACAAAGCCTCCAGTTAAAGCTTCTTTTCCAGTTTCTTTAACTTTGACAACAAAATGAATTCTATTCTTGTCCTTCCACATTTCAGTTACCAGTGACTGCCCAGGAATTACTGGTCGGTTGAATCTGGCTTTCATACATTTGAACAGACTGGCATCGTTGTTGGCATATTCTTGTAACACATGCCTAAGTGCAAAACCATATGAACAAAGACCATGAAGGATAGGTTGCTTGAAACCTGCAAATAAATACACAAACTTAAGAAGAAAAGTCCATTTTGTAGAATAATGGTCAGGCGGGAGTTTGAAATGCTGAAGTTTTGTCATCAGTTGGTTGGTGAAATTGGCAGTTGGTGGGAAAAATCACCTTGTGGCTGGTAAAACAGGAACAAATTTGTCTGTGTGTAAATGTTTTGATTATTCAAAGTATGCCCATACCCAAGTTTGTATGGAAAAGGTGTACTACTTAGAGCCAAAGCTACTATTCTCTTTCAAACAGTTATCCATTTTGCTCCTTTTGTTTTCAACAAATGGTGTCCCTTAATAATTCTACCTTTCCTAAAATTCTTAGGCCCTTCCTGCCTCAAAATTATTTTAGAATGATTGCCAATAATTAAATTTTGAATAATATGTTGATTTTGATATGTTTTAGGGCTGTTCAGCCTTTTAATGGGGGTTTTATGTCATGTTCTTGGAATGTCCAGAAGCCATGGCCCTCAATAACTCTATCCGTCTTACAGTACTGTGCTACTGTACAGCTTACAAAAAACATATCAAATGAAGTTATGAATCTACAAGCTACAGGCACTGATTATTTTGAAGCAATTATATAACGGAAGTGTCGCAATATCCTTACCTGCAACATTGGCAAAGTTATTATCAATATGCAGTGGGTTCTTGTCATCATTCAGCCTGTAGAGTGCAGCTTGGTCATGGCTTGTCATCTCCTCCACAGTTTTATCTGGTGCCCGGGTTGGTGGTACTCCCAATGGTACAGCAACATTAGTTTTTCTTTTTCCACCAAAGCCACCAGCCCGATTGAAATAAACTGAAAACTGATTTCTGCATATGATCTTGCCATTCTCGTCTTTTGTTTCAGCATCAACTATCATTAAAGCCCCTTTTCCTTTGTCAAGTAAATCAACAATTTTTCCATTGGTTGTCATAGTTCCTGATGTTGGCAATGGTGAAAGGACTTCAACATATTGTTCACCATGAAGAATCTGCAAAAGAAGTAGTTGTTAAAAACTCCATACCATGTATTAATACAAAATAATCTCAGGTGCACTGGCTTGGAGCGCTATGTCATCCAAAAGCATTGGCTACTTTGTCAGAGCTCGTAGATAAGCTTTCTTTGACCCTCTATCCAGATAAAAATACATTCCAACTGTACACCCCTTAGAATAACTTAAAGCCATTAAAAGACTTAAAATTAGGAAACACCAACTGGGTAAAATCAAGAGTCACTAAAACACTTACAGCACCACAAAACATAACAGGACTCAAATGAACAATTTATAAATAATATCATAGAATACCATATACCGTAAAAGCTCCAATAAGCCTCAGGGGGACTTATTTATTTTTTCGTTCCTATTGGGGGGCTTAAAAGAAAGGGGGGTTTAAAAGGGAGGTTTATTGGAGAGGGAGCTTATTACTAATTCAATATTCAACACATTAGAACAATGCTACAATGCTCTGGGATTTCTTCGAATGAATCAACATCAGTATCCTCTTGACTTCTAAGGCACACAAGGAAATCTTCCATGGACCTTATTTAATGATCTTATCATCATCACACCTGTCAAAAGACTTACTCAATACATATGTTTTCTTTGTTTGACATAAGGGGCTAAGGTGGAGGGCTTAATAGAGAGGGGGCCTGATTTTAATTTTTGGCTTGGTCATGCATTATGAATTTGTTGAGTGCAATAGCACCAAACAGCAGCTAAATTTTAGAATGAATTAATGACATTTTCTTCAGAAGTTTTCCAAACTTTCAAACTCAGGAAGAGTGTTCAGTGTGGTCCAAGCAAAAAAGTAATCAAAGCTGCAATTTTTATAAGAGTAATAGCTACCTGAGTTGGATTAATGAGCTCAGCTCCAGGAAAGTTTTGCAGTTTATCGAAAATTGCTTCCTAGAAAAAAATTAAAAACAATAATATATTAAAAAGAGACAATCTGATTACACATTCCATAATTTATAGCCGATTTTTTTTATAGCAGATGGACCTAAGAATGCCTATTTAGAAATTGTCACTGACTTTCTTAAGAATAGCTTATATTCAAAACAGCAATCAGGTCAACTGGTCTCCAAGTAATAGTCTCTACATGTGCAGTTTTTCTGCAATGGCTGCACAAAATGATATCAAGGGCAAAAAACAGTGCTAGGCCTTGAAAAAAATTTATGTAAAAAGTTCAAACTTATTAAAATTCACAGGCTGGAGCAGACCCATCCACTAATCGTTTTCTTTTGTGAAGCCCCGTCTCCACTGGATCCAAATTGCACAATTGCGCCGTTTGCTTTCTTTCTGACGAGAGTTAATCAAATTAAATCAAAGTGAATCAAATTAAGAACACGCAAAATGGATTTCCGAATAAGAAACTTAAAACTTTACAGTTTGGAATAATAATACCTAGATTGATCAGAAAACATTAAAGTAGGAGTTTTTTTAAGAGAACTGCGAGTAGTTGATCCAATAAAAAATGAAGAGTTGTTCAATACTAAAATTTCTCAACGCTTCTTATAAAAGACGAGTGTATGCTAGGCTCCCCCTGTTGTTCGTAAATGTCCTTAATTCATTAACATAAATTGCTACGATAAAGCCGCTGAGAATCAAGAAAATATTGCAAAAGCTGCAGCAGAAGTATTTGATCAAAGAAGGGTGTTTCATCTTATGAATCGGGTATATGCACTTACGAATCATTTTAATTGTAAAGCACAAAAAGGCATTTGGCCCTCTGAAAATTGCTAATAGTTTCCTTCGATCAAAACGAAAAAGATAAAGGGCTCAATTTCTTGGTGCTTCTAAAGAAACTAACAATACGGGGTAAGGGCTATTTCCAAATATCTATTTGGTAGGTACAGTAGATTCGCAGGTGGAATGAAAAATTTCTCAAATGAAGTTAGAATTTTTATCCTTCCACGCCCCTCCAAAATTAGCCACTTGTTTTCGTCCCTGGTTGTAGCTCTGAGACCAGTTGAAATACTGCTCTGCAATACTTTAAGAAAGCTGTTTCATCAAATTCTTGCTAATTCATCATTGTCAGTGTTAAAATTGATACCAATATAATCCATGTAGCATATTTCACAAAAGATCATCATGAGTAATTTATCTTAATGAATAACAGAAATTCTTGGATCTGTATCATTTAATGAAGTAATTTATGCACTGGGATAATATAGTTATGAATCATGCACAAAGGCAAAGTGATGAGAACATTTAGAGTCTAAAAACAACAAACCTGGGCAAAATTTATGCCATATGTTGGAAGAACGCTAAAATCTTTATGGCCCTCAAACAAGAACTTAAGTGAGTTTTCATTTATTTTTGTACCAACACCAAGCGCATACAGTATTGCATCTTTAGGTGTATAAGTAAACTTCCCTTCTGCAAAGGAGATACCAATGATCTTTGCTGGATCAAGGAGCTCTTTCTTGTTTCCTATAGTACTTTCACCAGGCAGTGACACATTTTTTAGGCTTTCCATAATATCCATGATAGATCCTTGTGAACTTGTTCGTGGATTCCCACCTTCCCAGTCACTGAGTTCCTCCCAATGATCTCTTACAATGTCTGCTGTCAATGGTGTTGTATTATATTGTGTTTTAATTTCAATAGAACAATGTTGTACAATTGTGTTATAATAAGAGCAATAGCAGTATTCACGGTAAAGCGCACATCTTAAGAAAGTGTGCACGCTGTTGATTTGATTTAAAGTATTGACGTAGTAATTAAGTAGTAATTGAGGTAGTGATTTAATGTAGTAATTAAAGTATTGATTTAAAGTCACAAGTTGTTGTTTGAAATGCGAGTAGTATTAACGTTGCTTAAGTTTCGAAGAGCCTTAATTAGGTTATCTGTATAAGATGCTCTAAAATACTACTAAATTAGATGCTCTAAAATACTACTAAATTAGATGCTCTAAAATACTACAATCTTCGAAACTTAATTGCTGAATTCCACATGGATAGATTTTTTATTTCCAGAACGCTTTGATTCTGTTCCTAATACATCGGGTGCAGATAAAGCATGGACTCATTAGAAGCGAACTTTCAATGGATTTATCTCATCAATCGATACGACCGCACAAACTGTTAATAAGCTCGATATCCTGGTTAACTATGTTTCACCTGATGTGTTTGAATATATCTCAGAATGCAATGATTTTGAATCTGCAATGGTGGTACTTGAATGGATGTATAACGTACCGAAGAATGAAATATTTGCTAGGCATCTGTTAGCGACACGACGTCAAAAAGTTGGAGAGACTCTAGATGGTTACTTAAACGCGTTGAAACTATTAGCCAAAGACTGCCAGTTTAAAGCAGTAAAGCTTGGTTCCCACTAGGCGACTAAGTGCGTTCATCTCTGAGCGTTCAAGTTAAACGCCAAGTGGGAATGCTCCGGGCGTTTAACTTGGAGGAGATGAACGCACTTGAACGCTCAGAAAAGTTAAACGCCAAGATCAAAAAATTTTGATCTGAGCGTTTAAACATAAAAGAAGCCGAAGAATTTAAGGAATGTTTCATTCATCAACCAACAAGTAAGATGCAAATGTTAAGCCAAAATAAGGCAATTTCAACGGTAGCAACGCATGAAGTCAATTTTGTGGCTCTCCCCAGAAGCCAAGAACCTTGCCCTAATTGGTTTTGCGAACGTGGTTTCAGATTTTTCGATTACCGGTTATACCAGATCTAGCTCTGGCTATATCTTGCCCTGGCAAGGCTAAATCTCTCTGGACTCATGCGTAAATACCGAAAAAAATGCTCTCGGTTACTTTAAAGTTCGCCGAAAAGTGTATTAAATTAGCCAAGTTCTTGTCGTTTTCTATAAATTTCACATACCCAGAACTTTCTTTTTGATTTTGTTTTCAAAACTTGAAGCCTTCTTAGACATGAAAAGTTCAACAAAGTCGCCAATCTCTTTATAAAAGTTTCGAGGTTCATTTTGACTTGTATTCATACAGCTAGTTGAGCGTTTAAGTTTTGCAAGTGGGAATGCCTCGGTAGTTTATCTTATATCTTTAATTCAATTAAAGGATTAGAGTTAAACGCACTTAGTCGCCTAGTGGGAACCAAGCTTAACAGCTCAAGTCTATAAACAGAAAATGACACGTGATGCATTTATTAATGGAATTCTTTCGCAGCACATTCGCCAACGACTTTTAGAAAGCAAAGAGCTAACACTTGATTCAGTCTTTACGCAAGCGCGCTCATTGGAACTTGCACAAAAATCATCTGACCAGTACAATACTACTTCGATGTTAAATGCTACAAGTATTGACGATAAACCATCAGATTTAAACGCCATTACTTCTAAACGCGCTTGTTACTTTTGTGGAGGTCCACGTCATAATCGTCAGTTTTGTCCAGCTAAGGATGCAGTCTGTCATAACTGTGAGAAACCAGGCCATTTCGCAAAAGTATGTCAGTCAAAGTACAAAAATTCATCTTCAAAAGTGACTTTGGCTTCTACCCATCCTGCATTAGCTTCAGTAATTGCGACATCGAAATCACCAGAAAGTCTTCAAAGAACAATAATTGATGCTTATGTTGATAATAAACATGTACAATGCCTTAATCGACACTGGAAGCTCTGATAGTTTTATTTGTAATAGGTTGGTACAAAACTTTGACTTGAACGCTATTCCTACTCAATCTTCCGTATGTATGGCTGAATCCTCAATAACAGTCAAGGTCCTTGGAAATGTCACTGTAGACTTACAAATAAATGATACAAATTATGTCAAAACAAAATTGTCTGTTATAGAAAACCTGTGCTCTGATATAATAACTGGACAGGACATTCTAAGTCAACATCGAGAACTAATTGTAACATTTAATGGGGATCTATCTAATATGACATTTCCAAAAGAACTCAAATTAGGAGACATATCATCGTTGCATAAAAAAGATGATAAATTCAGTGAGAAAAATTATAGACCAATTGCTACCTTACCGTCAGCATCAAAAATATATGAGAGAATCATGGAATCACAAATTACTCCCTTCGCTAATGGTTTTCTATCACCACTGCTATGTGGTTTCAGAAGGAATTATAGCGCCCAACATACATTACTGAGACTCATTGAAAATTGCAAAAAAGCTCTAGATACTAAACAAACAGCCAGTGCACTATTGATGGATCTGTCAAAAGCATTTGATTGTCTGAATCATGACCCTAATGATTGCTAAACTCAATGCTTATGGTTTTAGTAGAAGCGCCTTGAATTTCACATTATCGTACCTTAGCCAGAGGAAACAAAGAGTCAAAATAAACGGCTCTTTCAGTGAATGGAAAACCACGAGTGTAGGTGTGCCACAAGGATCAGTTTTGCGACCTCTCTTGTTCAATATATACATAAATGACATGTTCATGTTTATATCAAATAGCCAAATATGCAATTATGCTGATGACACAACGCTATATGTCATCCACCAAGACATTAAGCAGGCTATTAAAACACTAGAACAAGAAATTTTGAGAGAATGGTTTCAAAACAATTATATGAAAATGAAAGGGGACAAATGCCAAACCAAAAACCTTTTTGGAATAAGTATTGATAATAATTTATCGTTCAAAGGACACGTACAATCGATATGCAAAAAGGCCAGCCAAAAGCTACATGCTTTATCCCGAATCTCCAACTACATGGATGATAGAAAAGTAAAACAGACCATGCACGTCTTCATTTTATAACAGTTTAGCTACTGCCCTTTAATTTGGATGTTTTGTGATCGACAGATGAACAACAGAATAAACAGAATTCATGAAAGTCTTTGCGTCTTGCCTATGATGACTATGAATCAAGCTTTCAAACTCTTCTTGAAAAAGACAACTCGACGTCTATCCATGATAAAAATCTGCAATTGCTTCTTACGGAAATATATAAAACTTTACATAATCTGAACTCAAGTTTCAGGAAAGAAATCTTTACTGAAAGAAATACGTGCTATAGTCTTAGAAACATATCCCGAATATCGCTATCAAAACCAAAATCAAATTGTTATGGTATAGAAAGTACAACCTTTATGGGATCCAAGCTCTGGCAAGAGCTTACAAATGACATTAAAACATCTTCTAGCCTCGCAATATTTAAGAAAAAGATTAAAACTTGGAAAGATACAAAATGCAACTGCAGACTATGCAAACCTTACATTGTGCAGATTGGATTCTTGAAATAGTCATCGAATAATTGTAATTTTTATCTAATGAGTCATCCTTTTAATTTTGAAAAATTTCCTATATCATATTATCCATTCATTGTAATTAATTTAAGATTTGTAAATGTAGTATAAATAGTAGGCTTTAATTAGCTGTTATATTAGCTAAAAAATTTTGCTTCGCCTACTGTAAATAATTTTATAATAATAATAATAAAACTCCCATCCCCTGTACCGCCGAGATCATTAACAACAACTTTAGCGCCTCTTTTTGCAAACTCAAGGGCATATTCTCTTCCCAGTCCACGTCCAGCTCCCGTAATTGTAACAACCCGACCATCAAACCTTTGCAAAGACATCATTATACGCCCCAGACTGGAAACTTTGTCGCGCGCCCGCGATATATTGCCCGCGCACTCAAATTTTCCATCCGCGCACTTTTGCATTTGGCCGCGCAAAGTCCCTATTTAAATACATATCACAATAATAACAATACAGATTTCTTTAAAGTGCGTGATTTCAGGCGCACAGTCAGGCGCGTGACTTTGCCCGCGCAAGAAACAAAGTTTCCAGTCTGGGATACACCCCTGTGTTTTATAAAAAGAAACACGTCCTTCAATGTTCACCAACATGGGGACAAGGGTCATTTTCAAAGAATTGTCTCGATACAATGTCAGCCTCGTTTCGGATGAAATATGGGGCAGATCGATGAAAAAAGTGTCCAAAATCGTCTCTCTTTATTTGTTCTTGACGTTACGGTTTTTTTAAAAGAGTAATATTTTAGTGGATTAACATTGCTGGAAAAATGGCTCATCTAAAAGGGTAAGTTATTTGGTCGTGTGGACTTTCTTTTCTTGAAAGTATCTTTTCTATGAAAGTATCTTTGAAAGTATAGTTTCTTGAAGTGTCTTTTCTATTATTCAGAATTGTTATTCCTAGTTTAAAAAAATGTTATTGTTGTTTATTAATATTGTGTATTGATTTATAATTACTTCAAACAAAATTCACAAAAGATGGCAGATGGCTCGAAAGCCCCTATGTATGGGTTATTTTCACGTGTCATTCAGCTATAACTTTATATAGATACAAATAATTATTTTAAATATCTGAACCTTGTATGTATTGAAGTATAACTAAAATTTTATCTTGATTAATTGTTTGATTAGATCAGTATATTGTAATTAAGCTGAGAATACACTTGAAATTGAAATTGAATTTAAATTGAAGTAAGAGCTATATATATCTGAATGTAATTGTAAGCCTAGCCTATGTGTCTATGCATCATTAGATTGAATATGGTACACAGGGGCGGCGGGCAGTGTTATTACCGTTATTACTGTAATAACACTTTTTCCAAAGTCTTTATCAGTTTGATGCATTCGTCTGCTAGACACAACCAATGACGTAGAAATAATATGGTATCTGTCCTCTATTCATCTGAAGGGGATGATAATTACCTGCTAATCCTTAACCACAGGAAGCCTATTATGTTTTTCAATGGTATTTCAAATCGTTCAAAACTAGTTCGAGGCTCCCGGTCTCATTATTACTTTTGCGTTTCTAATAACGGAAACAGCAAAGTCTTTGTCACGGGACTCACCGTTGACGTAAAATTCAATTGTTCTTGGTCCTTGAAATAAAGGAGCCTAGCAGCCCCGTTATCACTTCTGGGATTCTAATAACGCGACCATTTACCTTTTGCCAGTGCTGTTTTATGATTTTGCTTGTAAGTTAGCTGTTTCAAAATGAATCGTGTTGTGGAAGATCAAGTGAATGACCATCGTCTAGGTGTTCAAAGTGTTATTATTTTGAAACGGGTGGAACTAACTCATTAGCAACGTCTCGAACTGAAAGGCCGTGCCAGATATATCTCGTCATGTATTTTTCTATAATAAATTTTTAGCCTGCATCCTTTCAAGTTTATTTGTACATTTGTAAACTGTAGCTATTCAAAATGTTGCAAGTTGCTTATGTAAAGGCATTTAAAATGAATGATGAACTGAACTGAACCTTGAATGTGTTCAGAGGGCTTTCATGCAGCGGTTTCCGTTATTACAATCGCGATTCTAATAACGGGCCCACATGGTGGCTCAGAGGAAGTGGCCGCCAAATATTTTTCACGACTAATCACCGCTCGCAAGCCCTTCTGACAAATGTTACAGCCCTCCAGTTTGTTTAAAAAGACCAACAGGAAATCAGGCTCTTCATAGATTTCTTTTTTATATGCGAGCAAGGAAGTATCTGCATTTATTTTCTAGGAGATACAGCACTAAAATTGCCAATTAACTTAAAACTTTCAGCATTCGCTCAGATTCTTAGTTGCTTACAAAAATGTGTATACCCGACCAATGTATGTCTTTTAGTGACTTTTTGTTTGTTGTTTAGAGTCAAATGAAGATATGCATATTTCCCCAACGTATGGCTAGGCCAAATTTGGGGGGGGGGGGAGTGTTGTAAAACCCTATACCCCTCCAGCTGAGGAGGTTCAAAATTCCTTCATAAAGAAATTGTTAATTTTCCTTTTTCATGCATGTTCCATACGTTTGAAAAAGTAATACCAAAAAAAATTTACTCCCAGCCGCCCCTGATGGTACAGCTGGTCTGAGAAATTTGTTTGAAATTATCACTGTGCACTTGTTATGTGCACACTTCATAGTCTTGCACACTGCACACTTAAGAATTTCAAACACACACCTGAGATCTCAGGCAAAATTGTCCTATTTCAGACCTACCATATACCATAACTTGTTGGTCACACAAATTGCACATGAGTCGCTCCAAGCGACAAACAATAGGAAGTACAAAGAAACATTAAAAATTGTTAGGTAGAACAAAAATTCTCACGCATTTGATATCTATGCTAGTTTTCAGCATGGTAGAAGGCTTGCTTCATTTCATATTACGAGAATTACACATAAAGATTTCTCAGACATGAAACATTTTTATATTTGTGCAGGCAAGCTTGTTTTTTACACAATCTGAGCTAAAATTTTCAGTAAATAATGTTCCCAGTAACTAAGAAATTGGTAATAGCCAATATAAAGGGGCTCAAAGCCTTGCAATTTCCAATATGCTTGTTGATAAAATGCCAAAACAGTAGCAGAATGCAGGGCCCACACCACAAATTGCAAGGTGGAGGGGCCAAGTTCTGTAAGTTGAACTTGAATTAAGTGCTCCAAAACAGGACCTCTTTGGAAATGTTATTGCATACCAAAAAAATGGGGAGGCCATGGCTCCTCCAACCCTCCCCCCCCATCTTTCCACTTCCATTCTGTGTTGTAAGACAGTGTTACAACATTTTCCTGATCAACATTCTTCAGCTACCCTTTCTATAACTGTATTGTTTTCTATGTTTCCATTGCTAAAAGAAAAACAAATGTTGCAACCTACTATCATCTCATTATCAGCTTGCACTTTAGAGTGTCAAAATGCTTGCATATTTGAAGGATTTCTATTTTCTAGAGCTTTTCAGCTTTTGTCCTCCATTTTTATCAAGTCCACATCACTCTTGATTAACTTTCTTAGTTGAAAAGCCCTTTGAAGGTTTAATAGAGATTTTGCAGCAAGTAACATCAGATCATGCGTCCATAGAATTCAGTTTTTACCACACAATCAACAAATCTTACCAACTTTGCAATAAAATTCCTATTAGGAATAAATAAATTGTTTAATATTTTTACATTTCTTTTTAGATATGGCTTGATCATTCCAAAGTCATCAAAAGGGAAAGTCAGTAAAATTGGGAAATCAGCTGCCGTTTTTCAGAATGACTCAAGTGAAGAAGATGAAGTATTGCTTTAATTATTATATTATCAACATTTGAAATGGGATATATGTCCCCCATTCTAAATAAATCATTAATTTAGCTCTTCCTAAGAAATATTTTGATTCTTCAGGCAAGGCACTGAACAGTTACAGAACAGGTAAAACCCTGCTAAAAGCATTGAAAATAAATTATTTGATTTGAAGCTGCACTACAACTGCTTACAAACAGCTTTAGCACTGAACATCTTCATTTTTGTAACTTTCCTTTTATGGTACTAGTTGTGAAGCCACTGTCTAAAGAGTTGAATTGCGAGAATAGCTAAAAACATCTGAACTACAATCCAAAATGATGTCCAAAAATGTAAATGCTCATTTTCTAAGTATGGTGACTGACTTCTGCTGCTTTAGATAACTGCAACCAACCAGTCAATATTTTTGATAATCTTTGTCACTGCAAAAGAAAATATGGGTCCAATTCTGCCAATGTAGTCATGTTAAAAAAGAAAACATGTTTAAAACTCCTCTGTGATGGGGAGGGGGTGGGCTTATGATACCTTTGATTTTTCTGGCTCAATCTCAAAATAGACTGTTGTTGTTAGTAACATTCTGCACGGAAGTTTTTTATGATTTTGTTTTCTTGAATTTGAATTTTTGTGCTCTTTAGTAAACTTGAGTTGATCTACAGCTAAGATTTGTGATAGATTTGTGACTTTTTGTTCCAAATTTTTTGTAGAGTAAGAAAAAGAAATTGATTAACCAAGAACTGAATGCTGTAGCAGAGAAAAAGAAGCAAACAAAACAGGTGAGATTGACATAATTTTTAAAGATTTTTTTTAGGTTGTTCATATTTGGGAAGATTGTCTGTTGTTCAGCCTCCAACTGTTTAACCATATAACTGTCTGTGGTTTGTCTTAGGGTAGCCATTTATCCTCCAAAATGGGACAAATTGTACATTTCATGATACAACTATGAAATCTTAGGTACAGGTTCACAATTTGACATGGCAAATAAGATGAGATACAGACCCCACTTCAAAACGCCCCCAAATACTATTTTCAGACTGGGGTACTTGTACCCAATCCTCTTTTAAGTATTTCTCCATATCTTTTAAACCATGCATGTCATGAACCCAAAACTTCGTTTTCTGATGCAATTTGACCTTGTAAATAAGATGAAAGACAGACCTCATTTCAAAACTGTCGCAAAAGCTATTTTTAGACTTGAGTACCTGTACCTAATCCTCATTTTGGTCTGCCTCCATATCTTTGAACTTTGCATGTCATAAACCCAAAACTTCATTTTCTGGAGTAATTGGAGACTGTAAATAAGATGAGATGCAGACCCTGCTTCAAACGAAAATGCAATTACAACTACAACCTTGACATGTACCTATTACAACTGAAAAAATCTTGACAAAACAGCAGCAGATATTTTATGTTTGTTATATGGTAACAACAAAGAACCTGACATACATAAATAGCCTTTCTGCTTATCATCATGCTTACAAAATCTGCACCATACAATACCAAAGAATGATTCTCTTCACACAAGTAGAACAAGTATTGCACTTTTGAAAAACTATATTGAAATTCTGTAAATATTCTGGTCACACCCTCAAAATCCTCGCCCAAAACTAGAGCTTTCGATTTTCAATACAAAAGATTTTACACAGCAAAACTGCATTTTATTTTGAATTTAGCACCCTTCATTTGGTCTAGTTACCCATTTTCAGCCATTTGTGTTGATTAGAGAAAAATATAAAGAGGATTAAGTGTATATAATCACTTCGGTGTCACACCCTAAAAATTCATGGAAACGCCCAAATATTAAAAGTGCTATAACTTAAGATATTAAGCTGAAATTTTGGAATTTTACATATTTCAACGAGATTTGTTTGCTCACAAAAATGATTGCATTCTGAGGAAATAGTGGTTACAGTTTTCAGTAATCTTGGATGATTCGATATGGAATGACCCTAGTCCTCTTTTGGGCTTTAACCAGGAAGTTAGATTTCTGGTGTAATTCGACATGCTAAATAAGATAAGATACATTAGCCATTCAAAAAGCTCGAAAAGTTTTTTTTAGAAAAGTTTTTCATTTAGTTTTTAGACTAGACCTGTACCCAATCCGCTTTTGGGTCTTCCTCCTCCATATCCTTTAATCTATGCAAGTTATGAACCCGAAACTTTGTTATCTGACGTAATTTGACATGCTAATTAAGATAAGATGTACCTAAAAACGCCCCAAAAGCTTTGTAACCCCGATGAAAGCTGATACTAGAAAATTTGTCTACGTGAAGAGTATTTCAAGTTCAGGACATGAAACAGGGTGCGGCAATCAAAATGAATAGACGCTGATGTTATATATAGCGGGGTTCGCATTGTTTGCGTCAACTTAGTTTAGTGCGCTGTTGGGTCGGTTTGAAGACAGGAAAAGAAAAAGGGTTCCCAATTCCACGATTTTCTGCTTGGCTACGACAGTTTCTTTAATCTTTTTGGGAAAATGCAATCTGTCTGGAAGATTATTCGGGAGGTTAAAGGACCTTTCGTTGCTCTATCAAGTGCTTTATGATCAGCAGTGCTGAGAAAGAAGGGAGGGGGAGAGGGGGTCCGCGGAAAGGGGGCTGAGGAAACGATAATGTCAATTATAGAAACATAATAGATAAGTTCTTTATGAATTTGCGCAGTAGAAGCGTTGGTCTCTTGACTGGCTTGAGTGTTAAAGGCCATCTGACTATCCTTATTTTAGAATTTCTCATCTTTGTGGGCTTGGGCTAAGAAGTTTAAATAGCTTCTGAATTCGTTAGCCGAACATTTGATTGTAACAGTGGCACTTATAACTAGCAAGTTGCGCCCATACAATGTGCATATAGCGGTACGCATATCTTTTTGCAACGCGTGTCAGATTATTCGATCGAATTTAGGTTAACGAATTCCTTCCGCGGTCCTGCTGATAGTGGAACTTAACCGAGGTAGGTTGAGTTCGAGCAAGAGTCCCTAAGTCAATTTGTGATACAGTGTTGTTATGCATAACGTTATATGAAAATGTGGTTTGAAGAAGCAAAAGTTGCCCAGGTTAACACGTTACATAAGACAACTTGATTTCGCGAACCAGGGGTTTCCTTTTAAATCAACCTTCAGGGGTGTTATCAGGCGGCTGCGGACCGTTGCAGTTGCAAACTTTTCGGATTTAGGGAGATTTATTTCAGTTTGTACATTATCCATTAGTAAAGTTTAATACATTAGTTCCATATCTCCCGGACCATATTCAACTTTGTTGGTGAAATTTTAGCATGCGTTTCATCTCTGCAATTTTATGCCCTTCTAGGAAATCAATGTTTTCAATGCAAATATTCTTGCGGGTTGCAGAGGCGATAGCCACTAAAACAACCTCATTAGAGTTTCAGCGGCTTCTTCCCCATCATTTCCGAACCTAATGTCCATAGCCCCATGCGCAGCAACAGTGAAGTGCTAGAAGTTTAACGCCGACCAATGAGCATTGATTTTGGAGGGTTGCTAAAAATTGCGGGAGCAACCTTGTGTTTGAATGGAAGAGTTGCTGGGGGGTTGCATGACCGTTGCAGGCCATTCAAAAGCACCTTGAAAGTTGCAAGTCAATTGAATCGAGGATACGACAGGGTACTAAGAAACTGGAAATCGCAAACATACTGGTGTCGTGGCAGTTTTTCCGATTGTTCATGTTCTCTTCCTACAATTTCAAAGGGAAACGGACAATAACTCTAGGGAAATATTTACAAAAGAACAGAAGAAATATACCTGAGAAAAGGAAATTGATGGAGTTTCGCTTTAGAACCTGTAAGACAGAGCCCTGAAGATAGGTACTGGGGCTAGGCTTAGTGAAATATAAACAAAATTCAAATTCATGTAATTCAGCAACATATTTACAATTTATCAAATATATGTTGAGCAATGATAGTATCATTGATACGTTACTGAAAGATACAAAGTTAAAGATTGAACGATACAATATGCTCCAATCAAATATAAAGTAAGGTGCCTTAGGCTTGAAAAGTAAACATGTTTTGTCATTATTGGCTACGAAACTAGACTAGCTACGCCATAAAGCATGTAAATTTGTCTCAATGTCTCTAACAAGGTGTTCAAAAAATGGACACTGTTTTTCATTCTAGGCTGTTGTCACTTGCATCAGTTTTGCTAATGCTACTGTTCAGGAAAGATAACTCTTTTGATGCATATTCAAATTCTTATGGTGAACGTAGATGGCCCACACAACAGAAAGCACGCATTTGCCTTGATGTCTTTTACAAGGTGTTCAACAACTGTTCACTGTTTTTCCTCCAAGGCTATTTGCATCTATGTTGCTAATGCTAATGTTCAGGAACTCTGTTGATGCAAATTTAAATTCTTCTCACGAAATTAGATAGTCAGCACAATTGAACACATGCATTTGTCTTAATGTCTCCTTAAAGATATCAAAAACTCTTCGTTGTTTTTCACTTCATACTGATGTCGCCCCTGCATCCATGATGTGGAAAACCTATTGATTTAACATTTTGCTACTTTTCAGAAAGAATGCTCTATTTTAGTTTTCAATGATACTTAACCTATGCACCTTGGCTATTTGCCTCAAGATAGGGCGTGGCACTGGTTGTAGGCCACACCCTTGACCACCGCCTTTTCTTCTTCTGCAAACCTGCAATAGTCAGAGTTTTTTCTGGATCCATCTCTGCCATTATTTGTTCAAGCTTATTGTGTGAAGTCTCAAAGTGTCACAGATTTATTATATTTTTAGATAAAATGTCTTCAAAAAGAAAATGTAATGCTAGAGCCTTCAAGAGATTAGCAAAAACATCGGAAAGTCCCCCCTTTTTGTCCTCATATACCCCCGGCATCCGTATTTTTCTATTTGACCCCGAAATATCAAAGATTTTGAACCATTAAATTCAAGCTCGATTGATTGATTTAAACTCTCCACTTTGAAATTTGTGGCGTGAACTTTTGCAAGAATGAATGATTTTGAGTGTTTCCCTGATAATAAACCTCTTTGGTATTCCTCACTATCTGAAATTGTTTTGTTTCTTATTGATATTTCAATCTCTTTATCACTTAAAATATTCCTCTTGCTGATTTCTTTATTTTTGTCTGTATTTTGGAAAAAAATACAGTTTTCAAGGCCCCCTAACAATAATTCCTAAGGGCCCCGAGTTGTTCCGTTACGCCATTACTATTGGTGCAGTTACCAATGAACAAATGTCGTTGCTTCAGAGGTACTTGTTTTGCTGAACGATCCGTCATCTCACCGTCTTTCAATGAATCAAGCAAGAAGGTTCCTTTTTCAAAAAAAAATCGAGGACAGTTGAAGCCATACCACCAAATGAGGATGCTTTGCATCAAAATACACTTCGGTCAGCATTTCAAAGAGGGTGAGAGTAGATACTTGTTTCTGAGCTCATTGGTGACCAATTGCTACGTACGTGCACAGACAACGAATTTTCCGAATTGTATCAACCTTTCGCAAGCAAAGCAGGCCTATTTTATGGATGGCGATTTCGCCAAAATTTTCATATTAATTAGCATGTCAGATTTGAGATTACACCAGAAAATAAATGTTCGGGTTCAAAACTTGCATCGTTCAAAGATATCTAGGATGACCCGAAAGAGGACAGGGTACAGGTGCCTAAGTCTAAAAATAGCTTTTGGGGGCTTTTTTGAAGTGGTTTGTGTATCTCATCTTATTTAGCATGTTGAATTACGACAGAAATCTAAGTTCCGGGTTAATTTCTTGGATGGTTTAAAAGATATTGAGAAAGACCCAAAACAGGACTGGAAACAGGTAACCCAATCTAAAATTATCTTTTGGGGTAAGTTCCACATTTCGTCTTATTCACCATGTCAAATTGTGTACTAGTACCAAGTTTCATGCTTGTATCTTAAAATGTACAATTCAATAGGTAAGCGACTCCACTATCTGACTATTGCATTTTGCATTTAATAAGGGCTCAAGGCAAATGATATAAGGCTTTTTATTTTCCATCTTATCTTTGAAGAAGAAGGTAAACAGCAGGTTGAAAGAAGAAGATCCATTTATATTGTTCGGTATGTACTCATTGAATATTCACATTGCTGGCCACTAAACAAATCTTTTCCTTAGACCAAAGAAGACATAGAGAGGGCATTAAGAGAAGATCCGAATGTCTATAAATATGATGAAATTTATGAAGAAATGGAACAGAAAAAACAAACTGTTGGCTTCGAAGCCAAAGAAAAAGACAAAAAGGTAGATTTATCATAATCATAATCATCCTTATTATAGCCATTATCTACGCGTGAATTCGCGACGAGTAAAACGTGTCACATGATAGTCACGTGGTATCACACAACTGTGTTCGCGTGTTGGTGTGCGCAGTTGTTCGTTATTTCTGGCTGCAATGATTACTAATAATGTTATCACTTCTGTTGTGGTACTTATTATCGACATCATTATCAATCATCATTGTAATTTTCATCGCCAACAATAATCTTTCTCTCCAACAGCTGTAACAATGCTTGCCAAAAGTCGGTACACTGAGCTAAAGTTTCGCATAAGCTCGGTAGCATCCCCCTTGAAACAATTTAGAATAACAGTGCCAAAGCTTGAAATTCAACCAGTGTTACTCAGTCATCTAATGTGAGTAAAAAGCTTCCCAACCAACATTGTTTTCGGGGGAGGGGAATGTTTCTGTATCTTACGGCCGGAAACTTTTATTTCATCAGAATCTTTCATTGACTGCAAGGACTTTTGGTAAGGATTGTAGCATCATAGCAGAACATCAGAGCTGCCTGGTAGATCTAGCAACAAAATTATCATGTCACAAGAGTTATCATTCAGTGTGTTTAGTCTTTTACCTTATATTGTAGAACCAACATGGAATCTTTAGTGACGGGTATACAAATTTAATTTGTAAGCTCAACTTTCATGTATTTCTTACAATTTTAAATATGAAAATAAATATTTCAAGCCCAAATATATCGCCAATCTGCTGAAATCAGCAGCCATGCGCAAAAAGGAACAAGAAAGACGAACAGAAAGAAGTGTACAAAGAGAAAGAGAAAAAGAAGGGGACCAGTTTGCAGACAAAGAGTCTTTCGTCACCGCTGCGTATCTTTTCGTCGTAATGCGTTTAATCATTTGCTGTAAGGGTTTGCTAAAATTGTCTGACAATTGCAAGTAGAGTGTATAACAAATTGATTGGAACTTGCGTAACAGAGTTGATGTGTGCATCAGGTATCCATCGATTCCTCGTTTTAAATGAAGCCTTAGAAGACATTGAGAAATCAAGAATAAATTTTTTCCATGTTGACGACATTGCAATCACAGATAAAGGTGTTGAAGGTGCATGCGATAAGGCAACAAAAAGCAACTCAAAGGATAGAAATTACAAGCCACTTAGAATGGTGCAAATGACTTAGAATGATTTATTTGAACTAGCCTGATATCTGGCCTAAAACTCAAGTTGATTTGTTCGAACGTTCTCAGTGTATGATACAGAAAATGGCCCAAATGAGAATGGATATCCAGGTGTGGAAAGAGATTAACATAAAATGATGATTTGTTCTTTGATTGGTTACAGTTTTGACTTGTAATATTGAATTATAACTTGACATTGTAATTTATGTCATGCAAAGATAACTGTATGTTGTCTTATCTGGTTCATCAGATTTTGTTATCGTGATAGCGCACAGACAATGTGTAGTTGAATTTAGTGACGGTTTCAAATGTGACTTCAAAGAAATCCAAGTCAGAAAAGTTCTGTTTCAACATTCTGGCACAATGCTTCTGAGTCAGATAATGCTGACTTTGTTTTTGGAAAGTAATATCAATTTTATTGGAGCTAAATGTCTAGAGTTCAATCTTGTGTACTGAAGACTTTCCCTTCATGAGAGGAAACTACCAAGAGGAAAACAGGGCTACAAGAGGATCAGATCACTTCGTTGTTAATGATAAACATTATTTACTAGATTAAAGAGCAGTTCTTGTAGTAAGGTAGTGTGAACCTCATTGTTGCATGTCATTTAGTTTTATTTGACTTAACACTTAAAAGATATCGACAAAAAATGATAGAACAAGCAGAAGAGGAAGAGAAATTGCGGAGACAAGATGAATTAGATGGTGGGTGTATTTAGGGTTTTGTCCATTAAGCGGAAACTTCAATATAGCACGAAAAAGCGAGAACGTAGCAAAGAAAAAGCTTTTTGTTAGCAGCCTATAGGTTCTTTCCTCATTTTTCAGGCTTTTATGGACAGTAGTATTTTTCAAAGCTTTCTTACCTTTCCTTTTAGCTGCAAATGACGTCACAAAACAAAAGGATCTCTCCAAGTTTTATCGAAATTTATTAGATGGCAATGTCTCGATGGGTGCCCCTGTTGAGGAGCAAGAGCATTCCAGAGTGATAGAGACTAAAACTGCCGAAAAGAACAAAGAAAGTGGTGAAGAAAAAGTAGAAAAATACTCAACTCCCGAAAGTGAAAACGAAGAGGTGAATAAATTTTCTAGAGATAAATCTTCAAACAAAAAGGGAAAACAATATCATAGCCTTGAAAGGAGCCCTTCAGAAAAGGCAAGGGGAAAACGTAGCACATATCGCTCTTCTGATGGTTCCTGTGAAGAAGCAACAGGGGACAGGCAACCCGTAGTTAGTGGAAAGGCAAATGAAAGAAGAAGAGGTGAAAGGCGGTATAGAAAAGGAAGAGCAAGGGATGAGAGAACATCTTCATCTGAGTCGGACTCGGATCATGTTGAGAAAAGTAGGCGAGAATCAGGTACTAAAAGGAACTCAAATGATGACAAATACTCTTCAAAGTCGAAGTCACCGAATCATCGCTACAGTAGAGAAGGTTCTGGTTCCAAAGACTCTACTGGTCGCCTAGACAGAGATGCAAGAATTCAATCGCATTCTAAGCATGGCCGAGAAGGAAGCCAGGCGCATGATGAAAAATATCAAAAGGAGAAAAGATCAAGAGAAAGGTCTAGAGAATCTAAGCGAGAGAGATCGAGCGAAAAGGGTAAGAGGGAGCGTTCAGGTGAGGGAAACAAACGGCGACACGCTTCAAGTGGATCTAGTCCTGAAATTTCTAGAAAAAAGGACAAGGGTGGTAGATCTGTTGAACGAAAGAATCAAAGCGATCGTCAATATTTGGAACAGAAAACTGAAAGCAAAAATAATGGAAAGGAAACCATTAATAAAGAAAGATCGAAAGTATTTGCAAAACGTAATGATGCTGATAGCGTTTTGGGTGCTAGGGAACGATATTTAGCGAGGAAGCAAGGCAGGATTGTTCCAATCACGCACGATGATGACTCAGATTAGCTGTTGTTGGTTATGCCGCAGAAGGAAGCCTTCCTTAACAACAAGATGATATTCTTGACTTGGATTTTACCGTTCAGTTTCCGGTCAAAGCCCCAGTATCATTGGCTTCGAACGGTAGTAACTTTATGAACGTCCTTTGAGATTGAGCCAGCGTTTGAAAAGGCCGATGATCAACATTTCCGGAATTTTAGTCTGCCAACGCTCGCCTTAAGATCTTTTTTTATTTGTGAAACTATGAATTGGAAAGATTAGTTTTTGATCGAAGGGCAGGTAAATAGCCTTAGCTTGTGCACTATTTGATAATAATGTTTGATTATTAGCATATTTTTTGCTTCTGCCTTCATTTCGTCATATGCATTAATCAGTTTTCTTATACAATTTTTTTCTTGCAATAATGCTGAATTCCACACAGTAACTGTGTAGAACCATCTGGTTTCTTGTTATTGGGAACGCTTTCTAAACAAAAGCTCAGAGGTTTTAAAGTAGAATAGTCAATTGATAATTGTATTTGTTGTTGTGCAATTTAGCTGCTAATTTGCAAAAGAAGAGATTTGAGATGTCCAGCTCAAGCTACTTGCGTTTTCAACTAAGCTACCAAACATTATTTAGGTTGTGTTTTTCTTATATATGAAACATGTATACAAACGATTTAAACATTTTTGCCAAGTTTTAAGCAAGCAGAATTAAATTTACGTTTATAAAGAACTGTTTGACATAATTTGATAAGTTTCTGTACCAAAATAAAATTGAGTCCCGATAAATTGGACATTTAAGAGAACCTTAAAAGCAGTTCGTGTTAAAAAGATCAATTTGCTAAACCAGATTAATCCATCATTGTTGCTAAACCAGTAATATTTAGTGGAAGTTTGTGACATGACGGGCTCGTTAAACTGGGATTTCACTACGTTATAAAATCATATAATACATTTGATAGAAAAATAAAACATATCTGAAAAATGACCGCCAATACCAGACAAAAGTTCCTTATAAAACAATTTTAAATCATTGCAAAAGATCTAAGAGTAACATTCTTAACTTATCAATACCCCCAGCTATTGATTTTCATACTCCGAAACACTGGCTGAAAAAAATTATGATAGACTTGGTCGAAATGTCCTTTTAAATACTTCATTTTCGTGGCATCGGCTGTGTATACATATAGAACCAGCTGGAATTTGAGTAATGGCCTACTGATACGCAAATTCAGACAGCAATTACTTTCAAGTTTATTCAGCATACTTAGCCAATGTTTTTGTTTATTCAAGATAATTCCTCTTTATATTGCTGTAAGGATATATTAGGATATATTGAGTGTCTGTAAGGATATATTAGTTAGAGTTTTTTGACAATTACTACTCACCAATCTGTATTAAGTCCTGTTAAAAAATTAAAGTAACTCAGTGTCTTCTTGAAGCCCAGTAATTGCAGCCTGCATGAAACTTAATGTAACTATGTGAAACATCGATAAACAACTTAGAACTCAGAGTTTCAATTTGAAGCCCAGTAATTGCAGCATGCCTGAAACTGGAAGTAACTACCTAAAACATCGATAAACAACTTGGAACTCAGAGTTTCAATTTGAAGCCCAGTAATTGCAGCATGCCTGAAACTGGAAGTAACTACCTAAAACATCGATAAACAACTTGGAACTCAGAGTTTCAATTTGAAGCCCAGTAATTGCAGCATGCCTGAAACTGGAAGTAACTACCTAAAACATCGATAAACAACTTGGAACTCAGAGTTTCAATTTGAAGCCCAGTAATTGCAGCATACCTGAAACTGGAAGTAACTACCTAAAACATCGATAAACAACTTGGAACTCAGAGTTTCAATTTGAAGCCCAGTAATTGCAGCATGCCTGAAACTGGAAGTAACTACTTGAAACATCGATAAGCAACTTGGAACTCAGAGTTTCAATTTGAAGCCCAGTAATTGTAGCATGCCTGAAACTGGAAGTAACTACTTGAAACATCGATAAGCAACTTGGAACTCAGAGTTTCAATTTGAAGCCCAGTAATTGCAGCATACCTGAAACTGGAAGTAACTACTTGAAACATCGATAAAAACAATTTGGAACTCAAGAGTTTGAACTTGAAGCCCAGTAATTGCACTCATTTGGAACTCAAGAGTTTGAACTTGAAGCCCAGTAATTGCACTAAGCATGAAGCTGACCGTTATTGCCTGAAGCACGGTGTTGGAACGAAGTTTAGTATTGTTTGTATTCATGCACAATTCTTTTTATAAAAAAACTATCCTTTATTCACAATTTAAATGTCTTCAGGAGTCATGTGATCATGTCCACTTTCCTCTGCAAAATGAAGGCCAGTTTTTAATTATAATCCTTTGAAAACAGCCGAATATGTTTTGGCCTGGCTGCTGCGCCATTTCATGGGCCATCTCCATACGTCTCGTTTTAAGGTATGTTTATTCAGTTTTTCTTTGATACTTTAAAAAGTAATGGCAATTGAATGGCAGGCTAAGAAAAGCGAGCCAAAGGTGTATACTTTTCTTGAATACCGAGATATACGAAGATAAAGGGGCATCAAAAATTGTCTATTCGGTGGCCTTTATTTACTCCTTGCTAAAAGTTCCTGAATCTTTTTTGCTTACTGCTATCATTGAGTAACAAATTTTTTTTTTTTTAATTAAAGAAACGAAATGAACAGGCAAAGGTAATAAAAATCCCGTATCCTGATAAAAACTACTTTTTCTGCATCTCGTTTTAAAGCTTTGAGAACTGTCATTTGTTGTTTTTTGATTTACTATCAAGATTGCCCTATTTCTGCCTAGCTTGGGCCTTGACATGGATACGCTCCATGTTCATTCAAAGTTTTTTCCTTCTTTTTAAATGGTATCATCTGCAACCATTTTAAAGTCGATCATTTTTCGTTTTTTTAAGGCTCTGAATTAGACATCTGCTTTGTCGATTAAGAGCATGCTTTTTATGCAAAACGTTTTTGAGTGCATTTGAAAGTATGAAGATTGTAACTCAAGATAAGAGGTCGGCGTGTACTCTTCTACTGGTCATAAGTTGTTTCCAAATGGTGTTCTCTCAAAACAAAGGAGTACTAAGATTGATAGGTGGAACGTGGTGTCGATATTTTTTGAAAGAATAACACAAAGCTAGTTGCAGTGCATAGAAAATGACAAAATATATATATTTTTATACTGTGAACTTATTTGGGCGAAATTTTGATGATTTCACGTTATGATTTGATGAAAAAATCCAATGAAAGCTTGAATTAATCATCGGGCGTTGAGAGTATTTAGTCTTTATCTGTTCATCTTAAAATCCTTGATATTCATTATTTCTGAAAATTTATTATGAAAATGTTTGTTGAAACTTATTGAGTTCGTTATTTGTTTAAGTTATATGAAACATTTCATATAAGATACGAATATTTGGAACAAACTTTTACTATTAATAACCTTTGCCTGACTAATCTCGCTACAATAATCTCACTAAATTGTGTATCATTTTTTGGCCCTTTTGCTTCCCGCCTCCTCCAAATCCAAAATGTTTCTGTCTGTTTAGGAACACATAACGAATAGTTATGAAGTTATGATTCCTTTCGTGCCAAATTAGCAATTAGAATTCAGAATTTCGTGCCAAATTAGAATACCCCCACCGTGCCGGGCTTACACGAAACGAGTTACACGAGCCCATGTTAAAAACACTGCCAGTAAATGCTTATTACACGTTTCTATGAGGGTCCATGGCACGTTTTAAAATAGATAGATGTCCTTCAGAATTCTACAAATCTACGCCCCTAGCAATATAGAGTTGCCATGACCTCTCTCCCCCTACATTTCATCTTGTTTGTCCGCTGTGGGAACACTGTATTGAATAGGAGATACCACACAGGAAAAAGTACCTCAACTATTTATCAAAAGCTGAGCAAATAAAAGTCACGAGAAATAAATTGATTGTGTTTGCTTCAAGCATTCGCTCCACTCTCCCGATTCAAGATCACTTCATGTGCAACGCATCTGTCTGGATGATAGCATGGAATATCAATAGCGATTGGTAGCAGTTTTTGTCTCATTCTTTGGACAGTGTCTTCAGTTTTTAATAGGCTGATGGCAAAAGATGCGCTGGGGAATTTACGCAATTTTTCAGGTTAGTGTAAGAAGTAGAGTCAATGCTGCGACCAATTTGTTATGATATTTTCGCTCAAGGCTAGTCTGTTAGATTTGGTGTAATTGTAAATGTGAAGGATAGGGCATTACTGGCAAAGGAGGAGCCATGTCGATCATGCATCACCGTAACCGCTATACATCGCATCACAAATGGCATTGTACATAAATATATAACCTCTCTGCCCCCCCCCCCCAGCTCCATCTCCTAGGATATCTAGTTTATGGGGTTTGCTTGCCCGAAAAACATGTTTTTGCCAATGATAGATTCAGCAATTTGCAGCGTTTGTATTGGGGGGGGGGGGGCATAAAAATTTGAACTTTGGTTCGGGCAATGATTTCCTACCCTGGGTACCAGACTCACTCCATTTCATTGAGTATTTTTACAAAATTGGATCTTGAGGATCTTGGCGTAGTGACCCAATGTGAACCGGTTAAACTGTTGCAAATAAATCTCTTATAATCTTATATTTTGTTAAAATTTGTCAATTGTGCAAACATGAAAGATGATGTACAATTTGCAAGAAGGACAATCAAACTTCTTGAAGCTGGTTGAGAGGTATTTTGAGTATAGCTTTTTAGCTGAAGGGTCGAAAAGCGTTTTTTAAAATGAATGAATAAATAAGCTGTAGTTTAAAGCAAGTAAGCAGTTATTTTACCACCTTGAACCTTCTCGCAGATATTCAGGTGTATTTTTTGCTAGAAAGCAATCAAAGATATGATTTGACCTAAGCTACTAATTGATCTTAAAAGCTTGAGCGTATGAAGTCTTGTTTTAAACCAGATGCTCCATTATCTAATCTACCCAGAAATTAGTATAAGACATGCCCAGTAATTGATGTTAGTAAGGGTTGTGTTTAATATGCATGCTTTTTGCTGGTTTGACAGTTTCATATATCCGCCTACCCAACAGATAGATAAATGGGTCCATAGTCCTTCGATTGATATTGCAACGAGCAAAGTAATCTCACTCTACAGAAAAATGCTATTCTAAAAGCGCATATTTTTCATATGTTAACATAGGATGCATCTACATTTGTATCATCACCTGGCAATTATATTACTTAAATAGGCTTGCAAATTTTGTCGTTGACTTTTCTAATCTTATATTTCCACTTTTATCTGCCCTCCGTCTCGCTTAGCTGTAAACGGTTCTCTGTCCCTATGTGTTGTTCCTAGGAAGATATTTCCTTTCACAATCCTTTCACCATTTCCCCATATTTCCTAGACTGACACCGACAGTTAGTTTCACCATCTATGTAGAAATGTTCTTCTTTCTTGATTGCCAACAGCACAAATACCTCTCGTGGTACTCTATCGAATGCTTCTTCTCATTTACCTCTAGGTAGGGTCTATTCTTGCAACATGAAAAGTATGAAGTGTAATTGAATGATAAAATGCAGGTTCAAGGATGTGTAGGTTGCACGTTTACGGATGGCTAGTGATCCTTACACTACCGTTTTAGGCTTTGTGCATTCATACGCTCCAGTACTAGCAGCTCCTGGTCAGAAGAACCATATACGTACGCTTCTAGCTTTAGTGGCCTTACATTCGTACGTTTTGCCACTAATAGCATACTATCATCAACACTTCCAGGTATATTGTCATATAGAGGGTGCGAGGTCGCAATATTACGGGAGTGTTTGCGATAGTATCACAATTTTTTCAATACATTCGTTTGTACATATTGACTCTCATAATTTGAAAGACCATTGAAAAAAGAATTATATTGATAGCTGAAGAAGCGTTATCTTTGTCTTCTATACTTAGGACCAACACACCTATGTAGATAAGAAGATGTAACTCATAAGCATTCCTTAGCGTTTTATCTAGTTTTATCCAGCTCGCAACATATTATAAGTATTGTATCTACTTCCCCTTCTTATCCTCTTTAAAGCGAGGTTTCCTGGAATCAAACCATCAATATATATAACCCACTGTCATATTTATCTTAACCCCTTTGTGTAGTCTATTAAGTGCAAGTGGTTAATTAGAAGCCCTTCATAATATTTTTTGCATCTTCTTTTGACTTCATTATCTTTGACGTCATTAGGTTCTTTTGACTTCTTTTGACTTCATTATCTTTGACGTCATTAGGTTCTTTTGACTTCTTTTGACTTCATTATCTTTGACGTCATTAGATTAAACTTTTAGCAACCTTGCCCCAACTCTCATGCTCATCCAAGCACTCAATGTTGTGTTACTAATGCTTCTTTAGAAATATAATACATTTCAGAATTAACAGTCCAGCTCTTCCTTTTAATTACTACACCTTTCTAGAAAAAAACAGTCTGACATCAATATTTTCCATTCTCATATGTTTTAAGAGCTCGCCGTTTCACAAAGGTTTTGGGCCATCTATCCATAACCAACTTTTCTTCTTCATGTCAAGAAAGATCTTTCAAGAATAAGGGAATTTGCCTTCTCAAGCATGGCTATCGAGGCAAAGAATCGATCCTTATGATCACTTTTCTGACAACCTCTTCTTTTTCTTCCTAGAAAGCAAAGATTTGCGCATACAGTCTATTGAGACTTTCTAACAGGCAAATTACTCTAACTTTGACTGACTGAGTGACTGACTGCCAAGATTTTAAAGATGTTAAAAGTCATGCATTTATAACTATAACGATGTTTAAGTGGCAGCTTTTTAGAAAGATTTTTCACAAAAGTTTATGTCTATTTGGAATTTTCTACGAAAAACGTTGATTGAATTCGATCTTGACCTTGACCTTAGCTCTGCTAGTTCTTGATTTCTACTTGTAATAACTAATGGCATTTACCTGTTTTCTCTAATCCCAAAATCCGTAAATAAACAGGTGTTTACTAATCTGTGTTCTTTTTCAATTGGTTGGGATAGAAAACCACCACAAATAGACAGGTTTTATTTACCATTGCGTTAAAGGAATCGTGAAAAGACCCCATTGCAAAACCAGGTCCACAGATATTCACTTACAAAACCCTTAACACTTCGAATCTATCAAAAAACTATTTGGTATCTATCAAAAAACAATATAAAAATACCGCAAAAATCACGTAATATTTTTGAGTGTTCAACTTTAGCCTTTTGGTAGGTGAAATGGTTTGGAATCATTTCCAGACTAGTGAATCTCGGGATTTTCAGTGTAACGAGAATTGTTCTGTGATTATTTGATGCCGTTCGTTCACTAATAAAACCATCCATTGATTAACGTGTCATTTCCAAACCCTGCGATTCTTATTTTACGTGCAGAGAGCACCAATCCAGAGAAGAGGCGATGTGTCTATTGCGTGTCTTGATTATAACTGAACTCTGAACTAAAATTGCTTGTAACTTAGCATACTTATATACAGAAATTTATTACTAAAATTAACAGGAATGATGTGAAAAAAATAAATGATCGGAAGGGCGAGTAAAGGTGACGAGTAAATTGGGAATGGCAATACACTCTTTTTTTATAAGAACCAGAAAATTTACGCTCAGGCTGACTGTTCTTGATTTTTCGAAAATCTGAGACTGGATTGTTCTTAATTTGTTCTTAATCTAATAGGGTGTAAGCAGTGCGAGTGCTAGCTTTTTCGCTTTAGGGTTGTGTACAGGCCTCATTTGCCCACAAAGTGAGTGAGACAGCCTTAATTTGCTGACAAATTTGAATATTCAACACCCACACATCGCTAAAAATCCTCGATTTCCAGAAAAAACGTTGTTCAAAATTGCATTTTGCAGAAGCTCAGCCTCAGCTTGTCCTTAATTTGTTCTTAACTTTTGACCAATTTTGAGGCTCGTGTTCTTATAAAATTGTTCTTATAAATAACAGGGTGTATGAGAGTGACGTGGAGGATGTCTGAGCTGAAAACAGGCCTAAGTAGAGTCACTACAGATCTACGGGTGCCTTTTTGATAATATAGGTCTCAGGACTGTCATGGGGTATCGTGGCAAACGAATTTCTTGGGGAAAAAGATACAAATTTTGTTTCAAAACGTAGCACAAGAAACAGAATGACACGTTTTAGAGCAAAGCCTACAATTGTTATATAAAGAAGGGGTAGGCGCTGAATTTATTGATATGGTTGTAAGTTTGCAGCTTGCTATGTAGACAGAATGAGTTCGTTTTCACCTTAGGACTCGTGTCAGGCGAAAAGCTTTAATATTTGCTTTTTTCAAACACAGAATAATCTGTTGAGAAGATGAGGACTATTTATAAGGAAGCCTTGACCCATAGTTGGAATAATTAATGTCAAAACAGGTGACAGTCACGCTCTGCTAGTTTCGTATATAATTAAATTTTGTTGGCTTGCAACATGCTTGGGACAACATGTTGCCGTTACGTGACATCTTGCCGCAGCATCAATCTTTGCATTCATGACCGAGAATGACAGAGCCCTCGTTTCCGTTTTCAGTCAACGATGTCGTACTGGCGGATTGGCATGGTAAGCTGTACTACGCAAAGATTTTGTCAATAAACTCAGAAAGTCGAAATGCCGTTTGTTGTTCGATGATGGGTCTACCTACGGCGTTCAATTTAGCAAAGTTCATAGTGGTAAGTTGTTATTACTTTCTGTGCAATGTTAAAAAGCATGTTTTTAGTCAGGACGCCTAAAACTGCAATGATTGTATTGTAGGCCAAGTAAGTGAAATCCTTTTCACAATGTAGTGTCTTTCAAATTCTTGTTTACTAAATAGCCTATTGAAATCTTAAACCTTCTGAGAAGCTTTTGTTGAATAGAATTAATCACGGTAATTCCACTAGATTTGGTTAAATGTAATTTGAATATGAATAAAGGCGAGTTAAACCAAAATAACATGATTTTCATAGCTGGAATTACTGTTTAAATAAGTTTACTTGAAATTTATCCGACTGGGAGTTGATACTTTGTGACAATTGAAAGCCTGAAATTTTTGGGCCGAAATCAGTTTACGCAAAAAAACCTCAACATTCTCATAGAATTGATTCATTTAAGAACCATCCAGCACGCTGAGAACATTTTGACCCCACCACGCCCCCTCCAAAGCCGTTATACCCGTTTTATTGACTACCCCTCGTGTCACATTGCTTCGCCATATGTCATGTGTGTTTTGTTTGTTTTCAACACTTCCGATGGATTTTTTCTGGTGGAGATATTCGTAACAAGCTTCCAAATGGGCATCGGCCACAGAAAGATTTAATGGGATAACGTTGCCAGTATCTAGCTTTTGATTAGGTTGAAATTTGAAAAATGGCGAGACATTTTCGCAAAAATATCCCCCCTACTACCCCTCCCCTCCCCCTGTCGCAATTTTCCAACTCTGCGTTCGTTTCTGTGCGGTCGTTCCTTCCCGTCTTTACGCGTTAATTTTCATAATCCCCCGTCAAACATTTTCTGGAAATATACACTACACTTTCACACTTATGGATTTCGCAAAAACGATTCTTCTACACCTGACTATTCCGCGTTTTTTATGCTTTTTTGAGATATTTGAAACAGGATGTGAAAATGCCATTCCTGTATGTTTTCTCATTTCCTCAAGTTTTCTCAAGTAGTTTGCATGCACAGTTGGAGCACCGTCTTAAATCAAATTAACTTCAACGCTATATCTGGAGTCGTTGAAGTAGGAATCGAAGTTTTATTACCCCTCCCCCTCCTCCGTTTAACGGCCAGTGAAGGTTACGGTAATTCTACCCAGAGCCTCAAAGTCAAAGGATGAAGAAATGGGAAAGGAATTGCGAAGGAGAATTGAAGAGGAAAGGGGAGAGACGAGGCTCTGGATCCATCGTTCAACAACCTCCTTTCATCTCTCCCCTTTCCTCTTCCATTCTTCGAATCAAATCCGAATTCACACCATGTCCCTTCAGTCACGACAGATCCGAAACAAAGATTTAGTGTGCATTAAGCACAGGCCATGTGGGCCCACGCAGATTTGGTTGCCACGCAGATTTTAGTATCACATCGGCACTTCGCAGTGACAGTGTCAGCTACTGCAGAGTGGGAGGGTAATGGGCCTGGCCAGTGGGACAACGCTCTTTTGCCTGATTTCAGTGTTTTATCTAGCGCATTTTAATCCGTTTTTAGAAGGAAAAGGTAGACTACGTTTTGAAAAAAATGGGGGGTAATAAATTACCCCTCCATACCTCCTTGGCGCCGCCCTTGCTAAGCAGTCAGAATGAGCGTAAATTTTTCCGCTAGATCTTGCCTCAAAACGTCTCAAATGTCCAATAGATGAAGTTACGCAGATGACACTTACATAACTCTTTCCATTCCGTTTCCAAATGAATCGAACCGTAACTGCTGATTTAAAAGATTTGAACATTTGTTAGGAAAGCAACAAATTGTCGTTAAACTTGCAAATACCGAAGCAATGATTATTACAAAGTTACGCACGATAAATACTTCCGACGCCACTAAACGATAGTTTGATAATCATAGCGGTCAAACTTTGATTGGCTGAGAGCTCTGTTCGCTACCATGTTCTAAGCCAATCAGCACACAGGATTCTCACAACAAAATCACTTCACAGCTAAAATTAGGCCCATTTTCGCCATTTCAGCGTGTTTTTACCACATTACCACTATCCAAGAACTCAAATGGACTAGACTAATCACTGCCACCAAACTGATCTCAAGAGATCTTCGGCATTGGCATTCTATGGTATGCAAAACAATTTCTACCCCTCGCTACTTTCAAGATTGTTTACAAGTTGAAAAAGGCGATGACCTTAACAATACAGTCTTCAGAAATTCGGAGTATGACGTAACAGTCCGCATCAGGAGTTATGGATTATCAGCAGTTACGGTTTGATTAATCCGCATCTAAGAGTCCGCATCAGGAGATGGTTTGATTTATCCCAATTTAAGAGTCCGCATCAGGAGTTATGGATTATCAGCAGTTACGGTTTGATTTATCCGCATCTAAGAGTCCGCATCAGGAGATGGTTTGATTTATCCCAATTTAAGAGTCCGCATCAGGAGTTATGGATTATCAGCAGTTACGGTTTGATTTATCCGCATCTAAGAGTCCGCATCAGGAGATGGTTTGATTTATCCCCATTTAAGAGTCCGCATCAGGGGTCTAACGGGGGTGGTCTCACCGTCATTGAAAGTCAATGCTGCTAAATTTGTCTTCTCTCCCCGCCTGCCGAATCCACCAATCTTGTTTACAGTTGCCGAATTCTCGTTGCAGTGAATGAAACAACAACGGACATAGTCTGTGTGGTGTGCAAAGAAGGTTCTACAGCACCGCACAACGACATCGTTTTATGCGATTCCTGCTCAATCGGTAAGTAGAACCCTTCGATTAGAGATACAGGCAGAAACTTCTGTGGATGGTGGCCACAGACCTTGGATGGTAGGCCTTGGTGCTCTAGCTTGAGATTTGGTTTTCTTAAATAAAAAATGCCTCAATGGATTTCAGGACATTTTAAACGTTTGTACGGTTTTGTACGTCATGAATGTTCCTGACATCACAGAATAAGAATGTTCTGTGACCAAATCTTCATCAAATCACCCATGTTCTCTGCAATTCCAGGCGTAGGAATCACGAGGTGTGGTCACATCGAGAGGAAGGGACAGGACACTGCTCGATAAGCAAGATAGCTTCTCAGTGTTCTAAGCAAGATAGCTTCTCTGTGTTCTAAAACTACCGCCGAATGTTAGGTAGAAAAAAATACAAAAGCAACGAAAAAAGATGTCTAAAAATAGCACATCGCAAGATTGCTCCGACCTTTCGGTTTAAACTTCTGTTACACCACTTTCTTTGCAATTTGGTTTTAGGAAGTCTAGTAACAAAGTATTAAGCTAGTAAACAACCCAAATTTCAGATATACATGAAAGTTATATCATTTGTTGTGTGTGTCACATGCCAAAGTTGATCGTCCTTTTTCTGATATTACAGCTCCAAATGTCAGCGGTAAAATACAGAATATATGCGTTTCGCAATTATTTATATTTATTGTACATTTATATTCAGTAATCAATGTGCAATAATAGTTTAAACTTGATTAAAACATGCACAATAAAATTGCATATTCTATAAAGAATTACAAAGGAAATATTATGAAAAATGTTTATTTCCAAAGCGTTGTTTTGGATAAGTCAAGGAAACCAATGTTGATCACATACGCTTTACAGACCCATCTTGGAGTTCACGACGCCATGATGGAATTCTATTGTTTGTCCTATTGCAAGTTCCAATCCCTCAGGTGGGGCAAACAAGTGACAAAATTCATGGTGGACAGAGGCCACTCTTTTATTTTTTAGCCATGAAAATTCTTTCGAATAGAGAGGAATATATTAAGAATAAAAATCTTAATTGTGTTGATTAACAACGGACCTTGTTTGAGCTGCAGAGGATTTACAAGTCTCGATGATATAAGCCGCCATTAGGTTAATTGCGGTTTAGCCCCACTTGTGTCATGGCATCGTGATCTCCGAGATGGTTTATTGTTTTGTTTTTTATCGTAAATTCATATAGATTCCGAGAATTCTTCTCTTTGTTTGGTAGACTTTTTGATTGTCCCAAAAAGAATGTTTTTCAAAACCACAAGTTTTTCTGAACTTTGGAAAGCTTGAAGCCACTACCGTTTTATTTTCACGCAATGTTTTTTTTGTTAGTAAGAATACTAATGTCTTCTTGTAAATGTTAAACTTAAAAAACACCTATTTCCTCTGAAAAAGGCCCCTAAGTTGGAAATGACTCGTTCCATATATCTCTGAAGAAGATATGGAATAAGCAGCCCCATTTTTAAACGCAATTGAAGGGAAACAACGATTTAGACCAGGCGAGCAAAGGGAATTGTCGTCACCCATCGAGGGAATTTGCAAGAACCACTCTATTTGATCAATTTCGATACGCTGATTGCAAAAACCGAGCAAAGCCGGTACCCAGAAGCCTCTATTTCATAATCAACCTAGTTTTCATCAAAAATTGGAGCGTTTAACAATAGTTTTGTAAATTGATTTAATCTTATATACTGAGTTGAAAGAATGATGTTTTACAGAAAATAAGGTACCAGGAAGCCTTTATTCTATGTTATAACCTCGCCTTTGTCAAGATGTGAACGTAGAGCAACAGTTTGTAAATTGATTGATTCTCATTGATTAAGATATACTGACTTCGAAACTTGATCTTATACGGTGGAATTCTGAACATATTGGTACCTTCTTATGCTTAAAAGTCGTTTTGTTGCATGAGCCAGAAAGGCCTAATTGTGACAAGGAAGTAGATATGTCCAAATCGGTACCATTCATGAAGACGGGAGGAAAACCATTAACTAGATTGTCTTTACCACCTTTGCTATGTCATCGGTGAGAAATGAAGTTGAAATATTTCTTTGAAGGAAATGTTGATAGCAGAATTATGTTGAGAGTAGAAGGAGACAGGAGAGCTCAGATTAAATGTCACCAGTAACATAATGAATACTTGTAGCGGAGGAAGTTAATATGATTTATGAATAAGATGAATAATTCAGGAGATATGAAAGAAACTTGTGCAACACCAGCATTATTTGAGTAGAAACTGGAGAAGTAGCCGTCGACTCTAATGGCTATAGAGAAAGCTGTCAATCCATTTTATAAGGGATGGATGGAGACCATTTATGGGGAGTATCGAAATAAGACCTTTGTGCCAGACACGATCAAAGGCTTTGGAGATGTCGAGAGTGATAACTCTACTCTCATCAAAGAGTTCTAAAGGCAGAGGGCCAAAGATGAGTAGCATAAGCTGGAAGACCACCTGTATTCACCTGGTGAAAACCATACTTGTGGTCAAAAGGGAGTGTGTTGGTTTTGAGAGGTGCGAGTAGTATTTTGGTGATTATGGTCTTATTTGCTTTGGAAATGAGGGAACTGATTGCAATTTGACGACAGTTGGTGGGGTCAGATGTATCCCTCTTTTCAGGAACAGGAAACTGTTCTCTCGAGAGAACTCTCAAAGAGTATTTATTTTGTGGGAAAGATCCCATGGAAAGTATTTTTGGCCAGTAGAAAAACATTTTAAAAAAAGGATCAGCAACTGATGACATCAATATCTGGATTAAGCACGCAGAAGGATTAGGTTCAACTATATTTCTTGGATTTGTTACTGGCATTCATCAAAACGATGTTCATCTCACGAATCAAACTACTAAGTCAAAATAACATCGTGTAAACGGGACTGGCATCTAAATTTGATTGCCCTTGCGACGACTCAAGAAAATGTTCTATTTTCTTGAAACATCGCATGAAGGATTGACCCTGTTAACCAATCAGCACAAAGAATGAGTCACATGCTTCGAATATCTAGAAGGGTCATAAACTGGAGGTTTCGCTGAAAGAGATTTGCACGATTTGCTGTACTCATAAAACATGGATTTTCAAAGCAAAGAAGGATCTTTAAAACTGATATAGAACTAGCAAGGAGAGAGGTTTTTGTGAGATGTACTTTCGGAAGTCTACCGCACTAGGGATAAACTTCAAGTACACTCATTTTTTTTATAAGAAACTGGCTATAAGAAACGAGTACTGGACAGTCAGAAAAAATTAAGAAACTTCAGATCTCGAAGCAAAAAAATTAAGAAACTATTAAATCATGATAAAACTGAGAACAACGAAATTTTGTAAAACCCAAGAAAAAGATTGCCCTTTTGGCCTAGAACTTAAGACACAAGCGATAAAAATATACTTCCCACATCTACTCCAGTCTCTGAGTACTCCAGTTTCTTAATGTTCTGGAAATTTCTATACTCATTGTTTCTTAAGAGTTTCTTAATTATGACGTCATGAATGATATTATGAAATGTTCGTGACCTTTTTTATCACGTCAAGAGATTCACTTCCGTTCCGATGCTGTATTTAAATATGGAAAGTATGCTCTGTGGGTGGGCAATCATGTTCTTGGATTTTACAAAATTTCGTTGTTATCAGTTTTCTCACGATTTAGTAGTTTCTCATTTTTTTTGCTTCGAGTACTGAGGTTCATTAGTTTTTTCTGACTGTCTAGTCCTCGCGTCTTTAGCCAGTTTCTTATTAAAAAAATGAGTGTATACTTATTTCATTATAAAAGATAAACTGGTTATAAAAAACAACTATCTGGCATCTTCGTCAAATATGAAAAACAATGGCAATTTGAAGAGTATTTCGGATTCTCTGTTTTCTCTTTTAATAAAATTTGGTCCAAGAATTTTTTTTCTAAAATTTTCAGTGTAAATGAAAAGTCTAGTGAGTCTTACTCATTTTAACTTTAGCCAACTTACTTGAATTACTAATGATGGTTTTCCTTCAAATAACTCCCTAAAAACGAAATTTTTGCGCAACATTGAAATGTTTGCCATGGTCAAATCTACAATCTTGTTTCAATTTGCCATTTTTATAATTTTCCGCATCACGCCATTCTTTTTTTACCTTCTTTCCTTTGATTTGGTCAAGGGATGCAACGAACTGTTAAATTTCTCTAATATTTTTCTTAATTCTTAATATCTTTTTAACATCAACGATAAGATTTTGAAGTATGTGCCTTGTTTTATCCGAAAAAATGATAGACTGGGAAGACCTATTTTTGGTCTTGAGAAAATAAATCATGATACTGATTTAGTTCTTCTTATCATCTCTTATAAATGAGCTGATATCCCGAGATGTGATCCCTGCATTGTTGGCATTTTCCCACCATCTATGCTTGGGGCAGGTAAAATTTGCTTATTTTGCTTATTAGCCGTCCACTACAGAGAGAAAAAAATCTTAACAATCAGTGATTATGGTTTTCAGAAATGCCGCGTTATAGAATCGGGACAATCCATTATCACCACCATAAACAATATAAATTGGTCTTGGTTTAGTTGCCTATCAAGGGACTCGCAACTTTGTAGACGGTACCTGTGCAATATCTCACGTGAATTATAAATTATTAAGTACAACGGACGATTATTGTTTTTTACTCAATAAGTGACGGGTATGTGTCTTAATAATACATGCGAATAACAATCTGCACTTTGACTTGTATAAATTCTTGTATGTAAGCAATTTTTCATTCTAAAGTAAAGGTCATGCATGACGGGCGGACCATTCTGTGACGGAGATTCAGGCCACTCGTTCAGCGTGTGAAGTAAGCATAAAATATTTCTTTTGAGCACCATCGTATCAGAAATTTGTTAGATTTTTCAAACTAGGAGAAAAGCATAATCTGCTTCTGATTGAGAGCAGCTGAAAATTATTAGTTTTTGAATTTGCATGTGTTTCCGAAATTTCATGTAAAGTGAAGTGTCCAAACTTTAGCATTCTCTGGGTTTTCAATATAGGATTAATATTTTTGGAGAGCTTGTATTTTATTTTGTTCAGATTCATTAAAGCAGCTTGATTTCACAAATAACACGACGAAGGGTTAGTTAGCTAAGGTTTTTGCATTGGCTGTCAGTTACACTGTTTTATTTCATCTCACCTCAAGTGCTTTGTGTACAAATATTCCCGGTCACGTTTAAATCAATTACAACAGTTCACGGTTCCTTTTATTGAGACAAAATATCTCCCTTAGCGATAGCCTGGTCGGATAAGCATCTATTGATTATGTAACCATCATATGTAAAATCCTATTTCAATATAACACACTTAACAAGAGAAGAGCACCGAGGCTTGCGTGGCCGAAGAACATAAGAACATGAGCGGTTTCGGCTGAAAGCTAAGGTAAAACGCAATGTGTTTTGGTAAAAAAGTCATGCAAAATTGTTATTTGGTTGTCTTAGACCAATTGCAGAGAAGGCAATTCTAAAGCAAAAACAACACTAAAAACACAGGAGCTCCAAGGTGTCCAGAGAACATTGGGCCTCGAGAGGAATTATCTCGTTCTTATAACAAGGAGTTTTTACTGTGTGATTTTTCGTGCCAGTGTTTATATATATATGTATTATTGCAGCTTTACATGGGCTTTAACTGTTGGTTTTTTCGATAAAGCGCCAGTTATTCACCGAGTCGCTTTAGTACACTCTTTTAATAAAAACAGTTCCATAAGAACACAAGAATTAAAACTTGTCAAAAGCAATGGACAAATTAAGATAAAGCTGAGGCTGAGCTACTGTAAAATGTAATTTTGAACCCTGTCTTGTCATAAAAACGAGGATTTTTTACTTGTTGTCGAATGAATGTAGTCGCGCCGACTTTTTTGGAGAACGAGGCCTGAAAACCCCCTTAAAACGCATTTAACTCCGTTATGTTCCAGAAGTGATGACCGTCTTTATTTAAAGGTATTTATCTAAAACTGGTAAAATATCTAGCTACACTAAAGCTAGTTTAAATGAAACTCAACCAATGTGCATATGTGTTGCTTGCACAAGTACAATTGAACGATAAATACTTTGAATTGTTTTTTCTCAATTATTTGTAAAGTTGGGGATTATTTTCTTTCGTTGAGGATCGAGTTCCATATTTTGCTACATCACTGTGACACGGTTTAAAAGTTCATGCATTTCCTTGAAATTGGAAGTTCTTAGTTGTGCGGGTATTCATTTATTGAAGATATATCATCAATAGAAAATGGATTTAATTCGTTAATTTTTTTATATTGCTATCACAATATATTGTAATTTTTTGTGAGAATTGTTCAAAAGTTGATTCAGAATCGTTATTAGCTATTCTTATTGCCTTTTCATGGATCCTCTATTTTCCGCTATTACTTTTCCCACTACAAAACGTGAAAATGAGCGGAAATAATAGGAATTCGATAAAACGATCGATTTTGTTAAAAATATTCACTTAGCTTCATCTCTTGGTCCCATGTGGGAGCCCATTCGTTAAAATTTTAGTAAGTGGAAGCTCCCTTGTCAAAATTAAGAGAGATATTTTGGCGGGCACAGTCCCCCTTAACGAGCACGCCAGGGACGCCGGAACGACCAAGCGCCAGGGGGGGGGGGGCAGGCTTGAGTAGAAGGGCATCTGAAAGATAATTCATCTTTCTTATTATTACAAATGTTCCGCTTCAAGCCAAGGCACTCTGGCCCCACCTATCAAACAGCAATAGGGGCGGTTGACCCCCTGCGCCCCCTACCTCCGGCGTTCCTTAAGCACGTATATGTTTCGTTCAGCGATGTTGTTACTTGAAAATGTGAATTAACACTATATCATTATGAATTTCCGTCAATAAGCAATTTTCTATCAATCTTTTTTGTCCGTGAATAGCTTGACTGATTTCATATACCCAACAGAGAACTTTTAACACAAATGCAATAATATAGGGCGTGGCTGTAGGTGTGGCCTTGTCTGTGGCTTCTAGAAATTCCCTACAGCACAGCACAGCCTTAAAATCTGAATAAAGTGTAAGCCATAGAAGCTTTCAGAGACCTACAGCTTGTTCATACATTCTGCTTCGTTTGAACTGTTTATCCCGTTACATCTCCGTTACATCATTTTGTCCTTTTCATTCTCCAAATTGTAGAAGTGGCGGGTGTAGAGCTAGTACTTATATGAATATTTACTCTCAATTATTTACAAGCTTAACGAAAGGGTAAAGTTTACGACACGCTCAAGTTAATTGATAGAAATTAGGCTATTTGGTAACCTAGAATGACAATGCTCTGATGCTCTGTATTTCTCCAGTGACGTTATACAAAAGAAAAGAAAACGGAGAGAAGGAACTTTTCAAGTTCATGTAACAACCCGGGCACAGGGATAGGAAAAAATGAATTCACGATAAACATAAAGAAATTACATTATGTACTTTGATTTATGCATTTTTTTCTTGTGCTCTTGAATAGCTGAAGCTGCTCATACGCCGTAACTCTTCTTATGCCTTTGGGTGTTGCTGTTATGAGTCAAGGCATTTTGCTTCCCTAGGCCGTATAGTTACCGAGCATACCCATCTACTTACATTCGCTTATTATCATTATTCTGCAAATAACTAGACAGGGGATGGCGCTGTCACTTAGGCCGGTTTCTACTTGGTTCGCTCTTGTCGCGCGACTTTGGCGAATGCATATTGGAGCATGCGAAAATTGAACTTGCTTATTCGCTGCGAATGCCATTCGCTGAGTAGTTCAACTCATTGCACTACTGAGCGACTGGTCGCGTTCGCCGATTCGCTGATTTGTTGATTCGCTTTCACCAAGTCGCGCCCGGCCTTAATGGACTCAGTTGTCCGCAGGAACGCTGCACAAGATTGTGGCAGGAGGGGTAGTGTTAGTGCTAAGGGCAAATTGTAGAATTTTTCTAATAACATGGTGGTAACATATTAAAATGTTAATGGATATGGGCCACCCATACAACTGGGTTTTTTACCATCAAATATTCTACACGTAGAGAAAAGGCTGATTAAATTAAATGGGTATTAAATGGCCTTGTCACTATTCACAATGCTTGGTTTTCTAAAAGTCATGGCTGTTATAAATGGGCTGGTTGTAAAATTTTGATATTGCCCGTTTTAATACCAATTTATCCTCTTTAGGCTCCTGAAGTACTTCTAAGGGAACAAGACTGTTCTGTATCTACTTTTCTCTTTGCCGCTCTCCTTTTCTGGCCCATCTTGTCACAGACAAACTTTTCAACCTTTGCCTTTTTGTGCTGGTGTTATCATCTTTGTAAGATTTTCAAATGGAAATCAACATAACGAGAGTGGTTAAAGTGGACATCAATTATTGATAAGATTATACAATCTTTTCGTGGATGTCGTATATTTCAGGGCACTTCTTGCACCCTCTGCCCCTCTTCGAAGAGGGCAGGAGGGGCAGCTGCCCCTTCAGTCCCCTCCCAGTGTAGGTGCCTCTGGTTGTCCGTACCCCATCAATCTGAACTTGCAACTTTACATTACGAACTGTCAATACAGAGGAGGTTTCTGGTTAACAACAGCTTGTTTATTTTTTATCGACTAATTTTCTTTCCTTTGAAAATCCTTATTGTTTACAGTTTTCTTGTTTAAACTTCAAAGAAAATCTTTTTGCTTCAACCTGTGTCATAACATGATAACAATGATAGTTGTCATGGCAAACAGTTGTAACCTAACGAATTTTCACGAAGAAAAGGACGGCCAACGCAGTTAGAATAATAAGAATAAATCAAGCTGTGGATAACATATTTTATAATTGTATTTTTAAAAAAGTACCTGACAAAATTTGAGAAGAGGTCGTCAAAAATTGTTGTTCCTCTTTATATTTAGAAAAATAACCCAAACATTATTCAATTCACGGTCATTATTCCTTGGGGGTTAATGACATTATGGTTTAGTTACCTCTTTTGTACATTGTTAATTGTATATGGTATATGATACTTTTCTTGCCTGTCTCTTTTGCACTAAGATGCAGGTTTTTTACCTAATTTCCCAAAACAGCCAATGAAAGGCTGACATAGTTTTCCTGATCTATTACTATGTTCAAATGTTTATCATATGAAACATTTATTTATCAGATATTCTTAATTGCTAATCCATTTTCAATTTGAATAAAAATGATATCTTAATTCAATGTTTGCGTTCTTTACAAAGGGTATCACCAGAAGTGTCACGACCCTGTCATCCCTGCTAAAGCTTTAGAATACGAAACTCCCTGGCATTGTACGTTTTGCATGAATGGAGCAAAGAATCCACACATTGAAGAAAATCCTTTTTGTTTGACTAAAAGGAAAACTTTCGACAAAATTACCAACAAAGAACAAACAGTAAGTCATACTTTTATGTATTTTTTATCATTTGTGAGAAATTTTCTCCAAATCGCTTCACTCATAAAGTATTTTAAACTTTCGTAAATTTTTTTTATAAAAATTTCGTAAAAATTTCATAAAGTTTTTAATCCGGTAGCGTAAAGCAATTTAGGCCACTTTAGCTAGATAACTAAGGGTCCCGACCAAAAAAAGGCCCCGAATTATTCTCATATCCTTGTTTTTAAGACTTCGCTCAAGTTCACCTTATTTCAAAAACTTTTAAAGTTTTTCAACTCAAGCTTCTATTACTCGGCTCCCCCTAGTTAAGGAAAACATTATCATTTTCTTATCTTGTTATTTTGTTTGACATGCTCTACAGTGTTGGATAGGACTTTCTTGCAGTGCGTAAATAGGGGTCTGTCTCATTTTTTTCCTTAGGGCCTCAGCTGCCTCCGCTACGCCTCTGTCTATATCCACTTTCAAATTCACTCCTTCCACTGTTTTCGGAGCTTAATGTTACAGCTTTGGCTAAAAGTATATTTTTTCAGTTGATTTTCAGAGAATCTTAAAAGTATTAGTGCTATTCTAGTTTTTAAAACTAAACACTAGTTTTTTCGGTCAGAACACAAATACCTTGTAAGTATGTAGTTGGAAGTATAACCGCAAACTATAAACACAGTACATTGCATTTTCTTTTTGTCTCTCTCAAAATATCACCATCCTGATTTCATGTTTTGAATTTTAGTTTAGTTTTGAATAACCTGTTATTGCAGGCATTGCTTTTGTTTTCTATGTTGTTTTATCGTCATTTGCCATTCTTCACTTCTGGTACGTCAGCTAGCCGCTTTATTTTCTAGCCTGAAAGAAACCAAGAAAGATCTTCTAAAATATATAAAGAAGCAGAAGAGCCATTCAATCATCATACGAAAGGAGGTAGGAATAGCGGAGGCCCGAAGGATTTATCTATGAATAAAAGACAGAATTATAATGAACGCGAAAGTAAAACACTTGAAAACAAATGGTATCGACCTCGTTGTGATGAGGAGGTGGTTCGTTTCAATGTGACTGGCAGCCGAAGTCGGGAAGATTCTTACAGGGCAAGAGTTAATGGCTTCAAACACCACAGCAATATGTGGATAATTGGTAGGCCTAACGCAGCACAGGCAGTACAACAGTACAGTCAAAGACCAAATAGTAGCAGAAATAATGAAAATATAGCGAAAAGAAGGCATCTTCCATTGGATAAACATAATAGGGGATTTCGAAAATCACAAGAAAGAACTGGGAGACAGAATCAAAAAAGTAGTTTAAGGGAACGAATGGCGAAGCGCTATGTTCCTATGATACGCCCCTACATGAATACCAAAAAAGCAGAGGATGTCAATAGAAATTATAACTGTGATAGAAATAATGTTTGGAAGAAAAATGACAGTGAACAGGAAAAATTACCAGGAAGGATAATTAAGCAGGTAGAAGAAGACGAACTTAAAAGGAAGAAGCACCAAAGTATAATTGTTGATGGGGATTTGAAAGAAAAGGATGTCGCGAGAAGGAGGGAAAAAGAACCAGGTTGTCCTTTATTCGTCAAGAAGCTACCCCAAAGCCGGGGACCAGAAGCAATCTTTAAGTCAGGTGGCAATGCACAAATTAGGCATGACCGAACTTTTCCTGGATCGAATAGACAATTGACAATAAGTGCAAAGGAGCTCCCTAATCGGGAAGAATCGAAATCGGTGGAATCGGGGAAAGAAATGTGTAGCCAAAGCATAATTGACTCGTCAGATCACGTGAATAAGAGCAAACGATTATCAGCTGATCCTAATATAGATGCATTAGGAACATCGAATCAAAGTTCGGCATTTTCTTTCATCAAAAAGTGTTTCACAGAAAAACCAGGAAGTATGGACAAGCATCGGTCGGAGCTCAAGACTGACTACAGAAAGTTTCGGGCAGAGGGAGTTGAGGAAGGCCATTTTCAATGTAGACACTCTGACGCTTGCAAAGGAATGTCAGATAAGAGCTCCATGCTAAAACAGACATTGCAAGAAAAGGTGACTTTAGATGTTTCCCAAAGTACTTTGCGCTGTAAAACTGCAGATAAGTCCATGATGCATGAAGAAGAAGCCACAGAATTTAAAGGCACGTTAAGAAGCAAATACAAACGCTGCACCAAAGATTCTTCTACGGATAAAGCTGAAACTGATAGATATGACATTAAAGAAATTGCCGAGGAGAACTATACTGAAAGAGAGGATATCAGAAACAGGACAAGTAGCAACGACAAAGAGACTGTTGATAGAGTTTTGAGCCGGCATAGTGCTGTTGAGTCCCCTGGTATAAGTCGAAGAGATTCTCAACGAACTGAACATACCAAAAGGGGCAGTATTTTAGAAAATAGGGCGATTGATAGTTCAAAAGAGACTAATGACTATCTATTCTCTATGAACATGAAAAAGGAAGATGGTATGAAATTAGATAACTGCACTGACCAGTCTATTAAAGACATCAAGACTGAGTGTAAATTATTTGGAGGTGACGAGCTTGAAAAATGTGGGGTTAAGCAAGAAATTGTTGGAAATGATATAAAGATTGAACCACGGGAATTAGAAGCTGATCAATTCACACTAAAACTGCACCCAGCTAAGATTTTGCACAGTCCCAGTGAACTTTTACAAAATGAAGATGAAAACAGCCATAACATAGACATGGCTAGCAAATATGACGATCAAACTAAAAATGAATGCTTCCTGAATGGTCTTCCTTTAAAGGATGCTCAAGAGGCGGATTCAGTCATCGACCAGGACCCTTGCTCTAAAAATAGGGAAGACTTATTTGTGCAGTGTGCTGATAATGATGGTACGTTTTTCGGCTTTCGAATTTCTGAAGTATTCTCTCTAAAAAGTGGACCCAGCCCAATTCTAAGTCTATCGCCAAGCCCATTGCTCAAAGTTACCAAAAATAAACGCGCGGATCAATGTGGAAATGTGCAGAAATCAAAAGAAGAAAATTTTGAAGCACATAATGCAAGTCAAGATCAGATGAAAGCATGTTTAGATGAAGGTAAACAAGATCTATATACATCAAGTGACAATGAAGAGAGACCCGTTGATGGAAATTGTCATGTCAACGAGGAAGCTCTTTCAAGTGGCATGGAGGAAGAACAAATGACTCCAGGGAAAAGTATTCCCAAAGAATCAGCTATGGCCTTGTCCAAAAAGAGGAATTTAGAATTGATGGGAAATGTTCATGATTTGACTAAACCTGTAGACAATTCACTTCAGTCTGAACCCGCACAGACATCTGTATCAGAACAGTCTCATTCAGAACATAAAGGCAAGAAAAAGTCGAAAAAGGCAAAGTCAAATGCTAGCAGTCCAGTGAATGCTAATATTTTTGATCGAATTTCAATGGACCTTCCCCGTCACAACTGGCTAATAGAGCGACTAGTAAATGAAAGGAAGCTAGGGAGTGACGATTTTCGGGGGGATGAGAATCTGCAGAATGAGAACAGAGATACAGAAAAGAAACCGAGAAAGATTAAAAAGAGATTGCGTCTGTCGAGCAAGAGAAAAAGCTCCGATGGAGATGGGCCAGAAAATGAAACATCAGAAACAAAACCTACACAAGTTGAAAGTCATTCAAACTTGAGCAAAGCCCAAGTTAGTGACGAAAATACACATAGGTGTGACCCTTTAGCGATTTCTGACACAGATCAAAAGTTTGACTCTGATAAGATAGAATTGGATTCTCTCAATTGGGCTAATACGATGAAGAATAACACCATGGAGTTGAATCGTCATTGCCTGTCTCTGGGAAAAGAAGAGGCGGTTGGAGAGACTGGCGAGGAAGAGGACAGCCCAGTCTCTGAAAGCGTAGAATCACACTGTCGAAGTGGAGAGGAATGTGACGTGACTGAATTGGAGCAAGAGAGTTTCATCCGTAAAAAGCCAGAAAGAGATGTGACTCTTTCTGAAAGTGTAAACGTAGAGGTAAAATTGACTTCAGGAAATGGAAATTTGACGATAAAACAAGCACTTTCTGTTGCGAGTTTACATGGAAACCAAAAAGCTGACGGTGAAACACCAAACCTTGAGAAGATGGTGAAACTTGAAAACATGTTGCCTCAGGAACCTGAACGAAACTCATCTTTGAAAGTTTCAATATCAATGGCTCGCCTAAGTCCAAATAAGGTCGGTTTGTCACCTGTCAATCAAAATAGAGAAACCGAAGACAAAAACGAAAGGAGCTCTTCTCATTACAAGGAAGATGAAACTCAGAAACAAAGAGCAAACATCGTGTTGACTTCAAGGCAAGGAAAAATATCCAATATTGTTTCGCCTTTCATTTTGAAAAGCAAAATCAAGACTGAGGAAGATGAAGCTACTGGGCGCTCGGGCGATAGTACCTTTGAGACGCAATGTTATCCTAACAGAATCAAAACAAAAGAATTATCCAAAAAACAAGAGCTTGATTTGAACGCAACGGATAAGCTAAATGATATTGGCAAAATTTCAGAAAAGCATTCACTTGGCTTACACCATCTTGAAATTGATAGGCAGGAAAGTGGCGATTTAGTTAGACCATTTTATTCAGAAAATAAACCATTGAAAGAGAAGCCTCTAAGCAGTTGTAGCGGAAAACAGCAAATATCTGTCAATGCACTTGCTACTGATTCATTTTCAACCAAAGGAGACAAAACATCGCCAATGACAAAAGAGCCCTCAACTGAAGACTGCAAATTGTTCCAAAAGTCGAACAGAGAATATCCAAGCTCATCGATAAATAGAGCAAATAATTTGAGTAACGGCAATATTTTGTTGCCTTTGAAAGCTGCTATTACAGAGCAAAATTTAAATCGTGAAACGCAAAATTTTATTTCCCCAGAAAAGAAGCCCACCTTTGATGGAATCTATCAAATCCAAAAGCACAGTAGTCCTGATAGAAAGCGGGACCAGCTTGGAGGGACAAGTAGCAGTAAATTTGTGGATAGAAATATTATCAGCTCTAATAACATTTGCGCCAATAGCTCTTATTTTGATGTGATAAAAAATATTGTCCCTACAAGTGATTTTGGATCAAAGCCCAGAGAAGAGGTGCAATTTTATGTAAGAAATTCATTAAGAAGAAAACTGGAACAAAATCAACGAAATTTATCTGTCCCCCCTGATGCACTCAACAGCGTGGAATCTAATTTTCACCCAACAGCAAAGAACGTAACTTCGGGTGACGTAAATGCTTCGAATCACATGCTCTACAATCGAGAAGAGATTCCATTTAAAAAGCAAAGAATAGCTACAGGTACAGAAAGAGCTGATATTAGAAGTTTCAGCAATGATCAACAGTCAAGGCCCTCTAGTGAACAACGACATGATTCGCGTAAGAGCCATCACGCAGCCTCTCCACAACTCAATAGCATCGGTGCTACTATTCTCGGTAAAGTCAAAGATGATTCGATCTCTGCTGCAACCAAAGACCAGTTACTTGCATATTGGCGAGATGTCAAATGTAAAGCAGTGAATGATCAACAGTGTTTTGATAAGGCATCAAGTGATGGTCCTTCGTATTTCAATTCTAATCACGAAAGAAGAAGTAAGTCTGTAAGTCAGCTGTCGCCATATGCGTCATATCATGGGCTCAGAATTAAAGATGGTAACAATAGGAAATCGCGTACAATGAGTGACTCTGCCCAAGGATGGGGCATTCCGTGTTTACCTACGTCCCCAAATCGAAACATAACCACTGTATGTACGAGAGAAGTAGAACGATCATTGGAACCAAGAGGCTATCCGGATCATGGATCAACTGTGACCAACGGCCATGGTCCTGTAAATCGCAATCAAAATTTGCTGAAATGCTGCCCAGTGGAAGGAGAGATCACAAGAAATAACCAGCCAGATAGAAGACAAGTGCACGTTGAGAGTGTTGATCTTCTGAATGGGCGCGGAGGAAGTATTAATATCCTCCCAGGAAGAAAGGTGAGATCTTTTCTTTTCAAAATTATAAGCGAAAAGTCTACATGATAAGCGTTTTCTTGTCATTTCTTGGCTGGCATTTCTTGTCTTGGCTGGCATTTCTTGTCTTGGCTGGCATGGCTGGCATTTCTTGTCTGCTCCAAAAAACATTTCTCTTCACTTGACAATTAATAGTCGTAAAAAAATTCACTATATCTGTTTACTGTTCTTATTTTTTAACCCTGGTCGTTTGACTTGTAAAAGAAAGTGCTTTGTAATGAACAGTAAATACGATTAGATCGGAATTTTTTCAGAAATCTTTAATAACGTCTAGATACTTATGCCAGGAAATCTGTGTCTTTAAATGTGGTCTTCGTGAATGATTTTCCTTATTTGTCGTTTTATTTTGCTATTTGCATGATCCTTTGCATAAATGAAATTTCATTAAAACTTAGGCAAAATAGTAAATTTCCTGGTTTTTACGTCTGTTCAGTAGATTGCGGACCCAATGATGGTTAGACACAAAAGCAGCTCTTTCAATTGCACTGAGATGCCTTTCCTTCTGGAAAATCGGAAAAGAAAGATTGTAGAGCCACCTCAAAATAGAATTTTTCAGCCTGGTCATACAAGCGCAACCTATGTCGATACCAGTGACATAGCGTTTAATCGTGGAGAGAGTCCCTCCTTGGGAGTTCAGCAGCACAGTCCCATGGACTCATCTAGGTCTTGGTCTACTGGCTATCAGGCAAACACCCTGAAAGTCTCAGTCAGAGAGGAAAGTGGCTTTAATAGGCTGCCTTTGAGTGATGCTCGTCGCATACCTGGACAACGAAATGAGATTCAGTGCAAGAATGTGTATTCATCTTATCCTGAAGGCTATCGCAGTGATAACCCTTCAATGGTTAAAGGAGATACCCAGCATAGATACATGTTCGAAACAGGTATCCACTGGCCGCATGAAAGTAATCATGGTCAGACACGAGAAAGGTTCGTTGGACATCATGGTCTTGACAAATACCGTACGATCCGAGAATCACCACCGAATTATAATAAGAGACCGGAGTATCAGTTCGAAATGGCGCAGCAATATCAACAACATCGACAAACGGAAATGCTGCCACAGCGAAATATACAGAACAGGGAGCCTGCTCAACGTTTAGAAGACAAGGAAACTCAGAAACAGCATCACCAGAAAGCAGCGTTTTTAAAGCGTGTAGAACAATTTCAGTCTGACTATCAACAACAACAAAGAGTGCTGAATCATGCATCATCATATGAACATGAACAGCAGCAACATCTAAATGCTACCTCTTTAGAGCATCAGTATGAGCGAGAAGTGATGGTTCCACTACTTAATAACCCGCTACAACACCCCATGCCTGAACGACATCTCCAGACATTGCCAGGTCAATCACAGCTGTCCCCAGGAAGTTTTCAACGCATACTGCCTTATCCAGTTTCAAACGATACGTCGCTGTATATCCATGAAAGTCCAAATGAGACTGGCATTTTAGAAGGAAAGCTGGTTTCAAGAGCTTTGCCTCGTTTTCGATCAACAGATAAACTGTCTACTGATGCCCAATTTAGTGACGGAAGACCTAGGAATCTCCTGTGTCAGCTTTGCAAATCAGCTGCTAAATTTGTCTGTTCAAGATGCAGGACTGCTACGTACTGCAGTGACCGATGTCAGGTAAGCATATAAATTGCAACAAACTGCGGAAGTTAGTTAAAATTTCCTACATTCATATCCAGTATAAAATCACCAGGATACCAAGATTTCTCGATTGGCAACTTAAATTTTCGCTGGAATCTTTGGTAATTAATTCTATAATAGCCATTTTATGACGAATGAATAATCACTGAAATGCCTTGGCTTTGTCTTTGTCGTTTTTATGCCATCGATGCCTTAAAGACATTCCTACAAGATAAAATTAACATTAGTCTTATCTCCTATTTTGGCAACTCTGTCGTTTGCAGGAACCTTTTTCTTTACACCCTCAGCCTATCTTTACCTCGAAATGTTCTGACATAGCATTGCTGAACAAAACAGCTTTTTCTCGCTAGAGTGTTTCAAGAGTGCTATAATACAACTGTTTTGTTAACCTTTGTTTCTCTTGTTTGGTTACAGGTAGAGGACTGGAAAACTCATGGTAAAAGATGCAAAACAGTTCCAAAAAGCTAATTCAGTCATTGGTATTGGAGGTTTCATCACATTTTAAAAAACTCAAAAATTATACGCCTTTTACAAAAAGAAATTGCATTCGCCGTCAAGGTTTTATTGGTTACAGTTAATGGGTCAATGAAGAAAATTTCAGTTCCAAAGCAGACACAATTGAATATTTTTATTTTTTAGAAGATGAATTTTAACTCTTCAACATTCCAATAGAGTTTTAATAAAATGGAAGGGAGTGGAATTTAGTATAAACACGAAAGGGGGGCTGGGCCCAGACGTTTTCACAAGCACACAAAATTTCTCCCAAAATCGCACCCAGATAATAAAAGGTTTGTTTTTCTCTTTTTACACAAAGCTGTTTAACTGGCCAGTGTTTTACAAAAACCTTGTTTAAAACTGAATATTTAGGATTGTTATATCAGAAAACTAATATCTAGGAAAATTTTCAACCAAATTGAATAAATCAAAAGCTACTGGCCAAAAAATTAAACAGTTATAAGAAAATCGAAAAATTTCACACTTAAAGTATAAGCCGAGCAGACATTGTATTTTTAACTTGCTGGGGTTTAATATCGGTTTTGCAAAATTTTAAGATAAACTGGAACAGGTATATTGTTAACTAAAACATTAAGATGTTCGTTTTAATAAGACAATTGTTTTGATAACTGTAAGATTTTGATAACTCGTTCGATAAAAAGTAAGTTATGTTTATGAGAATCTAATTCGTTTTTAACCACAAATGAAATATTGATATCGAAATATTACGTTGTTCTGTCCTTTAGATTTTCTTGCTGAATTTTCAAGATGGTTACTGATAAAAGCAATGCAAAAAAGCTAGCATAAAAAATTCAGTTTAATGAAGCAAAGACTGCCATTGAAGTGAATTATCAGGAGCAAGGATGACTCAGTGGTTAGGGTCATGGACTAAAATTCAACGGTCTGGGGTTCGAGTTCTTTATATGACCAAACGCCAGGGGCGGATTTAAGCAACAATGATTGGGGGGGGTGTTAGACACTAATTTTGGTGCCACACACTTCAGGTCACTGGTAAATGATGGAAAAGCCCATTTAAAATTTGGTTTTTAACTGTGGTGTAGCCAGGTTTGGAAGATTGGTAGGCCAAAGAGGAAGATATTTTTGCTGATCACATCCCTAAGAATTTGGGAAAACACCCATTTTGTGAATGTATTTGAAAATGCCATGGCATTTTTACTTGGCAGTTTCCCTTTATTCAACGTCATAGGTGGCTGATCATATCCTACATCTGTCTATTTCCTTCACAATTCCACTAATGTTTATATCCTTATCGTGTAAGGCGATTGTGAATCTCTACGTGTAAAAAGTGATTTTCCAAAGCTGTAATCAAATATCTAAAAAAAATGAACAGTAGTTTTTTTAGGATTGGACTGCTTTAGCATTTTAGTTTCTATTTTATCAGGAATGTCTCAAGAACGTGAAGGCTTTTCTATACAAACCCCAAAACGAGGGGATTTATCAAACATTGAGGCTCTCCTGCGAAGTGAGCAGAAAATATATTTGCGATGATGCCCTTGAGATCAGCTTAAAATACATTTGAAAATATCCCCCCCTCCTCCTCGCTATGCTACTGAGAAGAAGATAAATACTGATAAGAATAAATGAAGTAAGATCTTGGCGTTACTTTGTTACTATTGACTACCAATAAATGATTTTTACCGAATAAAACAAAATTTACTGAAGGACACAGAACTATCGGAGGGGGTGTCGCATCCCGTACACACCCCCCGCAAAATCCATCCCTGCCAAACGCTCATCTAGAGTGAAGGGAGTCGACATCTCTCTGTAATTCAAGACGTAGGAATCACGAGGTGTGGTCACATCAAAAGGAAGGACCAGGACACTGCTTTATAAGCATAGCTTCTAAGTGCTGCCTTTGGATGCTAAGTAGAAACTAACGCAAAAAAATATTTTGAATTTCCTCTGAAACTCTTCATAAAAACCATTAAAAAAGTCTCCCTGAAAAATTGCTTGTTTGCGCTATGACCCCAAATTTTGAGAAATTGTAATGCATGTCAGTTTTTCAAGCAATGTTTGAAACAATGTTTCATTTACTCATTTCAAAATGTCGATATAGGTTGATAAGTTGACCGATATAATAAAGCAAAAATTGAAACTAAATGAAAGTATTCATTGAAAAGAGAGACTGAAATGTCTGTTTTTTACGATATTATTCACGGAGAAGCTGTATGAATGTACAAATGGAATTAAAGCCCAGGGGGTCATTTGAAATTTTTGCATACAGAAGGGTCCATCCGATCATTATGGGTTAAAATTTTCTCCGACCTGATACTTTTGGGTACCTGATTTGACAATATACCTTTGTCATTTTAACCATAGCCTCTCCCAGGTTCAATTTCGTGGCGCAGTCTCTGATAGATTTAAAGGTTGAAGCTAAAGTTTTGCAGCGATAGCTTGGAGCGAAAGGGTAAAATACCCTCACATCAAGAAATTATCTTTGTATACGTTGCCAAAAACCTCTTGCACTTACACCAGCACGCAATTCTATTCTACCCCATTTCGGATTTTTGCAAATACAAGGCCTCCGACGAAGGGGGACCGGGGGGCCATAGCCATGCCCCCCCCCCACTTTTTGGGAAACAATAGAGGTTTTTTTCAAAATCCTTTGTTATGATTGTTAAATCTTCCCGAGCAAATTCCTTATCGCTTATGTGTGATAACCACTGTGTGATAATCAGGGCCGTCGCGAGGCCAGCCTTGTTGGGGGAGGTTGACTACAAATTTACCCGATTAAAAAAATTACCTGAATTTCTTTAGTTGCTGACATAAACTTACATTTTTATATGATAATGAAGGACTTTCCTTATAGTTTTGTCAAATCTGTATATCGGGGCCAGCAACGGAGATAATTACTACTTGTGGTGACATGGTTGCCGCCGAAGGACTAGAAAATTTTCTAATTTTGTTGCTTCTAGTTCCCTGGAAAACGCACCCTTTAAAGCAAACTTTACTAAAGCAATCCTCCTAATCCTAATGAAAGTTCTTTTATTTTGCAAACAAATTGAACAGCAGATTGGTACAATTTTGCCGTGCTCTTGCAAATACCATGTTGTCACGTTTCTTCTAAAGCTAGGTAACAAGCAGCCAGGGCCGCCGAGAGGCGACCTGGGCCCTGGGGCAAAGTCCTGGTTGGGGCCCTAGAGTCGGAAAGAAATTTTTTTCGAGACCACGCCCTTTTGAAATGGGAAACGCCCATTATTTCCAAACGTTTGCGCACGTTATAGAATATGGTTAAAATATCTTTAAAAAGGAATAAAAAGCATTAATTCTAAGGGTAACCGATTTAAATACGCTCTTTGACCACACCCTTTTAGCTGATTAAAGAGGACTTCAAAATGTCTTCCTTCAATTCTGACTGTTTTTTTTCTGATGAGCCACACAATATTAAAATTTAAAATGAAAGGAAACTCTTATTCTACGCACTTTTATTTAAAAAATCCCATGGAACTACGCTTTTCAGTTCTTTTCTCCTTCAAAAGTTAATTTTTCTTGCTTTTCAGTTCCAAACTGATTAATGATATTGTCGTAATCAATTTGTCTTGCTAGTTCGTGCTCGATCGAAAGAGTCATGAGGCTTGAGTCATTGTTAAACGTAAGCGGTTCTTTATTGATGCTAGTTTGCCGAAAGGGGCCCCAAAAGTAAAATATAGCTTTATGCAACGAGTCTAAATGCAAAAATAACTCACTTGAACGGGCTATAGATTAAAACAAGATTATATGGGTTACCTAATTTTTTATCAGGGCTCCCTTCCAATAAGTACGATTTTGCGAAACTCAGGGAAACTCAGCTTAAAAGACGAATCCGTAAAATATGTGATCTAAGGTTTATTCAGCTTTTTTCGGGGCCCTAGACTCAATAAATAAAGCTGATAGGCTTTAAATTAAAAAAAAGACTCAGTGTACGGACCCAATGAAATTACTGCCATCATTTTCGACATTAACAAATATATCTTTGAATGCATTTTCAGTTTCTCAAAAAAAAGACATTTCAAAAAAATTTTCAGAATAATTTTGGGGCCCCTTTCAGGCCGAGGCCCTGGGGCAAACTGCCCCCCCTGCCCCCCCTCTCTGCGCCACTGCAAGCAGCACTGGTTGTCAATTTAGATCCCTCTTTCCCTCTTAGCATTCCTTTTTAATGTTAAAAAACGGAACGATTCTGAGCGCAATCACTACCTTTGCTTGATTCTTTGTTAATTTTAAGACATGAAAGTCTCTGCACTACCGAAAGCGTTTCTTCCACTGAGCGGATTTTACCTGAAATTTCCTATTGGGATACTATTGGGAGGAGGGGTCCCGCGACGCCCCTGCCAACCTCCTCGACAACTCCTCGACCAGTGCATAACAACCATAACAGCAACATCAGAAGCAACAACAGCAACAGTCAGAATAGTGTTGCTAAGGAACGCTTTCACATCAATGTATGTCAGGAAATCCTCCTGGAGCTCTGAAACCCTAAGCTGTGTAAAATTTTAAAGCAGTCAGGAAGAGGGCATATGCGAGTCAGCGTTTAATTTAGAGTTTATTTACATTTTTGCAAGAATATATGCACATCATAAATTGCTGTCGATAACTGAACACAAAATGCCTCTGCGAAAGCAGTCGAAGGACTTTCAACCTCTGTGGAAGGAATGGGACCAAAGCGCCCAGAAGGAAGGCCAAAGGAACACTGTGTATTTTGTCAATGGTGATCAATACACTGGTGAATGGCAAAATAACAAGAAAAGTGGTGGGTAAAATAAATTTATAGCGGTTAATAAATAAATAGCGGTTAAAAAATGAAAACTGAACTGAACTGCAAAAAATGTTGTATCGACTAGAATATATTTGAAGTTGAAGCCTGTTAGTGCTCGATTCGATCTTCGCAAATGCTTGGCTGTAAACATGCTTTTTCAAAAGATGAATCATCTTTTAGTTTAGTTTTTGTAAAATTATCAACACATTTGTGCGTAATGTCTCGCACAATTTGCCTAGCTAGGACTCAACCCCTTGATAATGGTAGCATAATGGTAGCAACTATCTTATGTTAATGTACCTACATTAACATACACATAGGAATTACGTACAGTAGCTAGGTTTTTTGATGCAGTCGTCTTAAGTCTTTTAACCTTATCCTTAGGTAAAGGGACATATACATGGAAGAAAAAAGGTGCAATATATGATGGAGATTGGGCAAATGACAAAAGAAATGGCTATGGAACATATAGCCTTCCATTGCCAAATGGTGGATACAAGAAAGTTTATTCTGGCGGTTGGAAGGACGACAAAAGACAGGTAAATTTACAATTAATCTATGTTTATCATTTTCTAACATTGACTTAAAAAATTTACTAAGAATGATGGATCAACTATGCTAGATTAATTTTTTGTATAAGGTACACCCTGTCCCCTCAACAATGTTTGACAATTCCATGGTTGCTGGTGCTAAATTCATAGGTGGAGTATGTTGTATAAGACATTTAGATCAAGAATCCAATCCTATACTGGATAGTGAAGAAGAATCCAACAACAGATATCTAGATAATTGTGTGCTCCAACCATTTTAAGCAATGACCAAAGACTTTATTTCAAATTTGTTTAAAAAAAAAGACTTAGGGCTTCTGAAAAGGGTGTAAGAGACATATTACACCAGTATAAAAGGTGGGAAGGGTAATGGAAATTTTGTGTAAGGCCCTTTGGACACCTTCTGTTGCCACCATTGACAGGTTTTTAATCAATCAAGTTAGCTAAAATTTTCTATGCTTTCTATATATACTGGTGTTAATAGTGGAGTAAGATATATTTCAATATTATGGATTTAATATGCAACTTGTGTTTTAGGGATATGGAACAAACTTTTATAAAGGGAATGAATACTTTGAGGGTGAATGGCATGAAGGAAAACGTAGTGGATGGGGTAGGATGTACTATGGAGATGGCTCAGTTTATGAAGGAGAGTGGCTTAATGGAATGCGTCATGGCAATGGAATGCTTCGATTAGGTAAGACTCAATAGGAGAAAAACTATTCAATTTTCAGATTTGATGGCTCAATTTTTGTATTCTTTCATTAGAAATATCACAAACCCAAAAACACAAAGCAAACCCAAAAACATATTGCAAAAATACAAAGCATGATGTCATGATTTCTATGTATACCTGCTGTTTGCAAAGAGCTGCTAGTGACATCATTCATAGATGTTTTCAATGTTTCTGAAAGTCTCACTTCAATTTTTTCATACTAAATTTTATGGTCACTTTCTAATTGATAATAATTTTTGTTCTAGCAAACGAGAATAGATATGAAGGCTCTTGGATTGAAGATAAGAAACATGGAGATGGAAAATTTTACTTTTTGGATACTGGACAATTATATATTGGAACATGGGTAGATGACATCCCAAAATGTGGAACATGTGAAGAATTTGGAAAAGATACAGCCACAAATCCATCTCCTTATACTCTGCCAGAGGTGAGAAGTTTTTTAAGCTGATTAAGCTGACAAATTGAAAGTACTACAAAAAGTTTGAAAGTGCCCATAAAGTGGATGAGTCATCCTTCATGTGTGGTGTGGAGAAGTCTGAAAATTTTGTTACAAAGCACCTCTACATGCCAAAAGATCTTCATTTTTGCAACAAAGTCTTTTTCCAAGGGTGTGCCTCCATGCTCCGCCATAGCAGGACCTCTGGTTGAGTTCCTTTTTTGCATTTGCAGCCTTTTTTCATCCATCCAGAAGTAGGATAGATAATTCTTTGAATCTGGGCATAGAATTGAACTTTTGAAGTAAATTTTTCCTTTACAGGTAACAGGATTTTTAAAGATAATTAATATGTATGTACAAAGTCAGGGGTCATGAGTTCGAGCCTCGCTCGGGTCAGTTATTTTCCTGCACTCTCTATTAATTAAATGTTTCCTTCTATGTAAAAACATCTAGAACCAAACAAAACTGATTATTTTGTTTGTTTTTTCAGTGTACACTTGAGAGGCCAAAAGAAGTTTTAGAAGAAGCCAGAGCTGCAGCTTTAGAAGGACATGGTTGACTATGCCACGCAATCTAATCAAAGAGAAGTGTACATATAGATTTTTTGGAATTTTTACAGTGAAAATGCTGGTGTGAAGGAAAAAGTGGTTAAAGATGAGGGTATCATTTATAGCTTACATTTTATGCTCTTCTGGTGCAATGGTATGTAAACATTTGCCAATGCCATGTTGTAAATAAAGTGACGATGGAAAATCATGATAAGTAAAATCTTGAGTTTATAAGAGACATGTCCGTTTTAAGATTTGATAAAATGATGTATAAATTTTTGTATGTATAACATATTTCAGCTTTGTTAAGAGATGGCTAAACCACTGGATATTTATCTCAGATGTGAAAATAAGTTTATTCATGGTAGTAAAAAAATGGGTTAAAGAACAAGTTATCAATGCTGCTGCTAAATTTTTCCTCTCTCCCCATCCCCAATAAAATGGTAATTACTTCATAAGGATACTTATGCTTCTAATCCCAACAAGACTTCTAATCCCAGCAACCATGCAATGTCGAAATTTAGGAAAACTGTAAAAGGGGAAGAGGAAGCAAGTTTGCAAATGCAAGGAGGTTCTGTGAAAGTGTTCCAACAATTTTAGCAAGTTGTAGTATTTTAAAAAGCTAGCCTGGTTTTGCATAGTGAAATCCAACAGGAAAAACGATCTTTTCTAGTTGTGCCCATCTCATTTTCTCATTTGATTTCTGTTTATTACAGAAGCTATTTACGTGACTTTTTGGCAATCCCAAAAGTATAAAACTTAATTCTATGCTTGCCATACCAGTAGTTAGGTGGAACAATAGAATATAAAATATCCTAATCGTGTGATAGTCTATGGGTCAGTATTGATGCGAAAAAATGTAAGTAAACGATTTTGACGCTTGCCTCAAGAAGTCTTCAACGGACATATATGCAGACAACACTTAAAAACTGACTCTGCAATGATTGTTTAACTCTGCAATGAAATAACGAGCATTTTAGAATAGTTCGAAAAACAAGCTCAGCCTTAATACTGAATTAATTCTTGCTTACTGGTGACAATATAAAACCGGTTGAGGGGGAGCCGATTAACAGGGTTAGTAAAGCTATGTACCTCGAGTTAACGCTCAACGAAAACCTGACCTCAAACGGAAGGTACAAAAATCTCAAATGTAAGCTTAAATGAGGGTTGTATTCGATTTGTGGAGAATATTACCCCCAAAGTAGCCAAAGTAGCATTGATTGAAAGCTATATACGATACTAGTATTATTTGTTGACCTGTCTGTCTGAGACTAAAATAAACCATCTACATCGTCTTCAGGACAGGCCTCGTACACTTATTGAAAGTTTCAGACTAAAAGTTTCAGACTGAAAGACTGATGATTGTTTCGCTGGCTCACTGTCTTTTTTAACTTTATCAGATACGTTCAGGCTGTAATGACTCATAAAATTATGCATTTGTGATAACCCATCTGTCTCCAGGAAAAAATTTTCACGAGGTCTCAAACTTCTAACCATGCCACAAGAAACCTGTAAGATATTTGTATTCCTAAACAAATATGGAATTTTCGAAAAAGGGGATTTCTATTCCGGCGCAACATCAATCTAATTTGAGTTTTGCGAGTTGTTAAAGTTTTACTACCTAACATTTTGTTATTTTCGAAACATTTTTTCACCAAAATTTTGCTATCTAAACTTTTTTCTGCAAGAGATGATTGATTAGTCTCTACTATATAGACTTGCTAAAAGAAAGACACAAGCAAGAACAAGTAAATACATTTAAAATATAAAAATAATGTTGTGATGTCTGACAGTTGGTTTTCATAAAATGTTAGGTCTACATTGATATTTTTTGGGCACAGACCTACAAGAATCAGTGCCTATAAAATGAGAACAACATGCACAATTGTAAACAATTAATTTGATAAAAAATTGTAAGCTTGAGTTTAAACGAAACAATGAAAATTTGCCTGTTTAGTAGAATCTTTGCATTGTTAGTTGCGTTGATAATTGAAATGCTATGGAATATTTTCAATTGAGTATACGAAATAAAACATAATAAAGACAAATCCATGGCTGCCAACCTGGTCTCTTGAAAGCATATGAGATAAGCATGGACTCCGACGCAGGTTGGAAAGTGGGGGGGGGGGGGGGGAGTTCAAGGGAGATTTTAACAATCAAAGCAAAATAAGCTCTCAAGTGAGGGGATCATGCTCCCTTCGTCGGAGGCCCTGATAAGGTTGTGTGGGTGTACGATCATTCGCTTGATGCAGAAGGCCACATTCAATCACTGCATACTTTTTTTAAGCAAATGCATCACATTTTCTTCTCAGTTGATGTTGCACATAAAGTGGATATAATGAAAACCATGGTTAGGAATGCAATAAATAGGAAAATGGTTGTACGTGTGTATATTATAATTTTGCCAGCTGACTTATTCGAAAGAAAACCACCATAGCGTTTGTTGAATTGCTTGGTTTTCCTTTATTAAGAGTACGGTATATGCAATTACGTGTGGAATGAAAAGCAAACATTTGCCAGTGCTCTCTCTACTTTCAGGGGCGTCACCAAAGGTGGCACGGGGGGCTTCGCTCTTGTCTACCCTGCTATGTAAATAGCTTTAGTACAATCCATTTTCTTTTGATCGCTGCCAAAACTCTTGGAACCCTAACGTCAGTTTTCAAGAGCAATTTCGGTCAGCACCATATCCCCCTTGGAAGGAGGTTGGTTTTCTGGAATACTACACTTTAACTACAGTGCAACTAAAAATTTATAAAATAACTAACGGCCCTTTTAAACTCGACTTGTTGCAGAGAGGAACAGAGAGAAGACGCGACTTCCTTCGTCAGCACTGCGACCAAACAGCAACATGCTTCTACCAAAAAGCCTAACTCTAAAAGCCAAAACAGCCTATTTATATACATGTAAGGAAATTACCAAGTAATAATAACAAAGAATGAGCTAGAAACACATAAGACCTAAAACCAATAGAAAGCATTCATAAAAGAAACATCGACAATTAATAGCAAATTGCGCGTCCCGGAAATAAAGTCTTTGCCAAATATTTTTCAAAATCCTTCGGTAGTCAAACTTCTTCAACATTTCTATGAATGACGTAGAATATAAGAAAATACCTTCTTCGTGTGACTTGTATGACATTTGCCTAAACTAACAGCATTGTTACTAGGGGGAGAGGAGGAAGAAGAAAAATTTACCAAAACTATCAAAATTGTTATGGGAGGGGAAGTAGAAATATTTTGGGGAAAAAATTACAGGTATAAAAATACAACGTCAATTGGATCTGTCATTTATAGAGCATCATTTCCACTGAAAGTCTAATTCTGACTGAGGTTGCGGCTTACTTTTCTGGGACCAAACCCTTTTAAGTAAACGACTACTTTTGTTTGAGGATACGCCCTTTTCCAATTGCACGGTATGAGCCCACAGTATTTAAGCGTGATTTGTATACATAGTCCTCAAACTTAGGTAATATTGGGAAGGGTTGAGATAAACGGTAAAAATGACATATCCTGGCTTTCCAAGAAATTCATGTCAGTAAATGTACATCTAACTGCTCCATGGACAGCAAATTCATTTTCTGATGATTGATAAAATATTCCAAACCCTTCAGAGGAAACGACTATATTCTACATGCTTATGTAGAAAACAAAATTATTGACTAAATATATTACCTATTTCAAAAATAAATCTCTTCAAGTTCTTTTCCTAGACAATGAAATAACTTATTTGTATTTAATCAGTCACATTAACTCAGACAGAACATAAAAGAAGCTTCATTGCCCTTTGTCGGATTGAATGGAAGTCCTTTTAATTAATCACTTGACAAATTTCTAGTTGTTTGTATGCTAAGAATTTTAAAGCAAACTAAGTGAAAATGTATCAATAACTTGGTCCACGACAACCTAAAATTCAAAACCAACTTCTAAACGCAAACTCTAATACTGCTGTCAGTAGAAAACAACAACAAGCTTCATTTGGGTTTTGGTGGCAGGAAATGATTATTCCAACTTGAAAAATGATTATAGGCTGTTAAGATTATAATGTAAATGCGGCTATGAGATAAATTTTAGAAGACACCGTTCTACTTCTATTTCTGCTTAGTTAAAAACCTTTTTCATTGCTAAGCAATTTATATTAAAGTCAAATTTATTCTCATGGAATTATCATGGAGAGAATTTTTAATTTAAAACGTCCCTGATGATAGCAATGGCATTTTTCTAGTTCTTTGGCTTGGAAGAAACGACTTTGGTCTTTAAAAAAAGAAAATACTGACTAATATAAGACATGTCTAGAGCTAAAAGAGCCATCAACCTCCCCCTCAAAGTAAGTTCGTTACAAAGACCCTAATGTTAACTCTTTTGCTATATGTGTCGTATACATGTACATAATATGCAAACAGGAATGCTTTCTTGTTCCTAACACTGTTTGATAATAACAAGCTGATTTAAAATTTGTTTTCTCTAACATGAAAATCATCATATTTTTCAACTTTGCCAGGCAAATCATGCTTGCTTAAGATCAAAATCCTCTCCGGAAAATTCTCGGGGTAAGGATTAAATTGTTAACTGCTTAACTGCGACGAACTTTAGGTTGGAGGATTGTGCTACCTCTACATCCCCCTTTCCTTTCCCAAGGACAAATAACAGTTGTTGTGTTTTTTAAACGTCATTGATATTTTATGCTACATCTATATACTGTATAACAACATATCTTATGTATTATTTCTTTATATATACTTATTCTAATGTCTGTTATACTTGTTGGTAAAAGTATTTTTGCTTATTCTAATGTATGTTATACTTGTTTGTAAAAGTTTTTTGCATAAGATGGTAATGCTTTAGGGTTTGGACAGAAAAGATTGATCAGGATATGCTTGACATGAAAAGTAGATAATCTGACTCTGAACAGTATTTGCTTAGCTATTTGATGTTTTTGTGCTAGTATAATACTTGCAACATTCCTTCTTAAAAACTGAAATAAAGAATGCAAAGAGTTTCATAACTGCTGAGTAGCCTAGTACTAAGTTTTATATAGATTTTTTTATAAAAAATGATGAAAGTCATGTGCAGTTTGAGTGTAGCTATATTGATAATTCATTTATTTAGAGGTGTAAAATTTGAGTTAGGTTGCCAGATCTTCAGGCTTTAACCTAGTTTTGATGCTAAAATCGGGTCTGTTTTCCGACTCTTGATATTTATCTGTCGAAATTAGGCCATCGTGTGCTTAAAATTTATGCAAAAGTTAGAATGAAATAGTTTTTCCATTTTCTTTTTGTTAGATGTGCGAGAGTAGTTGTGGCCTTTTCAATTCATTTATAATTTTCATTTTCTCGAAACATAACTACTGGATACTGATTTTTGGCGCAGAAGCGTTTGAATGTTAATGAAGCCGAACATGAGATATTTTGTGGGTTTGCTGGCCATTTTGTAGAGATCATTGCATCGTTCAAGAAGTTAGTTTCTTTGCAAGGGAGCTAAAACTTGATATAATAAGTCTCATTGGAAACTATCTAATAATTGCTCGTGTACGAAAGTTGTTCAAGGCTTCGTGTACTGAAAAATGAGGATTTGACAAGCTGTTTGGATCGCTTTGACCAGTTTGGAGTTTTTAAAGGGCTTTATTTTAGAAATATTTACAACACTACTATTATGACACAATAGGAACGTTTGTGATGGAGCGAAATGGGGTTTTATAGGTCTCGCGTTTTTCCATTTCCTAAACTACTAATATTATTATTTTAGTATTATTATTAAGAGAGCCTCTCATGAAGCTATTAAACAATTACTTTGTGCTACACAATTTTTTTAAATAATGGCACGCTCTTTGATAATAAGAGTAAATTAATGAATCAGTAGATAAAATTCATTTATAATGGAAGAATGTGAAAAAATAGTCAAAGAAAAAGCTTTGCACATTTCTATTTCAATTGAATGTTTTGCTTTAATGAGCATAATTATGATGTTTGAAAGGAACATCCCTAAGCTTTTAAGGCACATCTGATTCTTCTTTTGGTGTTGCCCCTAAACCATTTTCTTTTTTATCTCTGCCCTTCCTCTTAAAAAAACGAGCTTGCTCATTGTGGTTATGTGATTGATATATATCAAAATTTTCATCAAAATTAATTTTTCCGTTGTTAGCAACTCTGTGCGGCTTTGGTTCTGCTTTGGAGATATTCAAGAACCCTGAAGATCATTTCTTTACAATGTCTGTCTTCTTTTGTGAATCGTTACCATTGCATTTCTGAATATTTTCTGTCTCCTTTGTATTTTAACAGAAGTGCTAAATTATCTTCCTCCATTAAAATTCTTCAATCTAAAAACCTGAATGTTGAGACAATTCATCAGAAATCATTTAGTATCTCAGGTAAGCCAGATTTTTTCGCTAGCAAATTTTTCGAAAGTAAAGGAAAAATTGCTGTCATTGTCAAGAGAAGCACTCAACGAAACTTATTGTTCTTCATAACATCGTTATCAAACCTATCAAAGTGGACCGTTTTTGTTGACAGTAACAAAATTTCAATACACAACTAATTTTGGTTTTCTAGACAACTATCTTTATTTTTATCTATAGTTGTCTAGACAACCTAATTACATTAGGCCCTGGTTCGAATTGCTGCTCTGAGTTTATTGCCTGTATGTAGAAACTTGTTTTTGGACCAAGGCACAATTTCCAATTTTGTCTCCCTGTTTTACTATAATTTAATTGAAATGATAATTTTAGGATTCGAAAAGTCTCCCTTTCCTTCTTGTATGGTCCAGGGAGGGGCTGTGCCAGTTTTTTGCATAAGCTTTGTAAAGACGTTACATAATTGTATAGAAGGCATGTATTGCGCTAGGGTTTCCTTTCAATTTCACCACAAATTGAAATCTTATTGTCTTTGTTATCCAGTTAATGCAATAAAATTTCAAAAGTAATTTCGGATTGCAAGGAAGATTGTGGAGGATGTGTTTAGGATACAATTCAGATTAAGTAACACATTGCAACAGTACAGTTTGCTAAATCTTTCGAATGTTCTATTACGTGAAATGATACTGTATGGTGATAAAAGGTTGCCCATTGATTCAAATTCAGAAATGTTTAAAGCGACCTTAATACACAGTTCTGAATGTAAATTTATAACAAAATTCAGAAAATATAATGCATGCAAATAGCAACAATGTATTTCAGCCAAAATCATTATTAGTACAAAAAATAACCATGACCAGAAAAATGCTATTAACAAACTACTATACAATGAATAATACTCTATTTACAATTATTGTGTCTATAAATAATTTTATCTAAAGAATGTTTGCGAATTTTTAACTAAAACAAAAACGAAACTTTGAAATAACCTTTGCAACAAAGTTAATACTAGAAGCTCTCACACATTTTGTATATCTGATGTAAGAGGCTGTGTGGTCAATGCTGCATCACCATCCTCAGAACCAAGTTGCTTGGCTATATACTGGAGCTCCAGCATACCATTTGTTCTCTGCACAACCTCATGTGCTATGAGCTTTCTGTAGAAATGAACTGCAAACCAGATGAATATGATTGATGTTGGGAACATAACCGCTGAAGCAGCAATTGCTGAATTGATGTTGATTGTGTATAGCTTCACCCATAATATAACTGGAATCTCCAGCAAGAAAAGAAATGTCCCTAGGCCCGTGCTGAATATCCATGCTATTTCTACATACTTGTGCATATTTTCATGAGGTGATTCACTTGGTCTTGTCTCATGTGGGATGCTCTGAATGGGATAGCCTCTGGACATCTCAACGTTTCTTATGTTCTCCACTGTCTCAATGTTTGGGAGAATGCAAACTGATATCATCAATGCGAAAACATGCACAGATATCAAGCATGTTGTAAGAAGGCTAAATGTTATTACAAGAACTGATGGAAGATCAGATCCAATATTCAACTCAACCATTGCAACCTTTAAAAACAAAATAAAATCATTTGTACTAATCTATATGCCAAATAAGTTGCCTGATTGATTATAATCAGGTGTGGTTTACCTCTGAAAAATAAAGAGATGCTTTTTAGATAAATACTCTAAAATCAATAATGTTTTACAGTATATTATCTAAACTCATGTTTCATCTCATCTAGGATCATTTGGTTATCATTGATTATTATATGTTGCATTGTTTTCTCTTAAATAAATTTTGGCCATTCGTTTTATGCGGTGAACTCTCTTAATTAATTTGCCAAAGGGCTCCTCCTTAATTAATAAAACTTGAATACAATCATGTAAAGAATGTTTCTTGTGTTGTCATTTATTAGTTGTAGATTATGATTGATTGGCATGAAAAGTAAAAATGGAAAAATGGATAACATTGCAGAGCATGAACACAGAAAAAGAATAACCAGTAGGGTTGCTCTAGGCGGTCCCTTTGTTGTTTTTGAGGCTCAGAATCTCTGGCGCTAGCAATAAAATAAATGCTAGAACTCCTTTTCAAGGCGAGATTATGCAAGTCTTGTTGATGGAAAGAGTGCACGATGAGAAAAATGAGAGGCCCAAAAACTGCCAATTTTCTAAAACGTTTCAAAGATCAAAGAAATGGTTCAAAGATCAAAGCAAAGACATAAAGCTAGTTGCTGCGAGAAAGATTGTTTGTTGTTTTTACAGATTTACTAGCCACAAAGTTGGACAACAACTTTAGAGGGAGCTGAAAGGAATTTCGCAAGTCAAACTCTTATCAGATACTTCAGACTGCTGGATAAATTCCATGTGAGGTAATATATGATCTGACACTTTATTCACGGAACTCCATCCGAAGGGTCGATGACAAGTCAGCACTTGGAATCGTCTTTGACAAATGCAACAATATTGTAGCAATTGTAGTAAGCAGAGAAACATTTTCCAATGCACATTAAACTTTCACGAAGCTTGTTTACATGCTAATTCTCGGTATGAAAACGAGAATTAGCATGTAAACTAACACATGCGCCAGTAATTTTAGGCTTCACTCAAATACGCTGAGTGACCCTTCTGGTTATTCCTATCCTGTGGCATGAACCCTGAAATCCTAACCTAAAAACTTCTTGTCCTTTAACCAAAGTATGTATCTAAATAATACATTGGTTAAGTTAAGGGCATTGAGTAGTTTATCACTCTGCCCACAGACAATCAGTTATGGGTCAATATAAAAAAGAGTTGAATGTGTTTTCAATGAAATTGAAATTATTGAATTTAAATAATCCTGACAGCCATTAGCACAAGGTTTGTTGCAAAAAGCATTTCTATTCATCATTTAAGTTTTTATTTCTAGCTTCTCTGGCCTTAGGCTTAGCTTGCATGCAGTCTTTACAAATAGAGGAAATTGTGAAGCCTCTGATTGTGAAGGCTATTTTTGCCCTATAAAAAACAATTTCACATAGCCACGTTAATTTTTAATCATCTAAATGAAAATCTTTACTTAACAGTTTTTAAGGCGATTTGCTTAATGGTCAATACAATTTTACAGCATTCCAATAAATGCCTGACCACTTTGCAGAACATGGCTGTCTTTCATGAGTTCTTATGGGTTTTCATCCACGTTTTCTATGTGCAAACTACAGTTTTTCTTTTAAACAGTGCACTTGCATGCGCGCTTATCTACCATAGCTTTTCTACCGTAATAAGCAGACTAGTTATCAACTTTTCTGAATTGTGAAAGTGCTGATTAAAGAAAATATATGTAATTCCAACAAGATGCATGGCGAAAATAAAATCATAAGCGGACACAAATAACATTTCTACATTTAATTGTTTTACTGGACCACCAAATAAAACACAATTTAAATAACACGATTGTCCTGGATCACTGAAACCTCTCGATAAAATGCATACCATTTTTTATACTCAAATTATGTAAAATAACCTCAACACGTAACAGAAATAAAATATTGCTCACCATTGCAAAACCAGACATCAAACCAGATGTCCTGCTAGATGCTTTCAACTTCGCTTTGCTCAAAAATAGCCCTCTCCAGTTTCGAGGCTTATCCTCTTCATCTCGTGCAGGAAGCATACTTTTTGCGGTTTTGACAAAAATGTCAAATAAATTTCAACAAATTCTAAATGATTTGATCTTCATGCAAAGATACAACTTCATTAAGCTCCAATCAATGTCGCTCCTTTATTTGCATGAGGTCATTTGTAAGAATAACAATCTCCTCGATTTGACCCCTGATCCGATGTCGATTTAAATTCCTGTATAAAGCACACTATATTTCAGAAAGCATATTTGATAACTTTCGACACTGGTTTCATTTTACCTATAAAGGTGACTACTATAATGATAAACTCAAATAGACTGATATCTGCCGTGGTACAGTCTTCGTTTGACCTCCAACAAAATCTTCTTGATCGAGCAATCGCATTCCGCAACAATTCAGGCCTATTGTGAGAGCCTCTTCTTTGTATAGAAATTTCAGACCGAGGTAGTTTATTCCTAATTATGCAATAGAATTTGAATAAATGCTTCTTGTAAATTTATTCAAAATGGCTTTGTCTTTGACAATAACAAAACCGCATGTTTTACTTTATTTGGCGCAAAGCTAATAGGTAGCTAGGATTGGATTGACGGCTGTGCATGACCGGTGCTTGCGTTTCGACCGGAGCAATCTTCTCACGATTCTCTAAACCATGGCCAACAACGACTTAGGAAGACGAGTCCTTGTAAGTAAAGACAGAGCAAAGCCAAGCCTTGCGTTGCTTGTCCTAAATAAGCCTTGCCCATGTTTGACATAGTTGAATTTTCACCTACCTCGCAAATATATATCGTACCTTTTACGTGTTTTGCAGAGGACAAAAGAGCGGAAAAGCTACCAGGATAACCTTGAAGACGAAATAGAAGGAAGAAGGCGATTTGACGTGCACGAAAAGCTTAAAAGTGATAAATATAAGTACGAAGGCAATGAATGTCTCGTGCGCAACATGGAAGGGAAAGGTAGTATCTTTTGCAACCTCAAATATTTGGCTTCTAAGAGAGTGCCCCCCGGTTTTCCCGCTTGTCTTTGACGAAACTATCAACTTGAAAATATGCATCAGAGATCAGAGCAATTTAGGGCAAACCCTTCTCATAAAATTCAAAATCTAAGCAACACAGTACAAAGTAGGGCATTATTTTAAATAGCTGTTTTAAAATAGTGATTATGAACAAATTTATTGCCAAATTCACCAAAACTTAGTGATGCAATGTGGTTTGAAATTCAGCCATGTATCTCTCCTTGCAAACTACTAAACTCATCCTTAAGATTTCATTTGAAATTTTTAGATTTCAACCTCCAGTTTGTCCAAGAGCACGGATTTACCTTTCCTTTGAGATTCGAAAAACCTGATGGACTTGGACTAAGGTGTGTTGAGATTTCGCTTCCAATTAACTGATGATATTTCAGCTATTTTTTCGTAACATGTATATCAACTTTTTGAGGTTGATAAGCGAATATTTGTTTTCATATGAGAAAATTTTCTATAGACATCCTCGCTATTATTCTTGTAAATTATTTAACATAATATTGTTAAACTTTTGCATTAAAATAAATGTTTTGGTAATCTTATTTTTTTGAGCGTCACTGTCCCAATCGAGAAAATATTTCTAAATTTCAGGATGCCGTCAGCCGCTCATTTTGATGTAAATGATGTCAAATCATACGTAGGTAAGGGAAATTATCTTTCTTTTATGCAACATATATACCAGGGGATTGCAAGAATAATAAAATCCAGCTCAAAGCATAAACTCTTGGGGTATTTAGCTCTTGTCTTGTTAAAAGACCTTTTACGTAAATCAATTCAAGATTTATGTTATTATTTATCACGAAGTTCAGCTTTGTTTCAAAGTTGTCTGCTGGGAATCTTAAAACGTGGCTTATCATGAGGGGACGGTTCTCCAGAATTTGTATTCATCAACAAGCACGCCATCCGCTAGGCAGATTTGATCATTCAAAATGTTGTCGCGTGTAGAAAAGAGATTTGTTCGATTCCAATTGGTTTTGAGCGTGTTTTTCACAGTCAAGAGTTCAGATATCAATTTGCAAAAAGTAAAGACATGATTTTGACATGCTTGGACCAGGAACCCGCCTTCTGTCCTCCGATCCATGTGTCAATTTTGTCACTTCAAAAGACGATTGATAACAGTGGAGCTTGCCAAATAATGTTTCATATGAGATAAGTTTTTGAAGATTTGTTTTTATTTCTGCACAGAATTTTTTTACGGAGGATAATTTGGTTTAGGAACTGAAATTGTAATTACATGTTTCTTCAACCCTAATAAAAGCTTCTTCAAAGTTTACAAATGAAAAATTTGATGTTTTTCACAAGGTCAGATTATACTGATAACAACTTGCTTCTTGGCAGTTTTGTAAATAATTGCTTTTTCCGATTTTTTACTTAGATTGTAATATAAAAAATAACTCTTGCAACAACGAACAAACCACGTTTAGATGTGTTGAAATTCGGACTCAGAGTTGCACGGCCCCACTTTATCTGTATAATTGAACCAAATCACTCATCAGCGCACAAAATATTTTTGATTGTTCGCTCAGTTCATATTTGTGCCTATTTCTTCAAAGCCAAGTCAGTGTGAAGCAAGTGAACTTACGTGTCTTCAGAAGTTGTTTGCGATGTCTATGCTTGAATTACCAGAAAGAAATATGTTAAGTAGCTGACAAAACTTTACATCGATCCTTTGAAACTAAAACCCAATTTGAAGAAACTCTTTTTCTGGTAAATTAAATTTTAGAGGGAATTTTGTAGTTTAAATATAGTGCAAACCAGGCCAAAGGTATTCAAATAATATATCTCAGTTTAAATTTGTTTTATTGAGCATTAAGTCATGTTTTAACGTGTCTTCTCTTTGCTATGCAACATTGTGATATGTGAATGTATATGCAAAAAACAAGAAATGTTAGATCTCAGGTTTAAAGAAACTGATCTGCTGTTGTTATGCGAGTCAAAACATAGTTAAACTTTTTTGCCTCATTGCTGCGCAAATTTTTATTCTGACACCGTTTGCGCCGGGATATACTGGCTAAGTTTGTCTTGAATTTGGAGTCAGAGATTTGATTTAAGTTGCGCTATGTTGACTTAAGTTTACAAATTGGTGGGTCATTATGCGGGAATGGCTTCCCCCGCCTGAGTTCAAAAGACTTTAAATATCTTTCCAATTTGCAAATAAGCGAATGTAGGGTTTTGTCTAATGTGTTACATAATAGGTTTTGTTGATTATTTCAAACACCAAAAATATTTTTAATTGATGTTAAAATTCCTACAATGTTCTTATTGGTATAATGCGCAACGAATCTTTGTTTCTTGTGATCAAACAATATTGAGATTAATTAGAATTTATTCAGAAGGCTTTAACTTGGGTTGACCTCCCAAATAAAAGGTGTTTTGGAAAAAAGTAACTTGTTTTTAATTTGCTATTTAGCGAAAATAAAAATCAGTTTGCCTGGTCTGTTATCGTTTTGTCCTTTCCAGACCACCCCTTCAAAGTTAAGGAGATTTGCATTGTTCAAGAGAGTGTTATTTTGGACAAAGTCACAAAAAGGAGTGTAATAGGGGGGATATTTCATGTCAGCCTTTCCAAATCGCTCTTGTCGTGGACTAAATAAATTCATCTTTTGATGAATAATTTAAATTTAATTAATTTCATTATTTTAACTGGCATTTGAGGAGCTGTTTTATATTTTCGTTTTATCGAACAGTTTACTCTAAAATAAAGCATTTGAAGTGATAATTTATGAACGTAAGAGTAAGGAATTAGGACATCAATGGGGTTGTTTCTGTTTGTTATTGTGGGTGGCCTGCCCGCCTTGTGAAATTATCAGCGACGTTGTTTCTCTCACTAGTGTACATGGGCAGGGAGGGCACAAAACGTTCTGATGATGTCATTCTTGGCAAGTTTTGAGTCAGCTTCACACTGTTGTACGTGTATTCAAGGATAAATTTTTGTTAATCACTTAGTGTTGGGGAGTGCCCCAAAAATTCTGACATACGTTGAGCTCAACCCTAAAGCTGCTACAATCATTGTCAATAAAACACTATCATAATTGTTCTTGGAATTATCAACATTGTCTTGGGACATTGTAGGTGATAATGAATAGAGAATAAACAAAAGATATGAAAACATAATCTAGGCGGTTTGATGTTCCTTGTAATTTTGGCACCTTGACCTTTATGCAATGAAAACCATATCTTTTAACTTGATAAGAGATTTGAGGGGCTTCCAGGTTCATTTTCTTAGCGGCGTTCTAGATGCATCCCTGGCTGTACCACTTGCTTTTAGGTATAAATTCCTTTTGGAAAGATGAAAACCACATAAATTTAGGATTTACAGTAATGCGATATTTTCACACAAAGATGTTGTTTTCAAAGCAATTGTTCAGCCTCGCTTATCGCTGCTCCACCACAAAGAATAAGCAACTCGACTAGTGGTTTTTTGAATCACAAAGCCAGGGTTTGAGCATGCAAGGCAGTCGACCTTTCTTCAAATAGCTCTAGATAACGCATATCGCGGCCTCTGACGTCGTTGGTTTTTGGGGCATGACCCTACTTTTTATAAGCAAGGAAGTTGAATAATAAATACTTGACATGAGCCTACAGCAACCCTCTTTCCAAACCTTTATCTGAATACTTCTGTATCGTACTTCAACTTAGAATCAAGGATGTTGAACGTAGAATAATTAAATTGCTCACCTATTTTGTTTTTCTATAAAAAAACGATTCAGATGTTTATGTGATGCAAAAATAATCTATTCACCTTTGAATATTAGAATACGTCTGCAACAGGTTAAGTTTCGGTGGATTTTTTGTAATATTTTGCATTGAATGCAATCTGTCTGAAAGCAAATTTTAAATGAAAAGAAAGATTTTCAGGGTTTTTAAGCAACCATAATTTTCATTGACCGTTGGTTGGGAATTTTGAGTCCTAGTAATTCTGTCTGGAGGCTCTGTACAGTACCGTGTGTCCCTAAGAGGAAATGTTACTTTCATAAATCTTATCAAACAATAATTATTTCATTTAAAAAATGATGATAGAAGAATGTTAAGAATAATGACGTCACAACAGTGTATTTTAAGAATTCTTGAATTTGGATTACCCATAATACTTTTAAATATCCAAAATCAGTTGAATTAAAGCTATATTTCTGATTTAAAGAAACAATAATCATTAGGCTCAAGGCAGGGTGAAACAGGTCCTCCAGAAGCAATACTTACACATTTTTATGGTTCCATCTGTTCTTGCTCACTCTACATTTAGGCACTGCTGTCATGACAGTAATATTGTCAGAATTGTGTATTAAAACGTATACCACTTTATAATGTTGATTAAATATTATTGTTTCTTGTTAGTTCTGGGTCAACCCCTTCCCCCCCCCCCCTGATTCCAAGATCTAGCCATAATAAATTCACTAGTTGCCTAATTATATATTGTTTCATCTATGCACCGTTGCGTGTTGGTCTGGGGTCACCTTACCTCGTACGCATCCTACTCAGAAATTAGTGTGTAGTTATAATAAACTAGTTAGGTTTCAAATAACTCAACATACGTCGCCTACATAAATACATAGCATACATTTGCTCATCAAACAGAGCACAGTTTTCTACTTCATATTTACACAAACACTTTGCTTTTAAAAAATCGCTTGACTAAAGCGCACGTTTGCCAGTCAATAATTCTGCACAAAGTCCCTGAGCCTTTTCCCCTGCTAATCATAGGAGTGCAGGGTAAATTTACCTTCTTAAGGTTGCAACAAAGGTAGCTTTACGCTCATTTTGTGTGAGATTTGCCACGTCTGTATTTGACATATTTTAGGTTTTAAGATCATCTTACATGCTTTACTGGAATTATTGGAATGTGCTTTTTGTCTTTAGCCGACATGTACATAGTAGCTTTTCAAGTTTGATGACAAAATAACGTTATTCTGGACTGTGATAAACCAGTTACATAAACAAATCATAAATACTGCTAACGAGATGGAAAACAAAAAATTGATAGTAGATAAAATTAAATAGCTAAAATTGGCATTGAAGAGAATTTAAAAGTAATTTTTTTAAATAGTCAACCAACACTGTTGAAATGGTATTTTAGCACTGCTGTTGGGGTAAGATATTCGCCAAAACCCTTACGTTACATCAATTTCATAACAGAAAAATCTTGTTTCATGATAGCAGTTTTAAAACTTTAAAAAAAATATTAATCACGACGATTGTACATGATTTTGATTGGCAGTCGATGACCTTTTGTTGTCAAATTTATTGAACTCATTAAATTTGTTCCGCTTCCGACAACAATTCAATATTAAGCCACCCCAGCGAAACCCATTATATGAACCATTAAGTCAGGATTTTTGGAAGAGTTATTCGCAAAGCACGTTTCTTTTGAAGAAATGAGCCAATGTATTTAAAGTAAGGAATGAACCAGATATCGGGGCATTTGGGGGAAGGGGTATTCTTGCAAGGATACCAAAACACGTGACATTTTAAGAAGGCTATTTACATCACATCCACTGCGTCTTCTTTACTGCATGAAAAAGCAGATATTAGTTCATACTACGCTACAAGGGGTTTTCTTTAGAAATAACTAGCTTATTTAGCATGGCGTCTTTTCAAACTGTCTTGAGTGCACGGTGTTCCTCTCTATGCAATATTCAATATG